TTAATTTTGAGCAACTCCTTTCTATACGTAAATATCGAAGGCTTTGGACCTCCAAACCCGCAGTCCTATCAGACTAAGGGAAGGTACGTTTTTTACTGGGAGGGGTGGGTAGGGCTATTTTAGAAATTTTTTGTGAAAAAATTCGTGGCCTTCCCACTTCCCAGAATGGATTAATGCATGACCCTTCACAAATACTTACACAAAAACATCTGACCCTCCCCCCACCTCCTCGAAGACAAAAATAACCGGAAGTGAAAATAACTCACCGGAAGTGTTATTCACACTCACATAACTGCGTCTGCGCAAAGCAGTTAATTGCGTGGCGTGTGATTGCACGGTGAAAACTTGAAAATGGGCAATGATGTACGAGGAATAGAAAGAGGGAAATGCGCTTGTGGTGACTGCGAGGATTTCACGAGGTCAGATGGAGCAACTTGTGGCTATCGTGGCTGTTTGCCGACTCGCCATTCTAAAAAGATGCCCGCTACTCCTCTGACTCTGTTGGTGGCACATCAAGTGCGAGAACAAGTTAAAGTGTAAGTCCAGAGAAGTAGAAAGATGAAGACCTGGGCTGGTTACCAGAACCTCGGGCGGAAACATTACTCCCGTCAAAATATGGACGAAAGCGGGCATGGGTCGAGAGAGACGACTACGTTAGTTGGGAGAAGATAGCGTTTTGATATATCATTTCGACACCTGAATGATCTAGATTAATCTTGACAGGTAGCTTTGCTTGTATATAAAAGTTTTAGGTTTCTATACACTTCGCGTGTTTGCTTACAAATAAGAATCAACTAGGCGACATGGAGTAATTTTTTCCTTGCCAAAAAAAATTGTGACCCTCCCCCGGTTGCGAATAAAACAGGTTTGACCCTCCCCAATTTGTAAAAAACTTACTAATGACCCTCCCCTCCGAAGCCCCGGCTCACCCCCCCCCCCTTCCCCACCCCTTCCAATAAAAAGCGCACCTTCCCTAAATCGCCTAAGAAAAAAATGATTAAATTGGCTGACAATCACTCTAATAAAGTACTCTGTAAAAGAAAATGGATAAGTATACTTTCCCTGTATGGTTACCCAAAAACAAGAGTTCACTTAAATTGAGGCTCTTAGTCTCAGTCTTCCGTGAAATTGAGCCACAGGAAGTTCAGAAACAGCTTGAATCACGAGAACGACCCAAAGCGACGGAACTACCTCCTCACTTCTTCGAAATTCGCGAACAAATGCTAGTGTAGATTGAAAATTTGGTTGAGTTATTGTTTGCCCTAAGGCAACAGTGGGTGCTTCAACCACGTCTCTCAGCGTTCCGTTTGCAGTGTCTGCAGTGCATTGAAACATGAATAAATACAATATGATTATAACTCGAATAAAAACTGGTGATATTAAAGATTCTCTCGCTTGTGGTGGGAAACTTTATTTTACTCTCTTCTAAGCGAACAAGGAAGAGCAAACAGTGCGTACATCGCAGTAAGAAACCTTCTGCATACTTTTACGAAACTTTTACACGAGATAAGTAAAAATAAAGTAAAACCCTCGTGCTAGCACAATTAGTGTTTCTGGAAGTTTTTCGCGTCGGTGCATCTTTTTTCGTGTGAACAGTCAACAAACTGACTTGTCCGCAATTGTTCCCCCACAAAACCTTAATTGCTTATTTTTAGCCAACCACAACTCGAAAACGTGCCTCGCTCCGCCTCTCCGCTGCCAAGCCTGTTGTACTGAAGTAGAAAATAGGTCTGTTTTTGATAAAAGCATAATTGCTTGTCTCGAGTAGTTGAAAATAATCGTTGATAAGATCATTCAAGTTTTGATGCTCTAGACAGCGGGAAGACAAAGGTAATCACTTACGTTTCATGCACGAAAGAAGCAATATCGTGCAAAATCTTGAGAAGAAGAAAAAGAGTTCTACATAGATTAATTCTATGCGCATCATTTCATGTTTTTCAAATGAAGAGGCTCTTAACAATATATCTTCCTCACGCTTGTGTTTAGTAACTGAATGAGTGAACTTTATCCTCAGTTTGATATTATTTCAGAGAACCAGATATTTACATACGAGACAATACAAAACTTACAAAAGGAAATACTTTCTAATTATTCCGAAAAAAATCTGATGCAAACGAGTGAAAGCAAACAACAAGTTCATACTTTTTTCTGGATTTTAGAGCTCTCTGAAGAAAGTGGTAAGTAGAAATGGATTCCGCCCGTAGGTGCCGGTGCAATCCACCAAACCGCTCAGAATAGATTTCGAGAAGCAACAGATAGATAGAGTTCTTTACTTACATGATGTCGTAAAGAAGGTTCTGGTTGTTAGTCGTGAATATAGCGGCAGCGAATAGTTCTTGCATGTCTTACGTGAATTCCCTTCCGACTTGAATAGTCGCATTTTGAATGTATGCTGTTACTTTGCTTCTTTTTCGTTTAAAGGTGACTAAAGGTAAGCAATCGGAACGTCGTAACCCACATTGAATTTTACTACATCATAAGACAAGCGATAAAACGATAAGGTTAAGTACATCATGAGACAGGCGATAAAGTGATTTTGCCCGGACAATACAACATTCTTTTTAACAAACATTCCTAGTTATCAGCATTTTTAATTTTTACTTTGTACTTCACACCTAGTATTTTTTACCTTTTTATCATTTTACCCGTTGAAGGCTGTAGCGCAAACAGCCGAAAGCTCGTATTTTTAAAAGTTTTAGCCAGAGATCGTTTTTTAAATTTCATAAGATAAAGTGATAGCTACATCATAAGACAAGTGATAGAGCTGCACTGAATGCTACTTTGGGTCTAGTGCCCTTGATTAATAGGCGTAGACTTCACATCGTCTTGTTAACCAGGAAATGTTTAGATGGTTTAGTACCATCTTATCGAAAAATGACTGTTTTTATTTTAATGCCTCTGTACACACAGTTTTGACTAGACGCTGTAACGACATTCGTATTCCGAAAGTCAACCAAGAGTTTGCCATAAGATCTTTTTATTTTACTGATGCAGTGGAATTTAACGGTCTTCCTCGCCATATTAAATCAGAGGAATCGTTCACTGAATTCTCAAGGAGACTAAAGACTTTTTCCTTAATTAGATGATAAATTTATATGTAGATGTTGCTTCTTTTTAAATATTTTCGGCCGTGTGACAATTCTTAATGAATTTTAACCTCTTAGACCTTTTGTATTTTTACTTATGTACTCTAGTAACAGGACCTCCTTTAATACCAGAGCTTCTTACATTGACGGCTTTATGCTGCATAAACATTATCATTATCGCTTTCATTATTATTATCATCGCTTATGATTTTGTTTCTTTTATTGCTCATTAAGAAGTTGAAGCGCTTTGTGGTAATTATTTAACAAATAGAGAAGCCTTCACTGTGCTCTGTTCTGTTGTAAAGCACGCAGAAAGCGGTTAGAGCACGAAAGAAGTGTAGGGAGAAACACGAGACGTAGTCGAGTGTTTCTCCCTACTTCTTGAGTGCTCTAGCCGCTACCTAAGTACTTTACAACAGAACAGAGCACAGTCAAGGCTTCTCTATTTGTTTTATAATAAAGAATTCATTAAATTCCCCAAGAATTACTTTCAATTTTCAAAACAAACTGTATTTCCATAGCGAACAACAGTGTCGTCAGCATGCTCTATACTCTCATAAAGCACGCCACAATAAGCCAATCAGAATCCCTGTTAGAATGGTTCAAATAATATGATTGGTTGTACAAGACTCAAGCTGTCAAAAATGTCAAACCATCAAAGTTCAAAAACCATCAAAGTTCATATTCTGCAATAGTTTACAAATTAAAATAGTTCGTCATGTCGAATGTAACACTCTTTCTTGAAGTTTTTTTAGTTTCTAATACGGAACCTGAAAGTGAAATTTTCAGTGAAACTCGGCCCAATCGATCGTGGCTCACAAAAATACGCAAGTTATTTCACATGACAAGTAGAAAAGAAACTGTTCAAGGCGACTGTTTTATGGATGAACGACAGCCAAATTCACCAGGACATGAAGATCGCATGGAATGACAGCGCCGTAAAACTCGGCTGCAGTGACTGATGTGGCTTTCCACTCAAGGCATCGGAAAGGTTATCAGAGCAAGCTCTTATATTTCCATTCGAAGGGTAGTCTATTTAGTTCCTGAGGCTTGCTCCACTGCGATGACCGAAGATCGCCATCATGAGCTAGCTGCGATAGACCTCAGCATGATCGCAGTCGCTCTGACACCGTCATGATTCACATTTTTTTTATTACCGTACGTACTTAAACTTGCAATCTAACTGAGCGTGAAAACCTTTAAAACTCGGACTGTCCATTTTGTTTTATCTTTGAGGATTTTTGTCTCTGCTCACGTTACAGTAACGTAAATTACTGCGCCTGGCATTTTTGCAAACTTTCTCTCACTTGTTCCGAAATATTACTTTCAATTAACGAAAGAAAATCTAGAAAGAAGTCCCGGAAAAGGTCGAATATGGTACAATTTGGCAGATGGCGTGACAGCTTTAGCTTAGTTCTATGCTCTATTTAACAGATAGATTCCAAGTTGCCGTGCGTCTGTTCAGTAATAGATCCACAGATGACGTCAAAATGTGGTAGGAACAAAGAAGTGGCACACAAGGCGTAGCCGAGTGTGGCACTGATGTTCTTACCACATTTTGACGTCCTCTGTGATCTCTTACTGAACAGACGCACGGCAACTTGGAATCTATTTGTTTTATATAATAAAGAATTTAAAAAAAAGTTTTAATGAGGACGTCATCTATACGTCTGTCCTCCGATAGATCATAAGTGAGAACCAATCAGAATGCATGCATAACTGAGCTTATCATATGAACTCTCATAGAGGACGTTCTTTTAACCAATGACAGCACGCGTTGTATCCGAACTTTATTACAAATTGTTATCGAAGTATTCGTGTTATCAGCTAACCTATTAAAAGGATAATCTTCAAATTATCCCAATGATATGTATCATGACGTAGATTTGATTCTTTCTCCAATCAACAAGGAAAATGGTCGACACTGCAAATAGCACAAATCCAAGAGCGGGGGCGGGTGTTCTATCCGTTCTGTTTTTTTTTTGGATGAATGACGTGTTGAAACTGGGAAATAAGAGGTCGCTCAGTGATCAAGATCTGCTCCCTCTACTTGAAGACCAAAGAGCTGAACTTCTCGTAGGAAAAGCGGAAAAGAATTGGCTCAGAGAATTAGAGGAAAGGCAATTAAGAAACAAGAAACCACGCCTATGGAAGGCATTGGTTGCCATTATTCCTTGGAGATCAGCTATGACAATGTTAACTTTGCAAGTTCTCAGGTCTCTGAGTTTTTCCCTGCTGCCATTATGTCTGTGGCTTTTGTTAAAAGTTTTAAACGATGGATCAGAACTAAACACGAAGTTCGCGTTTTCTTACGTGGCACTCTTAGGTGCAATGAGTGTGGTACAAGCTGTCACAACACAACACTATGACTACCTTACAGAGCTGTGGGGACTGAAATTAAAAGTGGCGTTAATAGGACTTGTTTACAAAAAGGTAAGGTCGTTTATTGTTTAATCAAATAATGGAGTAGCTATAACCAAATAGGCGAGTTGGCATTTCTTGGGATGAGCTGGATTTCTGACTTTTTTTTTTCTGTGGGACATTTAGAATCTCTGAATACGGTAACACCAACAGTAGCTATCTAACATCAGCACATAACCGCATGAAAAGTGAGAAAACAGCTATAATATTCAATTTATTCCTCGACCATGCTATGAGATGATTTACCCGCACAACTGAACACGTGACAAAGCCACCGCATGCATTATGGATAATTTCGATTTACTGCTGAATTTCTAAGTCTATAAGGCTACGACCGTTTATGTTATTAATCACAGTCAATGTGTCAGTTTTAAATCTTTCTTACGAGTTAACAGAAACTGATGGAAGGAGCGAGCAAAGTAGTGACATGCAAAGTCCGATCGAAACTCAGAAAATGACTTCATATTCTGAGTAATATTGCTAGCAAAGCTACAATGCATGATTTCGTACGTACACCGAAATATTTCATTTGCTGAAATTCCGCTTGACACGCCTCGATCCCACAGATCCTGAACCCGACTCTTTTCAGGTTGTTTCATTGGATCGTTACAGCCTTGTAAATACAGCATCTGGAAACACTATAAATCTGGTATCAAATGACGCACAGAAAATAGAAAAGTCTCTGAACCAAATGGGCATGGTGTTATCTGCTCCGTTAGAGCTCGTGATCAGTATTCTGATCTTATGGTACCTGGTCGGTTGGGAGGCTCTCACTGGTGCTGGTATGTTTTTCTGTCTCGTGGCGTTTCAAGTTTTATTGGCGAAAAAAGCTGCCAGCCTAAGCGAGAAAGCAGCTTCTTTTACAGACGAGCGGCTGATGGTAATGAATGAAATTATCTCTGGAATACGTGCAGTAAAGATGTATGCCTGGGAGTGGAATTTTAGAGACCTTGTTCATGACCTTCGCAGGTAAAAAAAAAAATACGTGTAAATATGTTAGAAAGGGTAAATGGTTTGAAGCCAGGAGTAGTAATGTGCTAGTCTGAAGAGGTCGATGAGTCTTTCGTCACAGGAAGTTATCGTTTAGTTTTGTTTTGTTTTTTCGCAGAAAGGAGATGTCCGTTATACGCTTAAAAGGTGTCATAGTCGCCATCTTAGTCGTTTTGTACTTCACAACACTTCCGATCGCCTCTCTCATCTCGGTAGTAACATTGGCGTTTACGGGGACACAGTTATCTGCATTTACGGTATTTACTCTGCTTTTGGGCTTAACAACAATCAGGGCGACATTTTGCTACAATTTGAGTATGTCTATGCAAATGGTCGCAGATGCTGTAGTCGCACTGAATAGAATTCAGATGTTTCTTGAAGAACAGATACCTAAATATGTTGCAAAACCTGAAGGATCCCGAGAAAACGATGATCGGCTTTTGACAAAGGAAAGAGTTAGAAAATATGGATTAGTAAATCCTATCTTCACTCTCCAGGAAAGTGATACTCACCCTAGGGGAACCCAAGATCAAAAAAATAACGGGCTCTCGACAGACCACATGAACTTTGAGGACGAGCGCCCTGAGAGCTCGAAAAGTAATCTGTCTGTCAAATTAACTAGCTACAAGAGACGAAAGAGCTCCTCAGGCAAACCACATCAAACAAGCACTCACAACTCCCCAACCATAAGCACTGCAGAAGTCCCCTTTGATGACACACCCTATTTGCCCCAGGATAGACCGGAGTGGCTCACTACTCATGGATCTGTTGGAGAACATCAAGGAAATGCCTCTCACTTTAAAACGCCGTGCCTCTCCATCACTGATGTTTCTTGCTCTTGGAACCAAAAGGATCTACCCAATACCTTAACTGGCATTACTTTAGACATCATGAGTAGCAAAATCCTCGCTATAATAGGTGAAGTTGGAAGTGGAAAGTCAACCCTGTTACAAGCTGTCCTTGGAGAACTACCTCTCCACGAGGGAATTATTTCTTATCAAGGCAAGATAGCCTATGCTGCTCAAGTACCGTGGGTATTCTCTGGAACCATAAGAGAGAACATTTTGTTTGGACTTCCATTTGACGAGCAGAAGTTTCAACATGTTGTAGATGTATGCGGTTTGACCAAAGATTTTACGGATCTCGTCCATGGCGATCTCACAGAGATCGGAGAGCGAGGAGCAACCCTCAGTGGTGGTCAGAAAGCGCGGGTGGGATTAGCTCGAGCAGTTTATTCAGATGCCGATATTTACTTACTTGATGATCCATTAAGTGCAGTGGATACTAAAGTGGGAAGGAAACTTTTCGAGGGCTGTATTTGTAATCATTTGTCTGGCAGCATACGTTTATTAGTCACTCACCAGCTGCAACATTTGAAAGGTCTGGATCACATCGCTGTGATGAAAAATGGCTCAATCATCAATGAGGGAACCTTCACGGAACTTAAACAAGACGAGATATTTTCTGATCTTGAAGAATCATTCAAGCACCATGGGCCCGAGCAGAGACGAAAAAGCTCGCTGAGTCACTTTCAATGTAACAAAGAAGGACATTTCGCGTGGATGACGAACCGACGTCTATCATTGGTTTCACCTACTTTCTTGAAAACTGCAGATGACTTCCCAAATAGCTCAAGAAGAGTAACTATGTTTGATTTAAGGGGTACAAAGCCCCAAAGAAAATTGTCCACCTCAAATGTTCTCGCAAAATGCAAAGGTAACAAAGAAACAAGCATCTTGGAATTTGAAGGTAATCGAGAGTTGTCTACAGTGGGGGAGAGAGATTGTTTTCACCTTTCAAAAATGGAACCAGTGCCCAGTGCTTCCGAACAACCCGTTGTTGGTATAAAAGAAGACGAAGAAAATTTGATGTCTGGCACTGTCACCTGGCGACTTTATTGGAAATATTTCAAGGAGGGTCTGCCACTGCCCATGATCTTGGTTCTTGCAGTTTCCTTGATAGCAGCACAAGGTAACGACAGTTTTCATTGAAGATACTGTGTCGTGGGAGGCCCGCGTGAATTCTTTTTTCTATCATCAGAAACAGGCAATTTTAAAAAAAGAAACAAAACACCTTATTTTCACCAAAGAAAATTCTGCGTTCAGACATTTTATATCTTCAAAATCAACAACCGAGTTCCTGGAGGTTACGGAATAATTGTCCAATACAAAATGTCCACATTTTGGTGATAAAGTTCATGAATTACAAGCATGCGCACATATGTAAACGTATCGCATGTTCGAGGTCCCTTAGCATGTTAGGAGTTTTCTGTTATTTCTTAGCATGGTAAAGGCAATCTAACCATTTGAGTCTTTTTGACCTTGAACTTTAAAACACGACAAGGAAGTGAAAATCAGCGAGAGGTTCATTCACGACCCTCAAGGGAAAAGATCGCTTTTATTGTCAATTCAACTTACGACAGTTTTTTAACAGAGAAGTTGAATTCCAAACTAACGTCAAGATCCTTTCTTCAATGGCATCGTCTTTGGCCATTCATTATGGTTCAAATAACTATAGAAAAATATTAAAATAAATCTAATCTACATTAAGGATTTGTGGGGTCTTGATTTTGTACCGAACGCCTTCTTTTCATCAGGTCAGGATTAAGACTTCTTTTCTAATACTTGAAATGTTTCAGTTTCCCTAATAGTTCCAAACTGGTGGTTGGCTAAAATTGCAGAGATGTCATATGAAAAGCAGAAAGTCGTGGACATCCATGTTATTTACGCCATTCTGGTTGCTGTGTCAATCATTATCATGACAGCATCGTCTTTCTTGCTCTACTACATTCTCCTAAAAGCGTCCGAAACCCTGCACAACAAAATGACCATAGCGACAATCAAGGCTCCTGTGTTCTTTTTCGACACAAACCCAGCTGGTCGTATCCTCAATCGATTCTCCAAAGATGTTGGCTGCATGGACTACGTTTTACCGCCTCTGTTCTTGGAAGCCATCAAGTTTTCCTTATTCTCGCTATGTACTGTTTTGGTTCCTGCTGCAACAAACTACTGGCTTTTCTTGGCCTTGCTTCCAATCATTGCGATATTTGGCTATTATGCGCGTTATCAGTTGAAGTCTTCACGAGGAATGAAAAGGATCGAGGCAGTCAAGTGCAGCCCTGTATACTCACATATCACAGACACCCTAAATGGACTTGAAATAATTCACACTTCAAATATGGACGACGCCTTTATACAAAAATTTTACAGGTTAGTTCTCGAGAACTGCTGTCAACAGTTTGAAGCTCGACTGCAAATTATTATCTTAAGCTCTTTCCTTTTGTTAAAAGATTTTACCCTTAATTAGAATTGTTACCATCAAAGGTTCAACACAGTTTGACAAGGTTCAGCATAGTTTGTCAAATTTCTGGCCTTGAAAGTGGTTGCGATTGCTTAGAGGTTTGAGCTGTGGTAGCTAAATTACAGTTTTTTTAAAAAACGGAGGTTATTTACATGCAGTTCGCTCAATGGAAGTTGTTTTCCTCCTTTTCCCTGCCTGTTCCCATTTCAATCAGAATTCATTCGCCGTATTTCTTTCTTATGAAGGTATCAGGACGAGAACACACAAGCTTTCATCATGGTGATATCATGCACCCGCTGGTTGAGTATTCGCTTGGATCTAATGTCCAGTTTGTTTATTACGATTGTCGCATTAACTGCTATTTTGGTCGTAGAAAATCCTGGTGAGTACACGCAAGCATTTGCTGAAACAATGCGGGAAAAAGTCTTGTTACAATTTTTTTTCTCCGCCTCACTTAAGAGATGTGTACTGAACGATAAAGTGCTTTTGAATTCCATTTGGCTGGTTTAGCTCTCCTTGGGTATATTAGGAATATAAAAATGCCACACAAAGCTAGCTTGGCTACGGGTGCTAAATTGTTAAAACCGTTAGGCGATTACTTGCGAGGTTACCTATCTTGTGCCCTCCTTCCTGCCTCCCTTAAATATCAGTCCCAGTACTATTACACCATCCAACTTAAATATCGCAGCTTATTTTAGAGACTTTTTTTTCTCAGTACTAGCTGGACTCGCTTTAACGTACGTACTGCAATCTCTGGATATCACACAATATTCTGTACGCCTGGCCTCAGAAGTAGAAAATCTGATGACATCAGTTGAGCGAGTGATGTCATATGCAAAGATTGGCTCTGAGCCCGGTTACAGCATTGAAACCCGTCCCCCTCAGTCATGGCCCGGCAAAGGAAGCCTGAAAATAAAGCAACTTTCTTTAGCCTACCATGAAGGCGGACCTTGTGTATTAAAGAACATCACCTTTAACACCTGTGAGAAGGAAAAGATTGGAGTTGTGGGTCGAACTGGCGCTGGAAAGTCATCTCTGGTGTCTGCTTTGTTCCGTATGCCAGAACCCTCAGGGAAGGTAATAGTATGAAATTATGCAAATTAGCTTTATTCTTTACATTTAAGTCACACTGGTTTAAATTTGGGAAGAAAGCAGCAAGGCTCAGGCACCTTGTGACAGAAATGTCTCAGTTATAAAATAAGTTTGTGGAACGATTGGTACCCTTTTACGACATGGATTTTATCACAACCATATTTATACCTGCGGGTAGACATATGCTGAACTGTAAATTTCCTACCATAATTTATATTTCATCTGTGTAGGTGTTCATCGATGACGTTGACATTACGTCTATCAATCTCCAGGAGGCTCGGCGGTCCATGGTCGTTATAACGCAAGATCCAGTGCTCTTTGCCGGAACATTGAGAAGGAACTTGGATCCATTCATAGAGCACACAGATGCAGAGCTCTGGATGGTGTTGGAAGAAGTGCAGTTGAAAGCTCTTGTGGAAGATCTCCCAGGTCTGCTCGAATTCAAACTGAAAGAATCCGGAGCAAACTTCAGCGTTGGTGAGAGGCAGCTGATCTGTTTGGCTCGAGCTCTGGTCCAGAAGAGCAAGATCATCGTCATGGATGAAGCCACTGCCAATGTGGATTTCAAGACTGACCGACTGATCCAGCAGGTTATTCGTCACAAGTTTAAAGACTCCACGGTGCTTACCATTGCTCATCGTCTGAACACCATCATGGACTATGACAAGGTTCTAGTTCTTGATGGTGGACGAGTAGTGGAGTTTGACAAACCCGAAGTGTTGATGAGAAACGGTGGAATATTCGCTGAAATGGTGAAGAGCCAGACCCAGAGCAGCGAAACTCAAAACTGATTCTCGTTGTCTGGTTTCCATTTTTCTTTTCTTTTTTTACTTAAGCAATTGAAGAATTTTCTTCTATGCTTTGTGCCGGAAGCCTACACGGCAGAACCTTATTCTTTCGCAAGGAATTTTTTTTCACATTTTACTCGAGGATACTCTGTTAGTAATCATTTGTTTCACTCGATATCATGAGGATATCAAAACGTTGTACGCTTTCAACGTATTTCATTAACTGTGCAATGTTAACCTTTCCAATAATTTGCAAGAGGCAAACGATAATCAAGCCGGCTTTTGCTTCAATTATCATAGCTTTTTGTAAAAAACTTTTTTCATGTGATTATTGTGTAAACCTTAATGGGATCACGATGGTAGCTGACGTTATTTGTCTTTAACTCACTCCAGTTCGATGCAAATTATAGTAACATTTAACAAAGTTGATCATCGTAGTTAGAAATTATGATTAGAGTAGTTGAGACAATAAAACCTACTTGACCCGAGCCTCGAGTCCATGGCACTCCTTAAAGACCTGAAAGGCCTGTAGCTAACTAAGTCATCAAGCCAGATGATAGATGGCTATGGTATAACCCTATCACGGCTTAAAACCAGTCATTTTGATTCATTGACAATGAACTTGCTTGTTATTGGACTAAAACTGTACAGAGATAAACCTCGTAGAATAATCGTCGATTAAAGAAGATAATATTTTCGTTAGATCATCTCTCCACTTTCGAAGACGTCGTTGCAAGAATCTTTTAATCTAAGTTTGGTTTCCACCCCCATTGTTCGGATAAATGTCTCAAATTCAGTTTAAAACCTTTTATCATCTCGCTAAGAAATGCGGTTGATAATGATATATCTTGATATCCATTACGTTTTTTTTCTACTCTATCTACTCTCTCGAAGATTATTCAGTTCGTGAAAAATCCTGTCACAACTACAGCCTAGAATCGTTTGGGCTTTTTTAGCACGTTTTTCTCTAGGTTTAAGAAAACAACAAAACAATTGTTGGTCTGTATTGCGAAAGACTGTGCCCTCTGCTAATACGGACCACTTGGCCAGTGAAAACCATATGTCATTGTGAGTACAATATGAAAACTAAGCAGGCTGTCGAGAGAAAATGAACAAGTGTTTTCAAATTGTATAGGCAGAATCGTTCATGGCAAAGATGAAGCATCTGTGTCCGTAGAACAAAATTTCTCGGCCAAATCCCCGCGATTTACCCTACATAGGGCAGCGTATAGAGCTCTACATATTGCAGCTGTGTGGCTTTTTGTTTCCAACCTCATCCAGTTTGATAGGCGTTTTTCTGCGATACTTTATCGCATTTCAATCTGGTCAATCTTGGACTCTTCCATGTGAAGCAAATGAAGCCTAAGAGGCTTTCACTTTTCAAGTTTCTGTGCCAAGTCTTGCAGCTCTGCCAAAGTGGGACAACCTTCTTTGACTCTATCCGCTAAGCTAATATTCAAAATGAAAGTAATCCTTTAGATTTTACACTTTAGGCCTCAAGCCAAAGTGAATTGCATTTTAGCAACTTAGCAAGATGATTGATTAAAGCTGGAAGTTAGAATTTTGTCCTGGTTTTTAAATGACGTTTTCAATCAGCGATAGTAACAATAAAAGATCACAGCTACAGATATTATTCGTTCGATTATAATTGACTCTGAATGCCCGTGTAGAGGAAATAACTTGCAAATACATACCGAGCACACCCATTTGAGATGAATTTCCTCAGAGTCCTGGTCGATATTATTTTAATTGAACCGAAAGCTCATTTTGAGTAAGCTTTTGTCAGACTACCTTACTTGACAGTCCTTTGCCATAAAATTAACAGACTGTTCTCAAGAAAGAGATATGATCATCCATGAGCTCAAACGAAAAACCAAAGGACCTTTAGGGATACTAAGAAAATCGTGGATAGCTGGGAGAAACCATGACGCCGTGTTCCATAACGTTTTGGTAATGACAAAAGTGTCTACCTTATTCTGCGACAGCCGGGCCATGAAGGGAACCGTTACATTGCAAACCAACTGTAAGGGAAAAAAATGAGATGTACTCGACGAGTTCCACGAATGTCTCTCTCGCTATTTGACTAAAATTTCATCGAAAACCAACTAAACTAGCAGTTTAAGTAAGGTTTCAACACTGGTGTAGGTACTAATAGCCTCCATAGTAGTCCGTGTTTGTTGCTAACAAATGACGCTTGTCTTTGCGAGAGAAAAACATTTAATTGGTACATATTCTTCAACATGAGCATGTGTATGAGTTAAGTTTAAACTTAAGCACACGTCTTCTGCCTTCGTATGATTCATTTGGCATGGCTTGTTTTCCTTTTAGCGAAAATCTATCAGAAAGGTCTCTAATCTGGTGAAGGAATTTCCCTAAACCTGTCTTACAGAAGACTGGTCCTATAGAGGAAGAGTACTATAACAGAACCTCTCTTTGATCTCAAATAGAGGAAGCCCCCGAATCTAAAAAGATATCAATTTTTGTGCTTCTGGTACAAAAAAGAACTAACTGAAATTTCAAGGTAGCAATGGCACTGCAAAATCATCTTTTGTTGCTGCTTTGTTTTTATAACAGATCTGTAGGGTCTTAATATTCAATTTTATTTTTCTTGAAATATTTCATAGCTTACTTAAGCAAAAACAAAAAAACAAACAAACGAACAAACAAATAAACAACAACAACAACAAAGACATAATATGGTTTTATGAATTAAGATGGTAATGTAAATCGGCCACTGTAAGGAGGTTCTAAAGCTGACGTTTCTCGCCCTTTGTCAAAGCGAATCAACAAAACTAGCAAACAAACTAATTCCTTGTCGTCTCGGTTCATTAAAAGGCAAAAAAAAAATGGAAAAAAACTCGGCCAGTATCGAGCCGACTTCACCTCACGCTAAGTCAACAACGCATATCTCTACTTGTTTCGATATCTCTATAATTGACAAGATACCTGCGTGCGATGCCACCAAACTGTCATTAATATGTTTTCGAGACTGGTCAACACTGAGAATTACTCATTTTACTTGAGACTTAGGCCAGTTCATCTCTGTTATTTTTCTGACAAATTTATTATTAACGAGGAAGTTCTCTGCTCCATAGGAGATTTCTTAGAGTCGGTATAAGCATCTATTCTGAAAGTAGAGACTGAATCTCTCGCCTGACTGTTTACTTTTTTTCGCCTACAATTAAGATTTCGAAATCAATATATATCTTTTTAAGTTTGAAACTTAAGCTCGAACCCTAAAATCTCCGCACAAAATTTATGGAAATATTTACTGATTACTTATTTCCTACACTGTGTTTTCTAAATCATAGACCGTTTTAAAAAAAACGTATATTTTTGTCATTTCAAAAATACGCGCAAAATAACAATCCCTAAAATTTTGAATCAATCTGGTCCCACCGCGTACTAATAAATGAATTTGGGAAATTTTATTTAAGAGAATATTCGATAATCTATGTTTGAGAATGTTTGAACGCGATTTAGACGTTGCCCAGGTTACGTTTTTGTTTTGAAAATCACGAAAATATATTTTGACTTTCAAATTGAATGAAGAAAATTCCGTAGAGTTGTTTTGGTTTCCCTGCGTGCCGATTTCATCGCTGTTAATTCCTTAATCACTTTTTAAAATACCGGTTGAAAAAAAATGTAAATGATAAATACGCAAGCTTTTCATCAAAATTTAGCGCTTTCTCGCTGAGTACGTCATGGGGGTTAAAAATTGTAGAAAATCGCTAGCTTCTTTTTATTCAGAGTCAGTATCTTGAATTATTTATCGGTCACCCGAAATCGTTGTATTGGAAACAATGCCGGTAACACTGAATAATTTATTTTGAAAGCTTTGTTCATTAAAGAGTGTGCGTGGCTGCATATCAAACTTACGTTTAACATCTGCCTCTGTAGATTTTCGTGACATGTCACGCAGTCTAAGGTCAGTCAAAAACACGCTAATTTTCGAACATTTTCCTCTTTTTCGTGTATTTCATTTGAATTGCTATCTTTCTTACCTTCAGTTTCTAAAACTAACGTACATAAGCTTTCTATACCACTGCATTTGAAGGCAATCATTAAAATATTTCGTTCGGGTTTTTGAGACTTATGGTTAGCGATTCAGACATGTCGAAGAGGGGTTCACGCCACATGCAAGCAGTGGCCATGGAGTCTGGCGCTATATCTCTAAAGCGCATGCCTATAACTGGTCATTACCGCGAAATACGAAAAAAACAATAAATTTGGCGCAATTTGATGTATAATACATGAGGTTTGGATATTGTTTGGGTTCGGGAAATGGGACTCGAAGTTTACGCGCTGGTGATTTTTTCTTCGCTGGCTCTTCTCGCGGTGGCGGTAGATGCACAAAACGATTTCGGCGAAGAAACAAATGGTCCAAAAGGGGAAAAACTGCCTTGGTTTACTTACGAAATAAACAAGTAAGTAAAAATTGCGCTTATCGAAGTGTATTCCGACCTGTTTCTTTTTTCTTTTCAATTTTTTTCAATTTTTTTTCACCGAACTGGTTTTTTTTTTAATCAGCTATCTCATATATTCCCTGTCGAAGAAGTCTGATCAAGAGCCGAACGACGAAAGTGCTGATTCTGTGATTGTGGGGAATCGTGGAAAAAATTTTGAGGGAATCTGAGATTCACAGAGTTGTTATAAATTCCAGAATTCTCAACGTCTTCAGGAAAAAGATTTCTCTCCTCCACTCAGCGTTCAAGAAAGCGTCAAAAAGTGGGGGGAAAAGTATAAAGAAGCTTATTGATGCGTGGAAGGCAAAAAACTACTCCTTCAAAATTTTCTATCATGAGCTCGAAAACAACTCATTGATTGAGGAAAACCAACAGCTTCGTGGGCAGAAAAGGAAAGCTGAACTGGATTTAGCCGCAGAGCAGGCAAAGCGATTAAAAATTGAGCAGGAGCTTTAAGATGTTATTAGGGATTCGGAAAACAGAAAAGAACAATACAAACAAAAATTCAAAAGATTAGCGAAAAAAGCAGCAAGAATGCAAAAAAAGGGACAAAGAGGTCCAAACAAAAGCAAACGTTTCACTGATTATACCAAACAACATCAGGCAAGATTAAGGCGAGGATTTAAAGAAGACTGCCACTCAGCACTGTCATTTTTAGGCCTCTATAATTTTATTGCCACCAAGGTTGAGGTATTTAATAATGACACTCAACAATATGAAACTATTTCATTGGTAGAAGAGGGAGAGTTACAATTGGAAACAGAGCCAAGAGAACTGACTGACAATAATATTGATGACATAAATATGTGGGTTTACTTGAAGGACAAATTCAATATATCTAATGAAGCTTGGCATGAGTTGGCCATGAAGTGTAAAGACATGCCCACAAAATATAAAATATGCAAACACCTAGGTAAGCTCAATGCCAATTGGAATCTGAGAAGTACACCAGGGAAGGCAGAGGGAGTACAGATTTCTTTCAGGGAGAGTCTTGAGGAACAGATAAAAAGGCTGCAGAAAAATGGAGTATTGGACAAGGTTACTACTATTAAAGTAAAGCTCAGTGGTGATGGTACCAACATTGGGAAAAGGCTTAAACTTGAAAATGTGACATACACAATTTTGAATGAAAAGGATGCAGCAATGAATGAAAAAGGGAACTATGTTCTAGCAATAATTAAGACAACAGAGAACTATGACAATCTTAAAGAAAGCCTTGCTGATCTAAATAATGAAATGTCAAATTTAAAAGAAATAACTGTAAATAGTCATAAGTATAGCATTGAGTATTTTTTGGGAAGAGACTGAAAGTTTCTAGCCTGTGTTTGTGGTTTAGGAGCTGCTAATCAAAATTTCTCTTGTATTTGGTGTAAGTGCCCAAGAAATGAAAGGTTTGACATCAGTAAAAAGTGGTCTATAACTGACAAATCTCTTGGGGCAAGAGATTTACAAGAAATAGGTAAGTATGCAAAATATAAGCAATATAATTGTAAAACTAATCCATTATTTGATTCTATTCCTATAGACCATGTAATAATTGATACTCTACATTTATTTTTGAGAATATCTGATAATTTAATTGAACTTCTGATCAGGGAACTTCGCAGGAAAGATGCCATTGACAAGGTATCTACTTTTTCAAATGGGTTTTGTCGAAATAAGTATAGACATATGGCTGGGTATGAGAAATTTGTAAAAGAACTTGGAATTAATTTTGAATGGAAAATTAATAGGGACAGCAAGAAGTTGGAGTACAGAGGCCTTACTGGACCTGAAAAACTCTTGCTTTTCCAACATATCAATTTTCACTTACTATTACCAGAGTTTCATAATGTGGACAAGCTGCAAACCCTTTGGGATAATTTCATAGATATTATGGGTGATCTTAAACTTAATTACACTACAGATGATGCTATCTCTAGCCTCAAAGACAAAATCAAAAAATGGTTTCAAAAATTCTTAGACCTTTACCAAGCAAAAGATGTAACATCATATATGCATTCTTTGTATGCTCATGTACCTGAATTTTTAAAGCTCTACCAAAATTTATCTTATTACACTCAGCAAGGTATAGAGAAGTACAATGACACTGTATCTAAGGACTACTTTAGATCATCTAATCATAGAGGGGTTTCTGCTCTAAAGCAACTTTTCTTGAAAAAACACAGAATACAGCTTTTGGAAGCTGCTGGTTTGGAAAGGGTGAAGGAAAGTTACAACTGTGGAAACTGTTCAACTTCTGGCCATACCATCAAAACATGTACTGCAAAATGCAGCAAATGCAATGCTCCCACTTTCTGTGCACATCTTGATAAAATAGATGGTAAATGGAGGCCAAGATGTGATTTAATCAATCAGTAATCATATAATATATCAATGTATTAAAGGAGTGTATTACCAAAAACTGTTAGTAGAAGTTGTGTAGAATAATTTGCTATGCCTGTGAAATGTTTCTTGTATACAGCATTCAAGGAGTCTTTTTTAAAAATGTTACTGCATTGATTACAACAGAATCACAGACTGAAATATATGGGTCATTTATAACCACATGTTTACATTTTATGAAGGTAATTCACATGCAAGTAAAATAATTCTTTGACATCAACTATCAAAATCAATAAATATGTGCTAAATCAAATATATTAATGATGGACCATACTTTTGTATCCACATCTGTTGCCATCTCCACTGACAAATGTAAAAACGAGTTGATGCCCGTCTTCGATTTCAGATCTCACGTATTTATCGCCAATTAATTTAAATTCCACTATGGGGTTTCTTTTTGTCAACCAAAATCTCACAGTTCCTGGTACAACATAAGCAAAATCGCCGTTTTCATTCATGATCCGCTCATTCCACTTTGTGCCGATATAACAATCCAGAGTTTCATTTGAAAGAATTTCATATATTAGTTTATTCCTCTGATATTTTTTGGATGAAATCCTTCCAAGACTTTTATAGAAAACGTCGTCATCGACTTGAATTTCAATACGAACTTCTGGATCCTCTCTGCGCCCGGAGTACAACTTTCGCTTGATCTCCCTATAAACGCGTTCATAAAAAGTTTGCAGGCGATCGCTGAAGGAATCATCGGTTGGTTTTGACATCGGTTCCAATCGCATTACGGGCAAATTATGTTCATCGCATGGCCTCCATTCGTCAAATTTCTCACTGTACCCTTTGAAATGAATTTTGACCATGTTTCTCGCTTTGTCGACCTGTATTATCTCTACAGGATAAATATTCTTATCCGTAGTTTTTATTTTCTTGCATTGCTTGGTCTTAGCTTCTGCGAATTCGTCAATAAATCTCTTCGGAGTCTTACGCTCCCGCTTCACTCTGTTAGCCGCCATTTTAACATTGGCACCATTTTTAACATTGGCGCTCTTTGCATATTTAATTGCCCTGCGCATGTCAGGTGAGTAATACGGAGGCTTGGGACCAATTTAAGCAAATGTTCAGTTTTCTATAGGATAAGTTTGATATGCTTAACTTACCTGCGAAACTATGCACTTTGCATATTTCAATTTTAATAATGCCAATGTTGTTACGTTGTCGTCAAGAGCAGAAGTTTCCGGTGTTTTCTAGACATTATTGACGTCACCGCAAAATCACCCGCCAAAAGGCGCTAATTTAAAAGCAGTTTTCTGATTGGTCGACGTAGGCAGATACAACCCACAATGCAGCTCTCTCATGCTAATTTTTCTTGGCGGCCATTTTGTATTGAAAGGTGAATGTTAATTAATGATATTCACAATCGAGTGAAAATCGTTCAAGCAGCGAAGCGCATTTACCTGTCCTGTCCATTTCGCTGGTATTGAAAGCCTTTGACGATGTCTTCGAAGCTCTGAACTTGTGTTGATCGTCGATATAATTACCAATATATGGCGTGAAGCAGGGACAACGTTTGTCAGAAATCCAGAGTCCATCCACGCAATTTTGCAGCGACGTGATAATAATTTTTTTCTAACCATCTCCGCGGAGAGATCGAATATGAATGAAGTAGTCTATCGCTGTCGTGCTTGGCTTCGTATTAACAAACCGGACTCTATTCCTGGAAATTTTCTTTTGTTTTAATTTCTGGCACAATAACCTCATGGAAGACGAAACATCGGTTCGAGTGGCTTTGAGGTAAGGGTTTACGGTGATCAAGGAAAATTCTTTGAAATACGCCAGCAGTTTATTACCAGATCAAATGATTTAGACACCCTGCCAAGTATTGTGTAGCGTGGCTTTTTAAATCTATTTGTGCCCTTTTTATGTTTCTGTTTTGTAGGATTCGTCCTCAAAGCGCCGCCGAGCGAATAGACATGTGTAGAGTTTGTACTTGCGTTACTCCAGGACATCCTCAAGTTGTTCTCGGAAAAGACAAGGCCTTTACGTTCGATCATGTATTTGACATCGAGAGTAAACAGTTTGTGATCTATGAGCAGTGTCTTAGAGGACTCGTTGAAGGGTGAGTTAACTTAAATGGCGTTTTGGCGACTTTATTTTGAGGCCGTATTCATGCTATGTCATGATTGTTGTACATTTCATATGTTGATCGACGTTGGCCGCTCGCAAGTGCCAAAATTGCGTTTGTAAATAAACTTATGTTTGCGTGATTGAAGTAAGCTTTTCTTACGCCAAGAATTTTTTTTTCCTCTTCATTTCAGCTGCCTTGATGGCTATAACGCTACAGTCCTTGCTTATGGGCAGGTAATTACACTTTTGTTCGTCTAGATATAATTTGCATCTGTATATGCGTAAAAAAGTTTAATAAATGTAATCGGTGTTGCACTGAAGAAATTATGGGCAAGTGTCCTTAGTCAAAGTGAATTTCCGGCGGTAACTTTATTTTCAAAGCTTTTTAATGCCTTCTCACGCCGTAATTTTTGCACGGTTCATATATTTTTCTATTTCAAAGAGGCTATATCATTTAATCCCTGTTGTGAATAAAACAGTCTCCCCTGGAATATTGTTAATGTTGGTTTCATTTAAATGTTCACCGGGAGGTTTTCATGTCCATCTCCTAAATTCTGGTCTTGTTCATTAAACCTAAATGCAATCTGTTTGTATTTATTTTCGTATTTTGCGTTCGAAATGATTATTGGAGATTTCGTCCCTTTGAGCCTGTAATCGGCGATCTATCTCGAGTCCATTTGATTCCTATCTAGGAATAATAGAGTACATTGTATATTTGAGACGTGTATTGGTCCGTTGCTGTTCTGCATTAACTACCGTGGACACGAATTTTCTCAAATTATTCGCCACTTTCACGGTTGATAAAATGTAATCCATTTACGCGGTAGTTCATCCGTGAATTTGAAATTAAATTACACAAAATCAGAGAACCTAAATGTAAACCACAATATTTCATTTTACCATAAGATGTATAATCTCAGATTATTTCTTATTTCGTCTAGCTTTTGTGAAAATTAAGACCTTTGGTATTATTGATATCTCGAGCTTAGAGTGTTTGGTTATGGAATTTTATGGTTTTTTTGTTCTGTGCTAATTTTAATTTGAATGCCAATTCGCCCCTTCACTTTTGTCTTTGTTTACATTTTGTCAAAGCTGTAGATATTACATATCATCTTGGAAATTTTTACAAGGTTCAGTAAACATTAACTCCATCTCCTGGAGTTACTGAGTGGCATCAGTGATTAAATAGTAAAATTTTGCTTTGAATTAAACCTACCTATAAAAATACTGGGAAAATATTGTAAATAATTATTTGCACTGTGCAAACTCTAATCCTAATGCTTAAGTGGGGTCACAACCTGTTGGAGAATCCTTTTGGTGAATTTTGAGAAAATTTAAATCTTGCGCTGCACTTTTTTATTCACTGGGTTTTAAACTGTAGCCTTAGCAAAAGAAAAATTATTTGACTGAAGGTATTGATCTTGCTTCTGATTGTTTTTGTAGCTATTTTTAGCTAAGATAATATTTACAATCTCAAGAGTGAAAAGTGACAGTATTGATCTAATTTTTGTTGGATGTTTTCAATCTGTGGCTCTTGCCATATCACCAAAGTTTTATAGATAGATCTAGATTAACTATTGACCCTCCTTTGCCATTTTGCGGTACAATGAACTAGTTTGGTGAGGGTGCATTCTATTGTTCAGTAGCAGATAAAAGGAAAAAAAAAGGCTGTTGGTGCAGTAGGTGGATTCAACTGCAGGGTATAAATGCAATATTGATTTCTATGAAATATTGGACTGATGCCTTAAAAATGTCAAGATATAATTTTCAATTTTGTGTATATGTCTTCATAAATTATATTGTTGTAAGTGGATGACTGTTTCATTTTTTCTGTGTACTCTTAATGCCATGGAGATTGGTTCACCCTTGTGGAATAATCAACAGATTCACAAAGTGCATTATGAATGCAGAAAATTAAAATTTCAGTTTATGTACTAATCAAATTCAGGGGTTTTAAAATAAAATAGCTTTTTCACCTGGACAGATTTAACTAATATATGGTTTTGAAACCCTGATTTTCAATTTTTTGATAATAAACGAATTACTAGAAATTTGAAATATGTAAGTTATGCCTGTGAAGTTTACAAAAAATGTTATATACATGTAATCTACCATTCTTCTGTGCACCTTGCTAAAACATATTTTCATGGTTCCAGTGGTGTGCTAATTCAGTGTTCATATTTCATAACTGCTTCCAAAAAATTTTGAACAATATTTGCAAATGACTCAGTTGGTTAAATTAATTGTAAATGAATGCTTTGGAAAGGAGTTATTGCTATGTTAAATTTGTTGTTGAAAAAGGCTACTATTCTTTAAAAATGGTGCACAGGCTTGTAATTTGTCTCCTTAAATCTATGTTAGAGAATGGTGGTAGAGAGAATTGAAATGAAAATGAAAAGTTGGTCTGTACAATACACTTTAAACAGTGGCTTTCATCTGATATGCAGTGTATTTCAGAGGACATGGTCCTTAAAATGCTTTGTGAATGGTGGTTTTTATCTATAGTGCGGTGTATGTCAAAATAAATAATTATTGCCCCTTCTGAGTTTTATGCATCATCAGAGAACACATTTTAGCTAAAATGCATGTCAATATTTTTCAGTTTGAAATAGTTCATTGTTTCATCTTTTAGATTTAAATGAAACTCCAATTCAGATTATTCTCTTTCTGTTTAATTTATCTTGTCATTTTGTTGCTGCTGTTAAGGAAACCAGCTCATTTTTAGTCCCTTTAATCTGTGTTGTTGTAATGCAATAAAACTAACAATCGACTGTCGAACTGCCTCTTGTACATAAGGTAGTTAAAAAAAGAAAAATAAAAAAAAGAGAAAAGAAATTTACAGTCAGTTTTCTTATGGAACAAATACATTTATAAATTTCCTCTTTGTACAGACAGGAGCTGGCAAGACATACACAATGGGGACAGGGTTTGATGTTACTGTGACACAAGAAGAGGAGGGAATCATTCCGCGAGCTGTTGCACATTTATTTGAGGGAATCGACAGAAGAAAACAAGATGCCAAACAAAGAAATGAACCTCAGCCTGATTTTAAAGTCACTGTTCAATTTATGGAGGTGTGCACAAATAACAACTTTAACCTCCATTTTTAGCAAAATTTTCTCTTGCTTTCTTTTGCTTTCTTTTTCTCCCTAAAATTTATCATGAGCAACACCATAAATTTCCCGTATTTTATTTGTGAAAGAAAATCAGCATGGCAGTTCATGAACTTACTGATGAAAGAATGCATTTTCTATTGACTTTAGCCATTAAAACTCTAACATCAGTATCCATATTCACAATACTCCTCTCTATACTTTTTGTTTGGTACTGACAAGGAGTATTTTGTTTAAAAATCAAAACTTCTTGTTGGTGATCATTTATTCTTTTATTCTGATAATCTTGATGAATGATTCAGCTGTTTTACTGAGAGGAGGGATGACATGCAGATGTTGGTCACTCTGTAGAATTAAAGAATTAAACAGAATTTATGGCATGCAGAAATGGCAGAATTTGTCAAGTTGCAGAGCCTAAACTCTTTCTACAGTACAGCTCTGTTGAGTTAAAATGTCAACTGAAAAGAATTTAAATTTGGTAGAGTTTAACTGATCTTAAAATATGGCCCTAGAGGTTGCTCCTTGAATTATATTTTACAGGAAGTTTGAGTTAGCATAATTCTGTTATTTACATTGAGAATGGTAGAAGTAGGCAGAGGGTGGGTACTATCATCTGTGGATTATTATGAGTTCATAATCTGCAAATCCTTCTTGGTTTTAATTTTGACTTTCTGACTTCTTCTAGCTTTATAATGAAGAACTTATGGATTTGTTTGATTTGGATAACAATAAGGTATGGTCCAGTTTTGTGCTGTGCATGTTTATGTGCATGCATACCACATTAACTCTCAAGTTCCTTTCTAACCAATATATCGTCTGCAATTCTGTGAATGTTACCCAAACAAATGTTAAGAAGAGGTACATTTTACTAGCAAGGAATGTTGTCTTAAAATAGGGAAAAAGATTTCTAAGAACTAGAATCTGCAGATTTGGCAGTAAGAGTATTTAGTATGTGTATTTTGAAATAAAATTTTGTTGTCCTTTTTGCCTCCAAGGGTCGGAAGAGTAATGTAAAAATTCATGAAGATGCAAATGGAAATATTTATACTGTGGGTGTCACTATGAAGCCAGTGAACTCAGCACAAGATGTAAGTTTTCACTCCTTTTTATTCCATAGATCTCATGAGTAATTCTTCTTGCTTTCTGTGATACATTTTTTATCATGTTCCCTTGGAGAATTTGATTTTTGATCAACTTATTCTCTCAACTTATTACTTGATATTTTTCTTTATTCCTGTTATCTGTTTGAGTAATACAGATATTTACAGAGAAATCTGTTATTAGTCACTCGTGGAAGTTAAAGGGTTAAATTGCTGTTCATAAGGCATGATTTTATCTTCATGATGAGCGCATCTTGATTTAATGTCATTTAAAAACAAAACCAAAATAATCAAAACAACCAATCAAAGTGTAGGAAACAATCAGAGAGGGCTGATGAGAACTCTAATTAAAAACAAGGGAATTTGTCTTATCATGGAAAAAAACAATAGGAGTGGCTAAATAATGATTGATTTTAGTTTTGGATTTGAATTGGTCAAGAAAGTGGTATTAGTTCCTGAGACAAATTAAAGGAAATCAAAGGAATCCGGAACTACTTTTGAAACACATTTGAAATGTGTACAAGAGAATAGACATGTTTAAATCAAGGTATTCTGGCTATGTGTTTGTTTTTTGTGGATATATCCTCTGTTATAGAACAAATATTACCTGAATACACTGACAGTTGTCTTTTATTTTATGTTTTCTATTTCAGACTCTAAATTGTCTGCAACAAGGAGCCTTATCTCGTACAACTGCCAGCACAAACATGAATGCACAGTCATCAAGATCTCATGCCATATTTGCTATTCATGTCAAGCAGCAGCGTGTCGTTAAGGTAACACTTTGTACACAGATGTACAACATGTGAATCCAAAGAAGAGAAGAAGAACATTTCTTGACCAGGAGGACTGTAAAAAATAAATCAAAGTATACAAAAATTTGCTAAACCACCAGACTCTGAACTAAAAGACCTTCATCTAACCAATTTTATGCAGTGTGCATTTGGGTGGGTTTAATGCAGTTTGCAAGAAATCATTGATTTGTGATTTTTTTACAATGTACGGTGTATATTGTATTTAGGGGATTGACCTCATCCTACTGCACAAGGGAATCCAGGGGAATCAAATTGGATTGTATTTGTCTCCCTAATACTGCTTTGGGGTAAAAGTTTTAGGAAAATTTTACAAAAAGAAAAATAGAAACTTTGAATTTATGAGGTTTCTGCGACATGCACTTTGACCAATAATTTGGGACACTGATTTACCAAGATTGCATATACATGTAAGTTGAAATTACAATACCGACAGAATGATGTCTGAATTTCAAGGTTTTTTTTTCAATCAGCTAACAGATGGTGATGACAAGCAAGGTTCTGAAAAAATCAGTAACTATGAATATGAGATGCTTACAGCCAAATTCAACTTTGTGGATCTTGCTGGCTCTGAGAGACTCAAAAGGACTGGGGCAACTGGTGACCGGGCGAAAGAAGGCATCTCTATCAACTGTGGTTTGGTAATTAGAAAGTCTCTTTATTTCAATTTAGCCTTTGTAGACTGTGATTTTACTTGGGGGCTTTCTCTCAACTCAACAACTTGTGTATGGGTTTATGGGTTTATTTCAAATTAAATGACTTTGTAAGGTGATTTCTGCGTGGATACAGTATCATGTATGTCTTGTTATATCTAATAGATTTTCTTATGCCTTAAAATATTTTCTACACTTTTCTCTTTACATTTCCTTGGTACTGACAAGGAGAATTTGACAATTGGGAGTTTCATAAATTGGTGATCATTTCCTTTTTCCTCATGACGTCAATGTTTGATTCAAGGGTGGTGCTGTTGGGAAATATGAGAAGCTAGTCTCTCTTGGGGTTTAGATGTTAATATATCTTATTCCTTGCTCACTGTATTTTTCACACAAGGATTATTTTTGTGAGACTTTAGACATTTATTCTGCCTCAATGATTTCAAAACTTAGTTAAAACCTGTACATTGTGAACTGACCCTTATATATTTCGGTTCATGATTTTAGTTGGCCCTTGGGAATGTTATCAGTGCTCTTGGAGATGCTACCAAAAGGGGAAGCCATGTTCCTTACAGAGATTCCAAACTCACAAGATTACTCCAAGATTCTCTGGGAGGCAACAGGTGACTACTCATTCAAGCAGTTTACTGAATGTAATCGTCTTAACTTGCTCAATAAGTGGGCCCAACAGTATTCAGATCAAAGGAGTTTAAAGTTAAGTTTCTGTAGCATGATGCAACATTGTGTTTAGTAACTACCTCTGGATGAGGTGTTGGTTCATGAAGCAAATCTGTCTCCCACAAAATCAAAGTGAGTACTTGATTCTAATTGCAGAAGTTGGGTCATGTATTATTATGTTGTTGCAATGGCAACAAATGGATAAGTAACAGTACTGACCCATTTTGGATTTGTAAATAATAATCAAAGTAGTTAATGATTTTTCTTTTTCTATTAGTCGCACTCTCATGATAGCCTGTGTTTCGCCATCTGACCGAGACTTCATGGAAACCCTGAATACACTCAAGTATGCAAACCGTGCTAGAAATATCAAGAACAAGGTGACTTGATTTCTTAGCTGAGTTTTATTGATTTGCATGTAATGAGACAGGTTAATCAGTTCCAGTTTACAATACCACTTTCTCCACTTTATGCCTGGTAAAGAGAGAATTACTTTCCAACTTTTGTTGCAGTATATAACGGATACATTGTTACAATTGTATTTAAGAAAGATGAGAAGTGGGATTGATTCTATTGACGTTGTGCTGAAATTGCATAGTGCAATTAGGAAAAATTTTCTCCCTTGTTTTCATTCACTAATTCCTGGTGTAATTGAAGTTTGGGAACATCAAGAGAGAGAAGCCCCTTTTTTTAGCTTGGGCAAGAACCACACAAGCTGAATGTGGTCCTCAGCAGTTAGGGGCAAGTGCTCTCACTTAACAACATCATCATGCACACAATGTTCCTGTATGTCACCTCCTATCAGACTCTGAGACATTCGTCAGGTCTTACTATTGTTATTGATTCTATGCCTTTCTAAATCCACAAGCCAAGTTTCCATCTCCCTTTGAACTGAAATGTGAACATTCAGTTGGTTTTGTTTCCAAGGTGACTGTGAATCAAGATAAAGCAAGTAAACAGATGGCTGCATTGAGGCAGGAGATACAGAAACTTAGTCTAGAGCTGACAGAATATAAACAGGTACATTATATGTACAGGTGTATGCATGGAAGGCAAGCCAAAACAATTAAATTATGAGCTAGAAATTGTTATGTAGTAATTTCACATAAATTATCTTGCATAGAAATTAAAAGGGAATAATCCGATTGTACAGTATTTACTTATTTTTAAAACTTAATTAAAGTATGGGCTCATTTTTTTAAATTTCATTTTAAGCTCACTTTCATTTAATTTTCTCACTATCCAATCATATTGCAGCATTAGTGACAGAGTGCTTTCAGATTTATACTAAGTGTAATTAATAATGGTAATTGAACTGAGTGGAGTGCAATTTGGACTGAAATCGTACGCATGATTTGAAATTACAAGTATGATTTCAGACCAAAACAGCACGATACGAGGTTGAATTACCACTTTATTACATCCATTTTTAAAATCACTCAAATACAGGACTTGGTCAGTTCAGATATTTTATCAATGTAGTACTGATCCGGTTTGAAATTAAATTCATTCTTTTTTTTTTTTGGGGGGGGGGGGGAGTTTGCCAAATTTTCCCCCCCATGTGGCAAAATTTGCCACATGATACTCTTGGTCTTTCCTCTCCCTGTAATTTGATTGGTTACTTTATACAAGCCTTGAAATCTGGTTGGCTGTTTAGTTTTTAGTGTAGCCTCCTCTTTGGCTGGGAAAAAGATGCGATTTAAAGCAAAAAATGGTGCGATTCGTGAATAAATCGAACCAATTAGAGCCAATCAGGTTACAGGGACCACCAGTGATTTCAAAATGGGTGTAATAAATGCTGTCGTTTTTCCCTAATATGCATTATGAGATTTATGCTGTTACATGTAAAAACTTTAATTGCGCTTCTGTGAATAATTGGTTTTTTTTTTGGTAGGGGAAACGAATTTCTGGAGTGGACGGTGAGCAAATCAGTGATGTTTGCCATGAAAATGTGATGCTAAAAACCGAAAATGACAAGTACGTATGTTTTAATTTTATTATTACACTCATATAATTACTAATTTTGCGTTTTCCTTGTTTCACAATGAATTGAATGTCAAGATTTCTATATTCCTATTTAAAACTACTTAGAGAAAGGAAAGTGTACTATGAGTTAATCATTTACTGTGTTACAGACTGACCTGTAATGTACATTTGGTGGTTCATGTTGGTGCCTAATAATATGACTCGAAAAGTATTGAATATTAATCAAAATTTATCTTTTACACAGACTTCGTGTGCGTATCAAGGCCTTGCAGCAGACTATTGATACACAGTCAGTCAGAATAGCGGACCTTATCTCCTCTCAAGTTTTGGCGTCTATGAATGGTATGGAAAACGATACAGTGTATTTGTTTATTGGAGTTATTAGTGTCACTACCAAAGACAACGTTACAGAGATATAAAAGCAGATAACGATAACTTTGCGCCCCTCATTTTATTAAGAGGATGTCTTTTGATCGCATATTGTCGAAATATTTTTTCAAGGTGAAGGTGTTGATGGAGGAGTGGAAGATCTCATCCAGAAATATTTAAAAGAAATTGAAGAGCTCAGGTAAAGATTGTAGCGATGTGTACAGTTATTGATAAGCAGGGATTGATATCACGCCGAAACCAATAGGAAATTGCGAGGCAACACACTTTGATGGCTTGCACTTTTTACCTTACATACAGCCATTCAGAGTTAAATGATAACTCGCAGGATATCGCCGGTACCTATGTACACATGTATGTTTCTGGTAGCATCAAGGTACTGTTATGAAAACAGCACTCTGATCTTGGCCAGGACTGGAACCCAAAATTGAAGACGAAAACAAGAAAAACGAAACATTAAATGTCTTAATAAATTTCGTTCAAAACGACAAGCTTAAAAAAAACTGGGAGAAAGAAATCAAAGTTTTGCGAACTCATTGACTATGAAATAAAGTGGCATAATAAAGTGGAGTAATAATGGCGCCTTATTCTCCTTTCTCTTGTAGAAATAAACTTACGGAAAGTGAAGCCATGGCAATGGCCATAACACGTCATGCCACATTGAAGTCTCGGATGACGTCACCGTCATCCCAGGAGTCGACCACATCTGTACTGGAGATGGCAAAGATGGATGTGGCGAAACAGCGGCAAAAAGCACAGGTGGTATTACGAAATCCTCCTTCTCTCTCCAAAGTCAAATGCGTTAGACCTGTTAAGCCTCGCGGAGGCAGTTTTCATTCAACTATGAAGGGAGTAAAAACTTCTTCTAACCTTCCTGTTAACTCATCTCGACCTCAAACTAAATCTTTTCTTCAAACAAATGGTGGCAGGCTTAAGGTTGTGACACCGCGGCTTCCTTGGAATACTGGCGTTGTCCAGTCTAGAACGGACTCCGGGCTGAGCCCTCGGTTGTCCCAGCGGAGTAGTCTCGTGGCCTTGAAAGAGGTCAATCCTAAACCTCGTAGACCTAGCAATTATTTAACTCCGGCAGACCGGGATAAACCGTTAAATGGCGTGACTGTTAACTTGGCGAACAATGTTACGGCTAATGTAGTATTGCGGAGACCTAAACAGAAGCCGGTTGATTCTGAAGTTATGGCTGTTAAGCGTAGATCTCGCAGCCTGGAATCTTTAGGTGGAAATAGTGATGCGATGGACAATTACCTAACACCGGTACAGTGTTTTAAGTGCCGCAAAGATCTAAGTCGGGTGTTTGACTCAAGTGCTTCAAGTAGGTGCTCTGATGCCTTCAGTTCTACAAGTGATCTTAATTGTTCTCTGCCAGAACTTCGTTTTGATGAGAACAACAATGTTCAACTCGGCTCAGTTCCAAAGCCATCTGTTTCGAGGGTAGAGGTATTGAAAGCAGAGAAATTAGTGCAACACCCTCCACCAGTTGATATTGTGTCTGACACAGAGTGTTATAAGTATCACTTTGAAAGCGATAGCCAGACTGAGAGTGATTACGGAGTGACTGTCGCTTCCGACAGCGAAGTGTACAGATACAAGCCTAAGACAAAGGACAGACGAAACTTACATTTAGATTCTCCCATGCCTCATCTGCTGAGGGAACAAAGGACCGACTCAGCCGGCAGTATTCAAGAGCGTAAGCTTCAACTTGAGGAAGATCTCGACTCGTTGCTTGATTCTATGGCTTTTGCATTAGAAAATATTGATGCACCTGGAAAAGGCGGTGAGCTACTCCCTGGTAAGAATGGCGGTGTTCCTCCTGATGCTGTGTACACACCACCTGCATTTTTCAGGCCAATATTCGAGGTCAAGATTTGAAATGATCGATTCTCTAAGTTTCCTGTTGGTTTCTTTTCCTGATAATCTTGAGGTTTTCAAGACAACTTTTCTCTAGTGCGCGTTTTTTTTTCTCTCCTGCACTAATAACAAAGCATTCATGTTCTGAAAGAACGTTAAATCATGGTATGTTTTTCACGTTTTGTTTGTTTGTTTTGTTTTATTTTTTGTTTAATACACTAACGACAAACCCACAGTAAACACTGTGTTTGAAATACTAGAGAGAATGTCGTTTTATGCTTTTTGATTGAAATAAGGAGCTTTAATGAACTACTTGTAACAATAGACTGGTTGTAAACATGAAATAAAAATCGATGCACGGTCTTTTAAATTTAAATTGTTAAATACGTGGAAAAGATACGCATTTCAAGAATGTTTGTAAGTAGTGGTTAGATAATTTATTAATAGAATTCACCCCCTAGTTTGAGTGAACAGATTAAGTTGCATAATTCGCTCTAAATGCATAAATGGTAATAATTATTGAAATATATAAGACTAAGTCAAATAAATGGAAAAAATTTTATTTTAAAAAAGTAATGTCTTTTGAGGAAGTAAAGTTTAAGTGTAAACTATAAAGAACATTGTATTTTGCGTTAAGTCATAGAATTGTTTTTAATTAATGTCCTTTTGTGTTCTTGACATGTGACGTTCTTTCTGTGACTGTTAAGACGTTGGAAAAATGTAAATCTTTCAGGCCTATTTTCACATAACTTTAATTACTACTTGCAAGACAGTTAGTTCAATCTGAAACAGGAAATACGTTGATAAGTACGGATAACGTACGAATGAAACCTAATATAGCCAAGTTTTGTAATGATGAACTCACAGTGATGCTATAAACTCCATAGCAATGAAAAAGATAGAAAGGCTCTTTTTGAACATTTTTAAGTAAATAAAAATTTGAGCGGAATTCATTTCTCTGTGTTCTTTCCCATTCTTAAATACTTGATTTAGTTCATCGTGTTCTCCATTTGTTTACCTAACTCTTATTTCCGTTTCGCCTGTTCCTATTTTATTTTGTTAATTCCGCTGACTGCCACCATTTTGTTGAGAAGCGTGCTTTGTTTCACTTTTCAATTTTTGATGTCTTCTTTTCTTCTTTCCTTTTTTTAAATTCGTTTTCAGTTATTTTGCTTTCTCCTTCTTTTGACTGGTTGTTTGTATTTTTGTTTTAGATTTTCTTTGTTTTTGTTTCCTTGTATTGTTTTAGCTGGTGTCATGTGTTACTCCTTCTGTTTGCATGCGAAAGCTTCGCAGAGTAGCAACATGTTACTTTTGTTTCATTTTGTTCAGTAACTATACATAAGTTATGTTTGGTCCCCTAACGAAATCTTGGAGTAGCGATAATGATTCGAAACAGAGAGTACTGCATGTGGTTATGAGAAACATGGGGTGGGTAGTCTGCGGCCCAACTTGTCTACTTTATTGTGAACTGTTCTTGCTTTCTTTTCCGTTTACTGAGGTGTCGCTGTAGTGAAAAAGCTGAGTCTTGTCGGTGGAAATGGAACACCTGCTACGCACACGAATCCCCCCTCGGAAACCCCACAGCTATACTTTAGATTTAAACCTCTTGGAAACAAAGGGTTTTTTGAGGCTCCGCTAAATAGTTTCTCGAGTGTTTTCCAAACGGCTGTTGGGGGCCATTTCCATGGGTTTCTAAAGCGTAGGGACTTGGTTTCTCAAGGAATTCGTATACATAGCCAATTGGTAACCAAAAGCGTGTCCAAACGTTTCCCAGGGATTTTTAAGAGGTTCTTGGTATGTTTTATGGTGCGGTTGCATCATGTCGAGTCCTAATAACTCTTTAGGAATACTTTATGTTTGTCTGTCTGTCTGGTTCTCTGTCTGTGTGCGTGTCTGTCTGTAGGTCAGTGAGTCTGTCAGTCTGACCGAGGGTACTACGTAACTCATGTCTGTCTGTTTTTCTGTCTGTCCGACCGTCGGTCTGTCTGACTACCTTGCTGCAATTTGACAAGTCCATGAAGTTTTCTGACTGTCTTTCCTGTCTATGTATGAAACAACCATTCACTATGCATGCATTCATTCATTCCTTTGGTACCGTAGCTGTCACTCGTTTCTGTCTTACCAGACACATTTGATCTGTGAAGGCGTTATCCACATGCTCGTGTTTTTGTGTACTTATCCATACAAGTCTCTTTATTTAAAACTGACAATTATGATGCTTCAGCTTATCACCTCATGTATGCTACCATGGAAATCACAGCATTGGTCACTGATCTACTTCTTTTCCTTTCTCGGCTGCAAGCTCAGTGTTCAAGGTCTGCTTGGTAAGGTCTTGCATGCTTCTATATCTGTCTTCTGTTAATCTAGCTAAATGTAGCCAAACCTCTCGTGAAGCTGGGATGTGACAACGTTTCAGCCAATTTTTACTCACGTCACTTTTATTTCGTTATATATGTCATTTTGCTTTGTGTTTTTTTCTTTGTGGCGTAGTTTTTTTAAACTCTGTATTATGCTGTAAAATTTAAGAATTCCTCTTGCCTCTAGCCGGAAGACAGTTGATGTAATACTTAAAAGTGAACATTTATCACGAGTTATCAAATGGTTTAAAAGTTTAAAATGGATTTTTGGATGTTTTAAAAAACATATGGTAACAAATCAGTTAAAAAGTAACACGCTAATGATTTTGTGTAAAACTTTGCTGAATAACAATTTAAACTAACTATTTTGATAAATTTATCGTCAAAATTGTGGTATATCCGCCGGTGAAAATTACTCAGTAATGCTGTAAGAGTAAATTTCTCTTCTTGACCATACTTTGACATGTTAAGGGTTTCAGATGATTCTCGTGCGCCGCAAAACTGATGTCAGCAGTCAAAGCTTGAGACTTGACGCAATTTGTTAGTAATATTTAATCAATAGTTGAAAGTTTTTTGAACTGTATTTACTATGCTGAAGATTTATGATTTATATAACATTTAGAAATAGACCCTTGCCTTCAAACGGCTTGAAAAGTGGAGAAAGTTACGATTGTGTGCGTTAGCTATGGATAACTATAAACCCTCTCGTTGTTATGTTCATTGTGACTTTAATGTTTTCCTGTGTGTACGAAGCAAGTTTCATTTGAGTGTCAAAGGCAATGCGGATTGCATTGGTTCTACTTTGCAGTGCTGTGTGATTGGTCCAGAAAACACCCGTCACTTTCTTAACCAATCATATTCAAAAGTAGAACCAAACGCAAGATTGTTGCTCGCGTTGTCCCACGTTTTGGGCTGCCTGCATAAATTAACTTTGAGTTGTTTTGTTATGATTGGTCATTACACCTGCTTTGGCTTTCGCTGTGCGACACCAAATCGAAAGGGGTTCAGCAATACTTTTGATATACTATGTGATCGCTAATTCCTTTAGAAGAAAGTATTTGCTTGAACAGCCTTTTCACGTTACTTCCCTTCGTTATGTTCATCTTGTAACGCCATGTACTGTTGCTTACCAGAAACTGAACCACAAGGAAGAGGGAGCAGATCAGCCTTGGGGTGAACAAAGCAGTGATGAAAGCAGCAGTGAGGACGATGAAGTAAGAGTTCTATGTTCTTAGATTAAAATTTAATTAGTAACATGCCTTCGTAACAACTGTTGACTTGGTGCAAAAACTTCCATCCTCTCCCGAAACATTCCAATTGAGAATCTCTCTTGGTCTATCTGGGTCTCTCTTGGTCTATCTCGGTCTCGCGGTCTATCTTGGTCTATCTTGGTCTCTTTTGGTTTATCTTGGTCTCTATTGATCACTCTTGGTCTCTCTTAGTCTCGTGGTCACTCTTGGTCTACCTGGCTCTATTTTGGTCTCTCTCTATGTTTTTCTTGGTCTATCTGGGTCAATCTTGATCTATCTTGGTCTATCTTGGTCTATCTTGGTCAATTAGGGACTATCTGGGTCTATCTTAGTCTATCTGGGTCTATCTTGATCTATTTTGGTCTATTTTGGTTTATCTTGGTCTCTCTTTGTTTCTTTTGGTTTCCATTGGTTTATCTTGGTCTCTCTTGGTCAACCTCATTTTTGCCGCTCTTAAGGCAGTTTGTTTGTTTTTACTTTGAGTTTTCATTGGCTTTTTAAGGGGTTTTCCTTTCTTATCATGGCCGGTTTGTTTACTTTGGTTTTGCTTTTACGGTACTCAATAGAAAAATGCTCCAATTGCTCTACCAAAGAATGCCAATGCGTACTGAACAAGTGTCTGAAAAACCTGACGAAATACTAGAAGAGAACTTTTTTTTTATGAATTGACATCCCAGCCAACGGGATTGGTGATCCTCTTGGTCTTTTCATGCTACGAAGAGAGGACTAAGTTCCGACTGGGCTGCGAGGCGTTGTGGACCACTCGGCTCGAGTGGTATCTGTGCCTTCACCCTCCTCAACACAGATAAAACTTGTTCTTTCTTTAACACTTGTTCATTGTGAAACCTTGAGGGATTGGGTGGAATTGGGAGTCATTTCAATTTTTATCGCCGTTGAGTTGATTTGCTTTTTGCAACCAGGAAAATGATGAAGATCAATCGGCGGGAAACGAAGGACGAAGCGATGACGTTGATGATGGTGACGATGATGACTCTGATGACGATGACGCTGTTCAAGGTAACTCGGGAAAGTCATGTTTCCTCAGAATTTCAAACGTAATCAACCGAAGAGGTAACTGGAATTGACATTTTCATCAACTGAGCAGTATGATCTTGATAAAACTCTAGACTCTCCTGTCTAATACCCCATTCACAACAAAGCGTAAACATGTTGTGAGCTGTTTTGAAAATTGTCTTCTTCGTAGGAACTGCGTAAAACAAGTTTTATTGGTAATTTGTTGGTAAGCCTACAAGGTTTCACTTAGCGCACTGTATTCTCAGCCGATACAATTCGGTAGTACCCACAACGATTCATGTCTGTAGACATATCTGATTATCTTTTTCATTTCTGAGTACCACAATCTTTCTCGCAATGAGGATCGATTTCCTAAAGATAAGATTTCGATATTCATTTGTTATTTGAAGAATGTATTTGTTGTGCTGTGTTGTTTGTTTGTTTGGTTCAAATTAACAAAAGGCGGTGCATGTTTCCACGTTTTTAACAGATAATGAGAACGACCTGTCAGGCGACTTGGCGGACCTGTCAACAGAGATATCCATCAAGGAAAAACTCATCGACGAGCTGGAGACGAGTCAGAAGAAAATCCACACTCTGAAAACTCAATACGAAGAGAAACTGTCTCTTCTCCACAACAAGATCAAGGAGACGGAGACAGAGAGGGATCAGGTGGGTGCCAGTTAGTTTGTTTGTTTTTGTATTTTGTTTCTTGGTTAGTTACTGTGTGGTTAGTTCTTTTGTGGTCTTCTTAAGCCTTATCGTTGGCTTTGGTACCTCATGGAGATGGAGAACATCAAAATCTTCCCTTAATAAGCTGAACTGGTGTAGACGCATTTTATCCGTCCTCGCGAGAGTACATTACAGTTGACAGTCCTCAGCGCATGCGGCATACAGACTGTTGTTGTTCTTTTGATGTCACCATCCTTAGCATTTCGGTTCTTGAACGCCTCCGTTTTTCCTCAAGTTTGCATGGCCAGCTTTGCCACAAATGATTTACATGGTTACTGTAAGGCAATTCGCGTCACTGATGGTAGTAGTGTAACACTTATGAGAGAAAAAGGTGTAAAAGCAGAAAGAAAGTGAGTTGCTGCCCATCTTTCTGTAAACAGCCGTGGTTTGCCCACTGCCTGTCACTCTTACTTAATGAAGGAAGGGAAGGGAGATAATTTGACCCGAACAGTTCTGAAATACAACTTCCATCTCTTCTCCTCGGGAAACGCTCTCTTTCTTGCTCTTGATAAAAACTAATTTCAAAAAAGAGTCTTAGGTTAGACATATACTGTAAGGGTATAGGCTAGCGTGATGGAAAGTTTTACTACTTTCCTTGATATAACATTAAGTGTATATGTTGTTGCAGTTCATTAAAGAATCGTCTATTTGTAGGCTTGTATTACCAGTCGAAAGGAAAGTTGTTTGTTATGATTTATGCTAATTATAATTTTTCTTTCGCTTTCAGGTTTTGCAAAGTGTCAAAAATCAAGACTCGAAATCGGGTGAAAAGGTTCGACAAATCCGCGACGAATACGAGAAAAAAATTAGTCGGCTGCAGGGAGAACTGAAGAAGATGCAGGCCGCCAAGAAAGAGCATGCGCAGCTTCTTAGGCAGAAAGCGCAAAATGAGCAGCAGCTGAGAACTTTCCAAGCTGAACTGAAAGAGATGAAGAAGACTAAAGTGCGTCTTATGAAACAAATGAAGGAAGAGGCGGCCAAGAGCAAGCAACAGGAGGCGCAGCGGAATAAAGAGATTGCACAACTGAAGAAAGAGTCACGGTTGAGACAGATGACAATTAAGAATCTGGAAACAGAAAGACGACAGCGTGAAGTAGTACTCAAGAGAAAACAGGAGGAGGTATTTCCCTCGCTGTGTCATTTCTTCCGCGGTAGAGCTTGTTACAAGACCGACTCGTTCCTGTTTGTACAGTTTCCTGATTGTTGCAAGATTTGCAATACGATCCACAAAATAGTTCGAGCGCCTTGTAAACCTTCCCCTCACCATTTTAGTTTGCTGCCGTGGTGTCCATCAAAATCGTGCCTCATCCTTAATATACTTCCTATTTGAAATTATACACATACATCATTATGATAAACATTTTCCAGTCAAACTCAGACCCCTGCTTGAAACATGCAAATGAATTAGGTAAAAGAATAAAACAAGGGCCCGCGGAAAAGCCAAGGAAGGGTATGGATGGGCGAAAAGGGAGAAGATTTGTACGGATTTCATTTACGCAACCGAGTCGAATAGCAACGGCCTGATGCTTGTAAAGTCGATCCTAACTAGCCTGAAAATACGCACTCTTTACATTCAGAAATCACATGACTAGCAGGTGTTTCAATGAAAGTTGCGAGCGGGCTCTTTTGTTTGGGTTTCACGTTACGGCCCCTTTCCGGGCAGAGCCGCATATGACACCATCAGCAGCGGCTTACGCAAACGATTGGGTTTCAAAGTATAGTATGAACCCTCCATCTAAAGTGACGTTTGCCCTGCAAAGAAAGGTGTGAAATCCACTGTGCGCGCTTCTTTAATTTTTCTCGCTTCATTCACAGGTAAAGGCCCTCAGGCGTCAACAGAAACCCATGTCTGGCCAACTGGGAGCACAACGAAGCCAGGCAACCCTGTTAACAGTACGTGAAGTGAATGGTGTGGATGCCAGCTCATACACCAGCTCCTATACGTCGTACAGCAGCTCATCAGTATCCGTGTCCTCTTCCTCAACCTCAAGATTTTCAGGAGCAGCCAGTCGACCGTCGGGATTGCCTGTGAAATCCCCGAGAAGAAAGAGCTCTGTTCAACAGGCGTCTCGAAGTGCGAAGAAGAAATGGGATGTCATTGACAAGAAGGTGAAAGTTTTATCACTTTTATAGTCAACCATTAAATGACATTCTGCAGCATCTTAGACTAATGACTCAGTCGTGATATCTTCAGCAAAGTTTTAAGGTACAATTGTTGTTCAATGTTAAAAACGTAACCTCGTTATTTTCTTTTCCGTTCAGATAACGTCATTGATTATCAAGCGGCAAACGATTGCAAATATGGAATCGGATATGGATCGCTGGATACAGGACAGAGATCGCCTCAGTAAACAGCTAGAGAAGTGTCAAATGAAATATGACAATGCTACAGTTCTGCAGAAGGTAATAAGTACGATTTTGTGTACAACATTTTGTGTTGAAGTTGTTCACTGATAACCTTTAACGGAGATAGTTGTCTAAACCTTCGTAGGAAGAAAGTAACGTACAAGAACTGAAAGAGCAGCTGGAAGCACTGACGGCGCATATGGACTATGTGCAAGATAACATTACGGACTGTCAAACAAGCATCATGGAGATGGAGGTTTGACTAAATCTTACATCCAGTTTATTTGATTTTATAATTGTAGACCCCTAACTAAGGAGACAGTAAAGCATAGAGTGGCTAAGGAGGAAATTTTCAAGAAGCCATTTTAACTAGGAATCTGGTTTCATCGGCTTAGCTGTCCAAAATGTGTTGACCGTTTCTGAGAATCTGATCTTCTCTTTGAACGCATCTTCCTTAGTTCATAAGTTTCTTAGTGGTCGTAACTTGTGTGCTTGAAAGTGTACTAAAATTGTACGCGAACCCACTGGTGTTGACTCCTGGGAGTAGAACAGAAAGGCCTTGTTGCTCCTCTTTCCTTAACCTTGGGAGGGTGGCGAACAAATGAACCAACAGTCGTGTTGTATACTTGTTATGTACATCTAGGAGCAAGGTGGAGACACTGCTGAGATAGGAGAATTTTTCGCCACCTGTACAATAACAGAGGCACGTATCCTGTTGGAGCACTTCTTGACTAAAGTGATATCTCTGGTAAGTAGAAGATATCAATCGCCTGTTTACTCAGCGGAGTAAGTGACTGAAATATGAAAAATTAAAAGCGAATATTACCCGATCCGAAATCTTTACAGATGTGGGAACAAATGTTTTGAAGAAAGGGTAAAAAAAAGATGTGGCACACTGTTGAGAGTTTCTGCACTTCTTCCCATAGCGCGGCAACGAGTATTGCTGCTCCCTTGGGTGGAATGCGAGTGAATTTTATTTGCCGGTTACCCCACGGTATTTTGTTAAGTTTACCTGACAATTCTCCGGTCATTTTACTCCTGGAGAGAAACATTATGAGAGTAAAGTGTTTTTCTCAAGAACAAAACACAGTTAACCCAACGTAGGCTCCATTAAGTGTACTTCGTTTCCAAAAGGTTAGCATGTTTTCAATGTTACCCTCGTTGGAAACTAAATCTGTGATCTCCAAACACATCACGTACTCGTACACTTGAACGACTGAAAAAAAGGGCACGCTTGTACAAGTCACCCTTGCGGATACTTTCCGCTTGCTTCACACTTTGCCGTGAACGTAAAAGAAAAGGTTTAAAGATGCTGGAGATCTTACTTACGGAATTATTACCTTAACAGGGTCAAGAAGCCGCCTCTAAAGAAGCCGCGGCAAAAGAAGTCCAAGCCCGTCTCAATGCCATGAAGCAGCACAACGAACTTCAACAAGAACTATTGCAACACGTGCTGCAGTACCACGATTCGTTCAGCAGCATCGAGAATCTCGCCGCCGCTGCTATGGGAACGGATTCGGAGCTCAGTGGTTCGGAGCTTAGAGATCGGTTAATGGGATCTTTGGTATGACTGTAGTTTACTTATATTTGGCCATGCACAGGCAATTCAAGCTCACTTTGAGAGGATGGAAGCGTTTGTTTGTTTGTTTTTTGTTTTGCCAGCGAAAGGTGATGCTAAACGATATGTACGAAACGTGGCATTCGCCTTGACCAAGGGCTAGCGGTCGAAACGTCAGCTTTAGAAACTGTTAACGTTGGTAAAGTCACATCAACTTAGTTGATTAGACGAAATTATCGCCTAATTCCCTATACCAAGGCAGCACCACAGCTTCTTTAGAAACTTACCCCCTTTGTTCATGTATAGGTTAACTTTCACACGTCAATCGTTCGATAAAGTAAAACTTTGCTCGTCCCTCCCCCCTTACATCCCACCTCCTCGAACTTATTTTGCTGATCTCAATGGGTGCTCTGTAAAGCAGCATCCACTACTGAAGAAAGGCAATTTTGATCATTAACCTTTATCGTTAATTCTTATTTTTCAGACGAGCCTGGATTCGTTGAAAGATGAAGCCGGAACGCTGTCGAGGTATTGTGAAATTTTATTACACCAACAATTCTGTAGCTAGTATTTGAGTCGTTGATCGCGTTCAATAAAGAAGATTTTGGAAAGCGATTGGAGGTTTTTTATATATGCTAAGCCAGAGGACAAAGAATGCAAATGGAATCTAACTTGCTTTAGAAACCACTTTGAAAGTTCGAAATCGATATTGTTTGTTGTTGTTTTTTTCTTGTGCAAAAGTTCTAGCGGTGGCACGTTAAAAGATTTTAATGGTGAAGTAGCATCTCAAGCACAAGCTAAAACAAAAGACAAGGTCAGTCGTTCACCTCTCTGTCATTTTTGATTCAATAGTGAGTAGCATGGGCCATTAAGTGTTTTTTTGTTATGCGAATGCATTTTGTTTATCGATGGAGGAAGTGGGGGAAGGAATTGAGGGAGGTGGGGGAGGGGATAGAGAGAGGGTATAGTTGACTGTTAACGGTAAAGTTGAATTCTGAGCATAGATTTTATCATGAACTTTGAGAGTAAGTAAGAACTTGATTTGGTGTTCAGCCCAAAGTATACCTGAAGCCTGTAATGGTTTCCATTTTAATTATTATGAATATGTCATGCTCCACAATGGCTACAATTTAGTTTTTTTTTAATTTCTTTTTCTTTAATTCATTAAGATTGCTAAGTTCAAATCTTCGGAATTCATACTATCTAAAGAGAGTCGACGCTGGATTACACCCATTTCAAAGCAGCATTTTTGACATCTTGAAAATTGTGTCTGTAGGCGCGTCGTAGAACTGGAACCCAGGAAGAGTTCTTGTACCCGGACAAAGTCAAAACGAGGAGAGACGCCCGGCTTGACACAGTTGAAGACGAAGACGAGGCTTCTGCTGCTTCGGTACCGAGCCTCGCCTTGGTGCCCGTGCTTCCCTTTGCAGGGGAACCGAAGGGATCCCGTCAGATTTCCCCTGAACTAATGCAAAAACTGCTTGAGCTGGAAAAGTCTCGTAAAGCGCAGAGCTCAGAGGCTCTTATGCCACCCCCTCCTGGCTCTCAAGGCAACCAGAACCAGAGTCAGGGGGTACCACCCGTCAAGACATCTAGGTCCAACTCCTTAAATGGTAATAACTCGGCACCGCTCCCTGCCTCGCTAGTGCGCGGAAATGTCAAATCCAAGTCAGCGAGGAGTTTTCCTGTCAGTAGGTTCGGAAGTTCGGGATCTGGTGTCAGTAATCTGCCTAGGTCCCAGCCCACCTCTCCTGCTCTTCATAGGAAGTCGTTGCCGGATAAACCTGGAGCGGGGTAAGCGTGATTGTACATTTGGTTGATAAAAAATAACGAATTAAGCTTTCCCGACCGTTCTGCTCTTGATTTTTGCGTGGGTTTTCCGCTCTTTCAAAATTATGAATGGGTGTTACCCCAAATTTGCAGAAAAATATTCAAACGGTTTGACATTAATCCGCCTAGGAAGGTTATACCAGTATTAAAATAGGCACGTTATTTTTGGTAATGTTACGTTACATGGAGCCGGCCGCAATTTCACTCTCTGGGCGTGAAAATTTCATGGTAAAATTTTGTGATTGATGATGTACACCATATCCCCAGTCGTAAAAACGTATGTAAGTAAATTTTCATATGATTTACCTGCACCACGTGCATTCTTTCACGATGGTTAATTTTTGATTCTTCGCTTAAAAACCCAGATACAGCACGTCCTCAGCACTTACGCTCAGTTGTTTCATTCGCTAATACTTTGCTCAATGTTGTTTTTCTGTCTTCGTTTACAGGATGGATGACAGTGTTGTGGTTCAGAAGACCCCAGAAGACGTATTTGCTCGTCTGACAAGTAGTCTGGCTCAGGAATCCGACCCTGATATGTAAGTCTCTCGATTAATCTTCCTCTTTGAGTCAGATTTTGTCAAAACCACTCATCATCTTTTATGACGATTGTTTGAAGACTTTTTCTCAAATTAAAGGTTTGACCATTGAGAAACGGTATTGTTATTTAACAGTATTAAAAACTAGCCTTGGTATGTGGCAACCTCCGATTGGTTTACAGCCCAAGGTATATCAGCTCATATATCATAGACAGCTCTTCCAGTATTTTTTCACGGAGTTCATACCGCGGTGCCATCATGGTCACTAACCTGACTCGCGACGTTCGGTGAATTATTTCTTTATCTATTTGTTTAAAAATGTTTACTAGTTTGGAGCCCTAGTGACATTTTCTGTTTGTCTTCAATAGTGGCAGAATGCTTCCCCTCCGTCCCCCTGCAGGGAAGCCTGCTCCTCTTGTGTGTACATACGCCGCCACTGGGCACAATAGTGCTGTTTTATCTCTTGACGTAACAGAAGACTTGATGTTCACCGGTTCGAAAGGTTTGTGCAAAATGCTCAATTATTGCATGCCTTCCATAGGACTTTTAATGGCCCTTACCTACTCCTGCCTCCCAGAAGCCAGCCCTCCTGTTTTGTTCTATCGGTTTTTCCTCGCGTCAAATCACACCAGCTGATTCATTTTTCTTAGCTGATTTATTTTTTCACTCTTTCCACCCGCTTTCTTAACAATGTATTTAGTTTAAGAGGAAAGATTATGTATTGTTCATCCCAGTGAGGAGACGAGTCAAGCGCGTAACGTTTTCAGAAAATACGAAGAAACTCTGGTTTATGAAAAGTTCAAGAACATTTCCCCTTACCATTTCAATAAGTAAGCTTGGACGGTATCTTCCATCAGCAACACCTTGAAACACTTTAACTCTGTTTTTCAGATCGCACTGTCAAAGTTTGGGATCTGAATACGGGTGAAGAAACACTCTCTTGTGCTGGTCACAAGAGAGATGTAGTAGCCGTACGTTACTGTCCTAAAACACAGCGGGTTTTTGGTGCAGCACAAAATGTTATTAAGGTAAGGACGTCCTTTACTTTTCCAATTTATGAAAGACTTGAACTTCTGGACATGGTTGCGATGTAGTTACTCAAAACCTGAGAGTGACGGACTTGATGGGCGGGAAAACTTCCACTTTCTCCTTTTCCTTCTCGCTCATCCTTCTAATCTAATCGCACCCACAATTCTGTACAAATTTTCTTTGGAAAGATGCGTAGAACTGGTGATCGTCATCAAACCCTTACAAAATAAGAATTTGCTGGTTTGCTGTACCCCTATCCTTATTTCAGCGTTCGATTTCGATTGTAGACTTCTGTCATAGAAATGTGTTTTGGCAACTAAGCTCGTGGGTGTGAAAAAGAAAAATGTACGAATAGTAACCTTTTTTATTCCTTATTATGAAAGTTCGAGGTTGTTTAATGTTGTACCCACATCAGCCCTCCTCTGTTTCACCATTCTATTGCAGGTAAAATGACACCGGTACATTTTAGGCTTGTGCGTCCAACACTTCGCCAGCGCAGAACGCTAATGAATAGGATTTTTTTTCTTGCTCTTTATTCCGATCTTTAGGTTTGGGATATCAGAGATGGCAAATGTATCAGGAGCCTTACACCGCCCGGATCCTCTCTCGGTTCATTTCTATCCAACATGACGTCAGAGACTCAAATTAACGACTTGAAACTGTCCGCCAATGGTTCTCTGCTTTATGCTGCGATGGGTACCACGGTCAGGATCTGGGACCTAGAAAGGTGGGTCATGCGTAGTGTGGTCTTTAAACCTGAACAGAAGCTGTTAGTTTAGATGAAGTTTTTTGTCCGTTTCATTGCTTCTAAGCAATTGTCATCAGATTTGTTTTGTGACAATTTAGCTATGCTTTCCTTTCTGGAACTTTCGACTTGAACTCCAAAACATATGGTCCTTTTTTAAGTCTTGGCGTTGCGGCTACTAAATCAGATCAAGATGACCTATGCCGGCGTAGTCAGCTTCTGGCTGCATTGACTGATGAGTGGAGGGTTCCAACATGATTGGCACCATTCAATTTTTTTTCAGCAGGTTTCAGACCATGAAAATTTGACTTCACTTACCTTCCATTCTGAACAAGTTAGTGGCTCAGATTAACCATTACCTTTTTTGTTTCAGTTATTCCATGACAGGTAAGCTCGGTGGTCACGCCGGGCCTGTTATGACGGTGTTACTTCGAGAAACCAATAAAGAATCTGTCGTGTTCACTGGGTCGCGAGATCATTACGTTAAGGTACGTGCATGTGAAGAGCACACTGTTGTCAGATCTGTAGGGCAAGGGTAACCTAGGGTGAGTGTTGTTTTCGGATGTGACGTGGATTTAGTTGTGGGTAAAGTCAAACTTGCTCTGTGTTTCAGCAGTCGGCGAGGATGGGGAAGGGTGGAGTAGGAGGGGGGGGTGGGTGGGTGGATTATGGCAGGGGGGGGGGATTGCCCCGTGTATGAAATAGAAAATGGTGTATAGTGTTGGCGTAGTTATATGACGACTACTCGACATTTTTTCGGGGATCTTAGTCGTAGACTTGAAGCCAGCATATTCAAATAATAGTATATTATTTCTTGTTTGATAGATATTTGAAGTAAATGGTTCTAACGTCGGTGTACAGGTATGGTGTCTGGCATGACCATCAATTAGTTATCACAATTTCAATAGTTAAAACATTAGCCGAATTTTGAAGAATGTAGACCGTAGTAATCCGCGAGTCAGAGGAAGTTTGGCACATTTGGCACTAGTTTGTGGACAAGGAGTTATTTCATTCAGTTTTATTAACTCAGAAAACCCTATGGAAAAACCAGATGGCCTTTGTCGAAAGTAAAATTTCGTTTTCATTTTGTTCGTTCGTTTGTTTGTTTGTGTTATAAATGAAGGAGTGACACATTTAGTGTTTTATTCTCTTACAGTCGGCTAAGAGCAAACTAGAACCGCCTCACTATGATGGTGTTCAGTCATTGGCTCTCAAAGGCAAATATTTGTTCAGTGGATCACGTGACAATAGTATCAAGAAATGGAACATTGAAACACAGCAACTTATACAGGTTCGTATGCAGTTTGAAAATGTAACTTGGTTCGAATATGGATGCGATCCTTGCAGTTATGAACAATACTTGAGTAGTATTGAAAACAAGGCCTGAAAAAAAATTTAGGCCTGTATGGGATTGGAACCCATGACCTCTGCGATACCCGTGTAGCGCTCTCCCAACAGAGCTAACAAGCCAACTGGGAGCTGGACATTATGTTGGTACCAAATTACCCGTGAAGTGGTGAATTAATGACTGTAAATATATGAAACTCACATAATTATGTGAACTGCGGTTGAAGAAACGAATATAGAAACAATCCTCACAGTTATGAACTCTACTTAAGTAGTAGTGAAAATAATTTTCATTACTACTTAACGTAGTACCTAGTACTACGGTACTTTTTGCACCGGTATCGCAGAGGTCATGGGTTCAAATCCCGTAAGGCCTGAATTTTTTCTCAGGTCTTACTTTCACTAATACTTGAGTAGTGTTCATTACTGCGAAGATCACTTCCATATTCGTTTCTTTAACCGCTGTTCACATATATGATTTTGATATATTTACAGTAACTTGGTTCGTTATCTAATTGGTTTCGGTGTTCAGGCTGGTTACGGACAGGATCATCACAACAGAATCCCCTCTCCAACTGCTTTTCGTTAGCAAGTTTTTCATGTCCTTCTTTTAGTTGACAAGTGATTTATTGGGAGGATAGGCTAATATTTTGAAAAAGGAGATTTTTCTTGCTAGAACATGTCATGGACAAACCCTGCTAGCCAAATGAATCAACGTGGGCATTCGTGGAGACTAAAACCCGCAAACACACAAGATCCGATTTTTATCTCTCCCCTCCAGCTTCTACTCATTCCCTTGTAAGTTAGTTACGAGATTTTGGTGATAGATCAAGAAAACAAATTCTACCTCTCTAAGTTTGAGTATTCTCATTACCTGTTTGCTTGATAATGTATGAATATTATAGGTAGAAGTTACGTGTTAATCACCTCTGGGAGTTAAAGGGTTAATGGATCTCTGGGATCGTGATCGTGATCGTGATCGTGACCGTGACCGTGATCTTAAGCGCAGGAAAACTCGTACGATCAATTGCAGATCACGATTTTTTTTGTTTGTTTTCCTTTGCATTTGATTTGTTTTAAGAATGACAAAGTACTTTGTGATCCAAGATGTCAAAGAAATTTGGAGATTTTTGTTCGAGTAACCAGCTTTTCTTAAAGAAATTTATGACCACGAAACAGTCCCCAAGTGCCTATAATTCTAACACTTTTCCATGCTTGGTCAAACGAGTTAAACCTGTGGGATATTCCATAATGTTGATTTTTTGCTTCCACAGCATATGACGGCAGCTCATAAGGACTGGGTCTGTGCATTAGATTTCTTACACCCTCAAGACGTGCTGCTTAGCGGTTGCCGCGGTGGTATGCTAAAATTATGGCGGGTGGAAACTGGAGCTCCAGTCTGTAAGTTATTCTCTTATGTTATCTTGCTCATCTATATATTTTAATCCTTTACGCCCTAACATCACTATGAATATTCTCCATAATGTTACTGTTCTCTATACATTTCGTATGGTACTGACAAGGGAAATGTGTTTGATAACCAATATTGGTGTTCGTTTTACTTTAATGTTTGATTCAGTATGGATACTGTGACGACAAATTAAATGACAGTCCGACCCTTGGGAGTTGAGGATTAATTACATCTACACGAAAACCCACCTGATTTTAATTTAGTTCCAGAAAAATTTGATGGAAAAATATCTACACATTTAAATTGTTGATATAGCTAAAAGACTGAATTAATGAATTTTAAACGTGAATTTTCGTTTTGCTTTTTTTATGTGGTTTAAACATTGGCTCCTGTTGGCGTTGCCTCATTTTCCCTTCGTTTATTACAAAACTAGAACTAAAAGTGAAACGAAATCCCACTGTCTTTATAATTTGCAGGCGAAATCAAAGCTCACAGGCATCCCATTAATGCTATTTGTACAAATTCGTCTTGTGTATTTACTGCGTCAAGGTAAGTGGTTGTTTATCACTGAACAGAAAAAAAAGGCATTTTCAGAAGGTTTAAACGTTTCATGCCTCAGACATTCACCCACTGAGTTTATTTTACATTTTGTGGGAGTAACCTGTGCGCTGAAACCTGGGCTGTAGTTCGATGAGCTAAATGTAGAGCCACGGGGTACTAGAAGTTGTCCAGAGTCTTGGGTGGGTTCCTATTCTCTCTCATTGCATCTCTTTCCACCCAAGAGTGTGAGCAGTAAATACCAATGAGTGAATTGTAGGGCCAATAGAACGATTTAAAGGTCCCATCTCATCTAGATCGGGTAGTCCAGTGAGTAGTTACTGTTCTGATCTGCGAAGTTTTCTTTTTTAATTCTCCAAGTACTGCAAATATCGAGTGACTGAATTTTTGTTTTTCAGTGACAGGTTGGTTCGTCTGTGGCGTGTCACTGGTTCGCTGGATGAACAATTAAATGAATCGGATCGTTCTGTTGAGGTGTAATATGGCTTTGTGAAATAATTTTTTTGCGATTTGAAGACTATGAACTAAAGAGTTTTCTTCTATTTTCCTCAGAATTGAATTTTGCCATTTTGTAAATAAATTAATTGATATGCTAAATAAAAGGCACGAGGTGTATATACGGCTGTTTCCTTTTCTTTGTTTTCTGTGATTATGCTGCATTACTCTCCGAAGGCGGACCTAATACAAATGATTAATTGCTGAGGGAAAACGATAATCAATTAAAACAGAGCAAGGGGTTTATTGAACAATGTTCTCGGAGCTGAGGAGAAAACTTATATAGTTGGATAATTCATAGCAGTAATACGAATAAAACATTCTGATAGCAACCTGCTTTAGTAAAAAGAAGAACATAACAAGAATACTCCATGAATTACGTGCCAAGGGATAGTGATGTTTTGGAATAAAGTTATAAGCTCCAGGTCTCTACGGGCTTTCAACTTCCTTGTAACCCATTTCGAATGTAGTAATTCCGTCATTTGATCGGAAAGAGGAAGCCAAAGGATTTCGTTTTTAGAAAGACCACTTGAACTGTCTCGGGCTTTGTTTGCTTAGTTTGTCGCGTGCGTGCCACTCAAGCATAAAACGTGACTGCTGACGACACGTACCATTTTCATGGAAATAGGAACGGTAATTTCGTGTCCTCTCAAGCTGAAGCTTTCACGCAAGACTTACCAATCATAATACCGAATTGTAGAAATAAGGAAACAATTGCAAATTATCACCGAGTAGATCTAAGTACTTAGCAAGTTGTGTTCGTCATGAGAAGACCAGGATTTAGACTGATCGCAGTAGCAGAGAAATACTCTCTTGAGGCAAAGCAGTGGTATACTCTCTTGGCAGTTAAATACACGTTATATTGATTTCCTGGGCGGTCAGATACAATGCCGTATTTCAGGCTGCAAAACCCGATACCGCTGAAAAAGTGAGTATTCTTTAAATTCAACCTATTTTAGAGGAATTCACCGTATATCCTCGTTGCTCTGAGAGTATGAAGCGGTGAAAAGGAAAAGAATCAAAATGATATCTGAAACATTGGTCGATGAGCAACGATTTAACTGTTCCTCGCGATATTGCCTTCAAGGAAGTTAAAAGTTGAAATTAAAGACGAATGAAATACAAAATTGTACATGGAAGATAAGTAAGGGGGCGTAAAGAAAATATTTCGTTGATTAACCGTTCCTAATCGTTTTTCCAGAAACATTTGTAACAGTTTCTTTCCATGTTTGTTAACTCCGATCGTAATAACTTTGCGTGACTTGTATTGGATCAAGCACTTTTGGTGATGGTTGCCGTAAGGATGGTTTTACGACGAATCCTTACGTGAAAGTCTTCGTGTGAAAGTTGTCGAATTTTTGAAGACCCTGTTATCGTCGAGATGAAGTCCTTATAGCAAAGTTTTTAGTAACAATTTATCACAAAATGTTATGACTTCGCGAAATTATTATTCATAAACACTCGGTGCTCACGCAAGCCATGCATAAATTGCCAACGTCGTTGCTATCAAAAAATGACCTTAGACAAGTTTCTTTCTCATGTTGTTGTTATTTATGTTGCTGAGTTAGTACAATATATATGAAAATAGCCTTTGGCCTCTAATGTATTGAGTCAAACTTTGTGCTTGTTCGAGCCGATTATACTAGAATGATGTTGTTGATGATCGATCGAGACAGTTAACTTCAGCACTAAGAAGTCATCAACAGCAATAGGATTTAAAGAAAATTGTAGGTAAACTTCGAAATGAAATTTCAAGTAATTTGTTTATAATATATTCTCACGCGAGTTTACTTTTAGATCAACCAACATTAAAAATAAGTAAATTTGCATATGCACGACAAAAGCTATCATTGAAGGCACTAAAAACGTAAATTTGGATGTTTTGCGGGAAAATGACGTAATCTAACAGAAATGTTGAAATACTGCTCTCTGATTGGCTATTGCCATGGTGTAGCGAAGTATACAAAGTTGAATTATGGGAATCACTTAGAAGCCAGAGATCTGTTGTTATATTGTTGTTGGAATATCGGTTTTTTTAATGGCCGAAAAGCGCCTACGTTCACGCTGATTTTCCGCCAATGGAGTCCAAACAAACGGCGGTTTTCCTTTATCTTTAACCATCGGTGCAATGACTAAGGGAGGTTTCTCTTGCCAATCTACTCGCGCTCGCCGAAGCAAAGACTGCATGCGACACTACTACGATTTTACTTCGAGACTATTCAACGATGGACGGTAAATTATAAATATAGATCAGATCAATTCACTCGAATTTCCTGTTTCACTGTTTCCTATCAGCTATTGTATCTATTTGAGATTTTCTGTTTGACATCAAAAGTGCTCTTGTATTTTCCCAGGGCTGACGATTATCTCAACGAACTGTTCTTGAATGCAGCCAAGGTAAGTTTCTACGGCGTCCGTTCTTATTGCTGTATACGCTATTTTTCTCTCTCGATCAGCTGTTTACATTTGCTTCGAGATGCTAACGACCTTCTCACCTTGCAGAATGGTGACATCGAGAGGGTTCAGAACTTTCTCGCTCGCACATCGAGAAATTCGGTAAGCATGGCAATTAAATTAACACAAAAGAAATAAGCTTAAGCGTCTCTTTTTGTGGCAACCCTTTACTCATATTTACTTAAATCCAAACACCTTCCGCCTTCTTATGAATATGTTCTGACTCTCCCTATCATCGATAATGCTATGGTAGAACCTGGCTTGAGGGAAGTAAGTTAATATTTCGAACTTCTTGTGACCTCGAGCACAAAGCGATTTCATCACTTTTTAAATGTACACTTATTTCCATTCATTTACATTTACATTTACACCAACTGTCTACAAATTGGAATGCTTGTATTTTGATCAGCTTTCCGTTTCTTTTGGCAGCTAGTAGCATGATTCTGCTATGAAATAAACAACACAACCTCCGCTCCTTAATTTAATTTTCTGTCCTTTTCTAGTCAGTGAATGTTGATGTAAAAGATAGAGAAGAAGGTTTCACCGCTATTATGCTTGCAGCCATGAACGCACACGAAAAGGTAATGATGTAAGATCAATTAGGGCCGATATACAATGGCGTCAAACAGCATCATTTAGGAATTTTATACTGATATTGTTTTGAACCCTTGAGGATAAAGAAGATAAAACTTAATTGCTCTAGTCTCCAGAGTAAGGCAAATGCATGTACATGCAGCAGACTTTTTGTAAAGCTCTTAAGGTGCAATTTGGAATCATAGCTCGGAAGCTGTAGAACTAGAAAGTGAAACCATGTGATTTCAATTCCAGACTCTTGTTGTATCACAAGGATACACTAGGATAACAGGAGAGACTTGTTTACTACTATTTGATCTAAATACTTTTCAGCAAAGTTGTTGAAGTCAACTTGCTGAAGCCAGTGCTTTTTTTTAAGGCTGTAATGGCATCAGTCACAGGGGTAGATTTTGTCTCTACTTTAAAGAGGACAAAGAGGGATGAATTATAAGAGGGGTGCAAAAGGGTTGGATTTGAACTGTTTTTTGAAAGGAGGCTATCGTAAGGAGAGAGTTTCCAGTAACAAACAGGTATTTTTCTGCTTCAGGTGGTGTCGCTGTTGTTAAACTATGGAGCAGACATCACTTTACATAACAAGAAAGGGGAGACAGTGCTTGATGTTGCAACTGATTCTATGAGACCACTCCTGCTGGGTATGTTGGCTATGTGTTTTTAAATAATTTTCTGGTCCAAACTTGATGTGGTTTTTCCTAATGTGATATTTTGTCTCACCTCTTAGGTTCTGTGGCAAGGCAAGGTATGTTGACAATTAATTTTAACATTTACACTGTAAAGATTATACACATTGATATTTTGTTACAAATGGAAACTGATGCTAGTTTAAAGCATTTGTAGATACATGTATTAAAAGCATATATCTTTCTTGTACCCAGGATATTCCTCTCGCCATTTACTGCAAGCAGCTTGGCAAGGAAATTTTCAACTTGTCAAGAAATTGCTGGTAAGTGTGGGAGCCTTTTGCAAAATGTAATTTACACTTAGCTAAGCTGCAACAAAAGATGTTTCACTTGGTTCGGTGACATAGTACTTAAGTACTTCAAAGTATTATAATTGAAAGTTTTTGGATTTGGTTTATATCATAAACTTGCTTACATCTTAGAAAATCATAATAGAGCTCACAATCATGAAGTCTTTTTTCATCTTGTTTATTTAATAATGATCTCTGTTGTAGTCATCTAAGGCTGAGCTGGATGTAAACTGCAAGAATGCTGATGGATTGACACCTCTTTTGCTTGTCACTAGAGATATAAATCTCTTTGAAAAAAGTAAGGTAATTTATTGCAATAACTGGTTTGTCAACACCTTGTAGAGTCAAATCCTTCTGGTAAGGGTAATCCCTAGAAGGTGGTTCTGGTATTGGTGGCTGAAATTGCAACAAACTTAGTGGAGGTGACTCTAATAGTGACTTCCACCTGAGGTTGTGGAAATTTTTGTCACCTCTACCCACAAAAGTCCTCGGGTTGCCGCTCTCACCATAAAAATCAGTTAACACAATCACCTAACTTTTACAGTAGATGTTCAATAAGCTAATGACAGGTTTTGTAGAGCACAAAGAATATTTGGAGATTATTACACCCATTTTGAAATCACTGGTGGTCCCTGTAATCTGATTGGCTCTAATTGGTGCAATTTATTCATGAATTGCACCATTTTTTGCTTTAAATCTCATCTTTTTCCCAGCCAATGAGCAGGCCACACTAAAAACATAACAACCAATCAGATTTCAAGGCTTGTTTAAAGTAACCTGAATCAAATTGCAGGAAATGAAAGACAAAGAGTATCATATGACAAATTTTGCAACTTTTGTTTCCAAACCTCTTTTTTCCCCCCAAAAAATGGATGAATTTAATCTCAAACCAGCTCAGTGCTGCATTAATAAAATATTTGAACTGACCAAGTCCAGTATTTGGGCAATTTCAAAATGGATGTAATAAAGTGGTAGTTGAACCTTGTGTCGTGCAATTTTGGTCTGAAATCATACTTGTGATTTCAAATCGAACTCGCATTGCGCACTTTGATATCGAATTCACATGTATGATTTTAGCCCAAATTGCACTCCACTCAGTTCATTACCATTATAAAGCAGCCTAATAGCGAATGAATGAGAGAGTTTTCCTTTCTGTGATAAAAAATTTGCATCTTATAGTTCTTGGTACCTGGATTCAGTCATGCAGTTTTTAATACCTAAACATCATCCTCTTAAACTGATAAATCTCCTTTAATCCTTTAGTTGAAAAGGCTGTTATGGAGAATTCCTATCACCCAGTTGAAGTTGTCAGGGAACTGATAGCCCACAATGCGTAAGTCACAGTAACCATTATTTTTACTGTGAAACTGAGAAAACTGTGCTTGTCAGTATATTACAACAGAAGCCAATTTTATGGTGTGGGAAATAAAACCAAAAGATTTTGATGTTTAAATGTGTATCTTGAAGTCTATTATGATTGGCCAGTACATAACTGACCCACAGAATCAAATTAAAAGTGTTCACAGTTTTCTGAGCTTTATATAGTAAGTGTTGTACATTTATAACCTCCACTACTTGCCCAGAGTAATGAATTCTTGAAGAAAATAGGGAAATTTGGGGAGAGTCCCATAAATCATGAGTATTGTTTAAATTGCTAAGAACTGTACAAAACCTGAAGTCAGTACTCTGTGATGTTAAATTGTTTCAAGTTGAGTTCTTGAGAAAAAAAAATGATATATCCCATACTCAGTACTTTTTCAGAAATGTTACCTACATGCTGGTTACATTAAATCTTGTACGTCTACCAAGTACAAATTGAATTGCACAGAAGACATGTGCTCACTTAATGTATAATGTAAACTTATAGAGATTGTGGAGCCAGAGATAGTGAAGGTAAAAGACCTCTTCATTTTGCTGCCCACGGAAAAGGAAGCCATGCTCAGGGTGTCATTAATGTCCTGATACAGGAGGGAGCCAGTGAGATTGGTGAGTTATCAAAATGTTTTACTCAGAATAGAACACCATTGGTTTGGAAATACAGAATATATGAAGAAACTTATTTTTTCTTTTAAATTGAAATCCAGAATTCAGTTTACCAGTCTGTCGCCATGAGTAAGGGCCAATGCTCGAAATGTCAGCTCTTTGGGTTGGCCAGTTTTCATTATCAATGCAGCTGATGAAACCAAATTTTCTTGTTATACCAAACCCCCCCACCACACAGACGTAAGACCACAGTTTCTTAAGAAACTTACCCCCTTGATTCATTATGTCTGTTTGCCTGTCTGCCTCCCAACCAAAAGAAACAATATAACATTTTTAAATTATTTTCTTGATCCTACCTCCTACAGATGTACCAGATAGATTCAGCTACTCCCCCCTGCACTGGGCAACAAAAGTGGACAATCAGCCCATTTTGCTGGCCCTGATTGAAGGGGGTGCCAATGTCAATGCCAAGGGACATGTTGGAAAGACTCCTCTTCACATAGCTGTAAGAATGAAACAATTAGTTTTTGACTAATTTTTGCTTTAGAGACACCTGGAGGAACTCCAACTTGTGATCAATAAAATTGCATTGGTACTGTACATGCACTAGTTTTGAATTTAGCCCTTTGGCATGGGTGACTATTGCAAAATAGGCAGTTGTGACCAATTAGAAGGGATTAAATAAGAATCTTAAGCAAACTGTGAGCTGTCAGTGAGCATAGGAGGCCCTATAAATAGATCTGAAGTAGATCTCTGTTAATCACTGTCATTTTAAGACCCTTTTACTGGGGGAAATAATTTTTGCCTCCTATTATTGGTGCTATTTTTTTAGTTTTATTATTCTTGGAATAAAACAGGCTTCACATGGATTTGAGCAAGTCTCTGATACCCTTCTATATCATGGAGCTGATGTTACCATCACAGATGATAATGGTTAGTGTAACATGATGATCAATTTGAAGTTTACTAGCACTGATTTAAACCGTGATAACCGAAGTGTTTCATGGCATTTAAGGCAGGGCAGGCTTTCCAACTTGTTGGCTGACTTGACTTTCACCTTTATCTGTACCTGAAGTCTTGATTTGTTTTTTCTCTTGTAGGACTTTCTCCTGTTGATGTAGCCAAAGGTAAAAGAGTGAAACAGGCTCTAAAAGGTAACTTCAATTTATAAATTTAACTGAGAAGGATTGCCATTAAAATGTGTTTTCTTAACAATGTTCACTCAATTATTTTATTAATTGCCTCCTTTTTCTTACAGAGGCGTGGGCAGGGCAAACCCATGGAAATAAAAACCACTTGCAGCGGATCTATTCAGGTAAGTAGGATGGCATGTGTGTTTTTATAAAAAAAAAAAAATTGATTTAATCATGAAAAACTGTAGCATAATTATTACTGTGTAGTCTGTTGATTCCCTATCAATGACTGAAAAGTTAACGGTTTGCCTCCCTTACTTTCAGATTGTTATCATTGTTTTAGATGCTTGGTCCAATATACGTATATTTTTGTAATTTCCTCATTATGTTTACATTTTCATTGGAATCTTTTTTTATGATACCATTTAGCTCCGGCCCCACCTAAGAATGAACAAGAGTCAGCTCCAACCAAACTTGACACCACTGAACAGAAGAAAAGCAATCTTTTAAGTGCTGTAAGTTTTCCGATGTAACCCAACAAACATGCCTCTGGGTGAAAAGTTATTAGATATGAATACTTTTTCTGTCAAAGTACATGAACAACGACATAAATAGTGAAATATCGTTATAATCACTATAATTGGTTCAAAACTGCTCATGTTTGATTTTATACGCTGTTTTTGTATCTACCATTTTGTAGGATTTAATTTCTCGAGTCAACACTGCGCCTTCACAAGGAAAAGAGCGTAAGTTGAAGGAAAAGGTTTCTGCAGTCATATGGTTTAAATATGCACCACCCATCCCTTGAAGAAACGCACGGATTAAAGATAATTTTTAGTTGTACACAGGACTTACATGGGCCACAAGTACAGTTTCTAGTGTTACATCGAATAGTTTTTTGTTTTTACTTCACTTACCAACTACATCTTTTGTATTGGCAAAATTTGCAGTTTTATCGACAACGAGGCAAATTGTGCAGGTCACATATATTTCTGAGTTAACAACGTAAACGTAACGATTGTTGCTTTGCGTTGGTGTTTTACCATTTGTTATTGTATCTATTTACAAGGCTCGTTCTCTCTTTCCCCCCAGGAAAACTGAAGAAAAGGTCACAGGGTTCCTTAGAGGAGATTTCTGTACCTGAAGAAAGGTATAATGATTATAAACACGCTTTTTATAACTGTTCCTTGTCTTTCAAGCAGTTGTGTTACATCCAGTGATCCTGCGTTCTCTTGGTCTCTTGGTTGCCTTATAGTCAGTAGATCAGTGTACAAGTGTATTCAGTTGTTCATACATTTTTTGTACTATTTACTTATGTCCATATCGTTCTTTTTGTATGTTTTATGTGTAGAACAAGCCATCCCGTATCACGAAAAGCGTCTGACCTGCGCATGCCTAAAATTCCGTCGGCTCTAAAACCCGAGTTATCCCCCAGTTCCAGGGCCAGCTCTGGGTTGATTGGTAGAGGGAAGCTTGTTAAACAAGAGTTTACAGGTTTGTGAATTGTTTGATGCGCTTTATCTACTGTTCTTGCAACAATGTATCAAAATTATGGGAATAAGTAACGTGTTAAGTACTTCTTGAAGTTTAAGGGTTATGAAAGACTTCAGAGCGCATGTCTAATTTAAATCATAAAGCAAAGTATCACTTATAAGAAAAAGGAGGTCAATTAAGAATTCATGTAATTGGAAAATAAAAAAACCTCCTGGAACGCGGGAAAACGTGAATGACTAAGTCACGATTGGTTTCAGTTTTCATCTGACTGAATGAGAGGTGGCGCAAATTCTCTGGAACAATCATAGCACTAAGTTAAGGAAACCTATTGCGATCCCGGATTACTTCGACTCCCAAATGAAAACTTTTCAAGAGAGTACACGGATTAAGTTTTGTTTTTAAATTAAAAGGGCAATCTTCTAGTGAGTGTCCAAAGTTATCCGGGATTGCCTTGGTTTTTCTTTGATTCGCTCTGTGATTGGTCCAGAAATTCTTAACCAACGAGATGCAAAGCAAAACAATCACGACTCGAAGGCCCACGTTTTCCCGCGCTTTTGAGCAGTTTGCTTGTTTTCCCGCGCTTTGAGCAGTTTTCTTGTTTTCCCGCGCTTTGAGCAGTTTGCTTGTTTTGCTTTGAATTCTGATTGGCTTTTTCGGGTATTTTCCTTTTCTCTGATTGGCCGTTTTAATTACGTGGTTCTGGTTCTGCGACACTCAATCGAAAAGCGCACTATCTGTCGGTATGATTCCGTGACGTATTTATTTTGATTTAGGTCCAGGATTAAAAGACGAACGATCTTCAGAAGCACTGCGGCCAGTCGTATCAGTTCTCAACATTGAACTGAAAAATGTCAGGTAAAGTAATGAAATCAAACCTGTATTTGTTTCTTTTTTCAGTGTTGTTTTTGTTTGCTTGTTTACAGATACTGAAGCGGTGCAAAAGAGGAGTGCTGATCAAAGATGAAGAAAATTTAGGCCAAAATTTTGAAGCTACTGAATTGCGTGGTTTACTGCTCAACACTTTATAAACGGAGGAAATGAAAAGCTCTAAGCATGAATTAATCCTTACAAACTAAAAGCTGTGATTTTTGGGAAAAAATTTTATGGTATTTTTAAAGTTTGATTTTCGTTCGTCTCCACAGAAACTTGCGTAATGCAAAACCAGTGATACGTAAGAGAAAGACATCACTTCAGTCACCAGTTCCTCCCAGCTATCGCTTACATCATCGACTGTCGAGCCCAGTCCTCTCATATCAACGAAAGTTATCACCGCCTGGAACGCCTGGCAATGAAGCGCGTCTTCGATCGTCCTCTGAAAGCCAGGTGCCAAGTTCTAGATTGGCGCTGCCCTCACGAGTGCCTCCACTTGGAGGGAAAAGAGCCCTGACACCAGAACTTCGATCCATTGCGACGCCAGAAATGGTCATAGAGAACATGACTTTAACACCGGAGGTCATCGATCTGGGTGAGTCTCTTCATAAGTGCTCTTTTAAGGCTTTTTACGGAGAGCAAATTATTTTATTTTTCATGTTTCAGTAATGCTTATTCTTTGCTGACTATGAGAAAGCTCACGAGGTTTAGAGTTTTAAGTTGGATGAGAGACCTGCTTGACCAACTCCAAGGTTTTTAAAAATTTAACGTGAATTTGCCACAATAAGTAATGAAGACAACAGAGTAACGGAGTACTCCTATGAACGGATTTTAAGTAACGTTCCCGGCAATAATTCTCCTGATTCATCGTTACTAGATTGGGTGTTATTTTTTAAATTAGCCTGAATTAGATAGTCATTTTTTATTGCTGTTATTTTTTTTTTCAGATCTGCTCACAAAACAAAGCCTAAACAATGACAAAGCTTCATCATTAGTTTTTTCCGGGGTGAGAGAAGTCACACCACCTCCTCCGTCCCCGCGTAGTGTGTCATGCAATAGTCAAGAGGACGTTGAACTGGAATCCGACACAACGAAAAAAGATAACGAATCAGTTATGACACGAACGTTTGAATCAGATTCACGCCCTACGTTTTGGATTCCCGTGGATGGAAGTAGCGCGGAAAAGAATGGACCAACCAGTGCTCCAACAGTTGGAGAATCGTCATCAAATGGGACAAAATTTTACATCGATCTTACTAACTTAGAAGCTTTAGCCACAGGCCAGTGCTCACTATGTGGAGATTCTGTTACCGAAACAACCAAATCAAAAAGAGGGTCTGTCTCATCTAACGCTGACAAAGAAATTTGTGAATCGTGCCAACCACGCCGCCGTTCAAGTGAAGATGTTTTCTGGATCCCATTTACCGACAAAAGAAAAGCTTCTGCTTTGAAAAATTTGAGTGGAATGGAAAATGGACTTCGAGATGGTGCCTCGATAACGAATGGGAGGAAAAATTCTAAAGATAGGATCACCGAGCGAAGCAATGGAGAACCTCATCCTCAGAGCGAACAATCTGATGTGAGTTCTTCTGTTATGGAGGGCGGCGATAGCAAAGCTCCTGTTCTAAGCAAATCTGTCCTTCCTTCTTCCTCGGACATGACAGGTTATGATGTCTCTTGTGTTTGTGACAATAACACTGGCTGGTGCTCGTGTACAATTGTAAAGAAAGACGTGTCTTCTCCTTCAACTGATAACACTTTGAACAAAGCAAGTGGTGCTACAGGCGTCGTTAAGACAATAGGCGAGACAAGTTCTTTGGTAGAATCTACCCTAGTTTCTCGGCCAGCGAATGAGTACGCCTCTTCTCCACGTGCATCTTCCTATTCCAAAAGTCAATCATCAGCGAGAAACGGAACTGACATTGTTCTTAAATCGTTTTCCGAAAATGATATTTCTAATCACTTGCCTGTGGAAAGCACAGTTAAACCAACACTGAAAAATTTCGAAGAAAACGAAAAGCACCTGGTCGAAGCTCATCAAAACGTGCCAGGTCAAGCCGTAAAACAGCCGTTCGTGCGAGAGACCAACCCAGACAACGACCGCGATGGTACAATTTCCAAGGCACCTGTAGAACCTAGTCCGCCGAAACATGCATGGGCAACACCCAGAGTAGAAGAACCTGGTTCGAGTGGTGTTAAAATCACAAACCCTTTCCCATCACCTGTGCCACCCGTGGACAAATCCGCTGTACATCCCCCGATTGGCCCCGTGGACGACAACAGGATGGGGAATAAAAAACACACATTGGGTAAAAAAGGAAAGAAATGTGGAGGAAAAACAGGGAGTACTTGCAAAACTAAGCCTAGGACGAAGAGCAAAGTACCCGAACAAAACATTAAAGGCGGTAAAAAGAAAGGAAAGGCTAAAAAGAAAAGTGACATTAAAATGGTCACAGTGCAGCAAAGGGACGCCCAGGAGGAACTCGGGCTAAGGACGATATCCCAGGGAGGTTTGGACGTAGCCGAGGAATCCATGGACTATCTGTCCACCTTCCGCCCTTTCAGCATGTTTAAAGGAAAACATCCAATTCTTAGCCCAATACCAGAGTCGCCTCGAAGTACACTGGTTACTCCTCAGAACACAGAGGGTACCGCACAAGTCGTTGCCTCTCAGCAGCAAATCGAAAAGGGCCCTGATGTGGCGGTTATAGGAGCTGGGAAGGATTCTGCGGGAATGGTGGAAGAAGGTGGATTCGATGTTGTGGACGGTGGAATGTTTAGTAGTTTGATTGGGATGTGTGTCCCTCGGCTTAGGTTTGGGAAATCCGACGTGGTTTCTGATTCGGGATCCGATGCAGAGAGTACTGAAGCTCTTGTTACACAACCTCGAGGTGGCAGGGTTACGAAGCAGCCACATGATTTTGCGGAAGAAGGTATTGCAAGAGATACAGAGAGTGTTGTGGGTGTGAAAGGAGTTGGTGCGAAACATCAGGTTGTGCAAGATGAAGCTGACGACGCTATGGAGGCCATTGTTAAACGCGAGCTTAGTTTGGAAGAGCAAAGAGAAAGTGGTAGGACAGATTCAGTGGATCAGACTTCTGTTTCGCACAATCAAACTACTAAGAACTTCTCGCCAGATGAGACGTTTCGTGCAGCGTCTAATTTATCACAAATCAGTACCGGGGAAGAATCACTTTTGAGTTACCGGTATTCCAGAGACTTCCCTTCTAAGATATTAGGCGAGTCAGATTTACCGAGTGAAGAGCGGACATCTTCGGAAGCGAGTTCATTCTCCGAGCAGTACTCGGATACGGACTCGTCGTACAACAGCTTGGGATCGGCCTCACCTCGGCCTCTTTCTCCGGCCTCTTCGCTGAACAGTAGCGATACATACTTCTCTTCGCCACGTGACTCTTCGTGTCCCGAAACACCGACTCCGGAACGAGAAATGCGCTCGGAAAATTCGGTAGAAATTGATTACTACGAACAAGTGGCGAGAGAGAAGTCATCCATCAGCAGCAGTAGTAGCAGTAGTTCTACAATTCGCACTCGGTCTAACATCTCGCTTGGAAGTTTGGGTAACATTTCCCAGGGCTCCATGGGAAGTTTCGCTCCTTCAATCCCTGAAAACGTGGTGCGAAGTCGACTCAGTGCGTCGTCTCGTAGCCAGTCCTCCACAAGCTGTGAAGAGGAGATAGTTTGGAAGAAGGGCAACATACTTGGAAAAGGCGCGTTTGGAACGGTAAGTTATTGATACTAGGCTTTACGGAGTAAAAACTATCAAGGAAAACTAGTTAGCGAAATCCAGAACCATTGTTCATGTTTCTGGTGTAGCTATTGGAATTCATCTATGTATAATAAAGGTAATTAACGTAGTTGCTCAACCCTTGTAGTTCAAACGGTAAGTTATTGACACTGAGCGCCATGGATTACAAACCATCGATGAAAACTCGTTGGCAAAATCCAGAACTATGAGTTTATTGTTCATATGTAAGTATAGTTGTAGGATCTTTTCTTAGCGTATTTCAGACAATCTGCATAAGCGCGGTACTTGCGCCAATTGACGTCATCTTTTGTCAAAAACTTAAATCTCGTCGTTCTTGTTATTAGTATGTGATTGAAAGTGTACTTGTGGTTTAGCTCCGGATCACGTATTGAGTGAATTAAAGTATACTTCTGAAGTGCAAAATCAAGTAAATAGAGTAAGGAACCACCCCATATTGACTTGGTGTATTATATCATTTGCTTCATTAAACATTTAATTTATCAAATAGAAGCAGTTAAAACGTCCATACTCATCATGGTTAAGATCAAGGTATCTGGTATCAATATTTCTTCAAAGCATTGGTAAATTGTTTAGCACTAATGTTTTACCCTCTCATTTTTTGTGGTGTCTTTGTGCAGGTTTGGTGCGGACTCACCAACACAGGAGAAATGATCGCTGTCAAACAAGTGGAGCTCAACCACAGCAATTTTGACGAGGCTGAAGAAGTACGTTGACTTTCTGCAAATTTTTCGGCTGAGTAATTTAAACTTTAACACTAATACAAATTCCAAATTAATTACATTGAACAAGTCAATTCAATCAATATGAGGTCAGCTCAAAACAGAATACAAGATTCCTTAAAATAAGCCGCCTTGATTATTTACCTAGTTAAAAAATTAGTGTTAAAAATACTCTAACCTCATTATAGAAATAAGATAATGACGATAAAAGATAGGCACTGAACTTATCATAAACATAGATAAATAATGTCTTGCAATAAAAAAGTGGCACTGAACTTATCATAAAATTATTAAACAATTTCTTGCGAAAGACTGGTAAGGTGTTAGATTCTTTAATGCTGAGAGGTAATTCGTTCCATGCGCGACAAACCCGGGTATTGCAGCAACGGGCTTTTTTTCTCCTTTCTACCACCGAGGAAGGATCGATTTTAATTGATTCACAAAAGCAAAAGCAAATTGTAAATTTTATTACACAAAGCTAAGAATAGCATATAGGGGTAAGGTTCTAAAGAAATTGTGGTGCTGCGTCGGTGGGGGTTTTGCGAGATAATTTGGTTCAATCGACTGAATTAATGACATAATTGACCACCGCAAAGAGTTTCGAAAGCAAAAAACTCGGAACTAAAAGTTTAAAAGCTAGAAACTCTTTACGGTAGCCTAGTATCACCTCAGTTGATAAAATTAAATTATCTAAGAATGTTAAGGTGGGTCGAAATTCCAATGTCCCGTTTTTAAGTCTAATTAGGGTAGGCAAATCACTGACCCTTAAACTTCCAAATTCTCTTTATGGTACCCTCTCTAACTGCCATATTTCCTTAGTTAGTTTATTTAGAAATTCTTTCAATATTCAGCGTCTTGCATCTTTTATTTTCATGTTAGCAATACGAGAAACTCCAAGAAGAAGTGTCATTGTTGAAATCGTTACAACACGAAAACATCGTCAAGTGAGTACAGATCAATTTTTATTTATTTATTTATTTATTGTATTAGGAGGGACTAGTTGCTAGCTTGAACAGTCTGACGTTTTTTCTTGTGCTAATTAATTTTCTGACCATCATTCTCAGGTTCATTGGAACATGTTTAGATGGGGGTGTAGTAAATATCTTCATGGAGTTCGTCCCAGGAGGGTCCATTGCCTCCATACTTGCACGGTAAGGTTCCTAATTTTTACTTACTCATTATTCATCATCATTACTTAGTCTGTCCCATTTGAAGTTTAACAATCAACTGTTGGCGTGCAATTTACCCGATCTGTAGAAAGGAAACATCATTTAATGACTGGACACTAGCGAGTCTTCCACTAGTTTATAAAATAATAACTCTGTTATCTGTTTCTTTTTCAGATTTGGTTGCCTTGACGAGCCCGTGTTTAGTCGTTACACGAAGCAGCTGCTGTCGGGCGTGTCTTATCTCCATAGAAACAACGTCATTCATAGGTATTTGAGTCAATCCCGTCTTCCACCAAGTCTAATATCAGTTTGTCGTCATTAACGGTTATTTTTTCCTTTATTTGGGTGTTCATGTATTTAATGTTACTTTATCCTTTTTGCTACTCAGAGATATCAAGGGTGGTAATATTCTTATTATGCCAAGCGGCGTCCTTAAGTTGATCGACTTTGGTTGTGCCAAACGTCTTTACATGGTAAGGTTTGCTGCTTGCTTTAGAGTAGGGTGTGGGGCACGCGGTGACCTGGTATTCAGCACGCAGGACTCCGGGTCGAGAGAGTTGGGTTCGAGATCTGACCGGGTCATCGTGTCGTGTTTTTGGGCAAAACACTTTACTTTCACAGTGGCTCTCTCCTCCAATGGAGTCTAAATGACCAAGACAGACTTTCTCCTTACAATATCAGTACAAAATCAAGAAGACAAGTGATGAGAACCAAGAAAAATATCAATTAGAGGATTATTAGTTGATCCAATACCAAATTCTCAGAAGTAAAATCAGAAGAATTGTATAGCAGATAGAAAGGAGAATTACTAATGAGATCTTGGAAGTTAAACGGTTAATTAGGCGGTGTTCTATTTTCACGTGTTCTGTGTCTTCTACGCCGAGAAGGAACTCTTAATGTGAACCGGTGAATTGTCCGATATCGGTATTCAAAACCCTTTCATTGTCGTTAAAGCGATCCAAAAAGTACCATGACCTCGAATTCAACTACTTTTGTTTCAGAATCTGAGCATGAGTAGAAGTAACATCCTTCGCTCCATGAAGGGTACGCCATATTGGATGGCACCTGAGGTTATACGGGAGACTGGGCATGGCCGTAAGTCTGATATCTGGTGAGTGTGATCATCAGTTACAACAAAACTTAACATAGCTAGTATGGTATTTCTGTGAAATTACTTCCCAGTAAAAGTCTTGCTGGTAATCCAATGTGGTATTATTGCACGCCCGCGTGTACCCAATGTCAGTCAACTCTAGAGATTTTTTCTAATAAAAGCCAAAATCGAACCATCGACTATTTGGGATAATTTGGTATTATCAGCTGATTTGATGCGGTAAATTGGCCACCGTTAAGAATTTCAACGCTGACGTTTCCCCTCGTCAGAGCCTCTTCATTCTGCGCATTCGTCTGACGAAGGGCTAACTTCGAAACTTCAGCGTTGAAACTCTTTACGGTGGCCAATTGACGTTATCAAGTCAGTTTATAATACCAAATTTCCCTGTTAAACTCTCCCACCGACGCAGCACCACAGTTTCTTTAGAAACCTACCCGCTTTATTCATTGACTATTTGGTCGACTGATTCTAAATTGCTATTGCTTTGTTTTCTTTGTTTAAAATGAGTTGTTTTTTTTTTTAACAGGAGTGTTGGTTGCACAGTCTTTGAAATGGCAACTGGAAAACCTCCATGGTGCGTTCACGAATATTTCATTGTTGTCTGATATGACCTGAATCATGTTCGAATATACCATACTTACTTATTACACTCCCTGCTAGCAAAGGAAATTCTGAGATTCATAAGGTTTGGCCCAGTTGTTTAAAGAGTGGACGACGCTATCTGACGGATAAAGAATGGAGAACGGAACATAATGCGCTCTCCACCGGATAGGGATTCATCCAGCGGATAGCGTTATCCAACCTGGGTCCGGTTTGTGTGTATGTGTGTTGGGGGCGTTGATACAGTTTTTTCGGTTTCGGAATAAGGAAAGCTTTCATGTAGTACGTGTATTAAATTTCAAAATAACAACGAAGTATTATGTTGCTTTCAGAAATGTAGTGTAGTAATTTAGCTGCATCTTCTGTTTTATTGCCAGGTCTGACATGCCTCCCATGGCAGCCATCTTTGCAATTGGAAGTGGTTCTTTAGCAGTGCCACAACTTAGTGAGGATTTCTCATCTGCTGCCCGAGACTTTGTCAGCAAGTGTCTCACGAGGTTGGTTTCCTTGTTGCATTATTAGGCCTTCTTCTGAGTTTTTTCGGCTTTTTTTCTTGTTCTTTATGATTAAAACAGCTTTGATCACCCCTCCCATTTTTTTTAATTTTAGGGACCCAGATTGGCGGCCTTCGGCCGATGAGCTGCTGAAGCATCACTTCCTGACGGACACCTCATGATAGGAGACGCGAGTAGATGCACCTTGATTTATACCATTGCAAGGAAAGGAACAATAGAAACATCGAATGTAAAATATGCCATTTGCAAAGCAGTACATGGTTAAGAGTTACTGCTGTTCTTTTGCAATATCCGTAGTTCGTATGCACACTACAGTGAAATTTACAATGAATAAATTTCTCTCCTTTTTCAAAAGGATAATGTATCGTCTTCTCTGTGTAAAGCAGACACAAAAAATGTCTTTATTTTATACCAATGCTTAAATTATTGCGTATGATCCTAGTTAAGCCACAAGTATTTTAATAGAAGGTGGTCGAATTAAAGGATCAATGTACCATACAGAAATAGTTGTCTTTGCGTTCTTAACCTTTTTATGCCTTGCATTTTTTTATAGTCAAAAATTTCATCGTGCGTGAAGTAGAAAAACGTTGACTTGTTGACTGGTGACGCAATTGGATGGCAGTAAGACTGTCGCAAAATTCAAGGTTAACAATGCACGAGTTCGAATTCAAAATACAAGCGCGATAATTCGAATCCTCTTTACCTTGATGTGCTTTAATGTAGTCCAAGAAGATGAAGGGAATAATGCGACAGGCAAATACGTTTAAAAAGATAAATTGCAGGTCCTGAATTTTCCTGCACGCATTTTAACTGGCACCAATAAGTAGCAGCATGTATACCCCTTGTTACAAGAGTTCAATTGGTTACCAGTTTGTCTTAACCCTTTCACTCCAAGGAGTGACCAAGACATAATTTCTCCTTACAATATCAATATAATATCAACCAGACAAGTGATGAGAATAGAGAAAACTATTACTTTGGGGATAATTAGTTGATCCAATACTAAATCCTCTGAACTAACATTATAAGAATTGTTTTAAAATAGAGGAGAAAATAATCAAGTCTTCTGTCTGTGCTGAATAGAGTACAAGATTTGGAGCGCTAGACTTGCTCGTTTCGGCACAGCACTCCATTTGGCATTATAGATCTCGCCCCCTCATACGTAGATAAAAAGTTTGTCAAAAGATCAGATATTTAGTCCGCTAGTAAAAGAAAAAAAAAGTCGAACTGTAGATCCCATGCACAAGTCTACTCCGGTCAGCGGACCTTTCGTTATTGAGCTGTAGCAGCGTGGAACTCCTTTTTCGAGGAGTTGAAGAAGCTCGAGAGTGTAAAAAACTAAAAAACGAAACCCCACTTCCTTCTTTTTGACAAGTTTTAACTGTACACACAATAGTATTGAAATTAGATTCTTCGGTAATTTTAAGAATTCTGATTATCGAAAATCGAAACTTATACAACTTAAAGTTCATGATTTCCTTTATGTGTTTTAATCTGTTTAGCTGGATTTCCGACTTAAAGTAATTTCCTACGCACCTTTTGAGAAATTGACGAGTAAGCTATCAAACGATGGGCGCAGAAGATTAAATGAAGAAATTGGAAAAATGGTTCTAGCTACTTCTTTTCGCTCAAGATATGTTGAAAAGAAAGGCGAAAAGAAAGAAAGAAACATGTAGAGGTTCAGGGGGAACAGAACATTACCTGAGTTTCTGGAGCCCACAGCAACAGAAGTCTCTCTAAGACACAGCCTGGTGAATCTCAGCACTGAAATAACCGAATCTGTGTTTACTTCAAGCTTTATCCTTCATTGAGTAATGTTGAATTGTGGTAGCATGATCACATTCCCTTATTAAAAGTGGAGATACAGATTTTTTGCTTGTGGTTGCATTGAGTTCCGTTCCAAAATTTTGGATGTCTAATGGAATCTTGCTAGTACCCGCTAATGATGTAAGTAAGCTAATATCCGTGGATGGAAGATGAACAGAAAATACATCAGAAACGTGGTGAAACTGAATCCAGTACTCGAACCGAGATGGTAATTATTCGTCTTGTCGCGAATGTTGGATGAAAGGAAAAACATCTTTGTCTCTGAACAAAAATCGGACTTTACACCCTCGAATTCACTTTCCAATGCTGAACAGGCTCTACCATTAGTTAGCTAACTAGCCCTTTCTACATCACTGCTGACTTAAGTTTCGTAGCTCAATAAGACTTCGCATTTTACACAAAGAACAAGTTTTGAACGAAAACTCGTCATGATCTTATTTTAAGCGGCCTCAAGAGATTATAAATTGTATTTAATCTCTTGACGGCCTTAAGTCAGGTCTGCTACAACTGAAACAACGAAGTTCCGATCAGCTTGTGAAATCACCGTAAAACCATTAATAACCATTAGTAATCTGATACTTGAAACCAAGGGTTGCTGCTTTAAAAGCAAAGAGATGCTATTGTTTATAAAAATTGAGATTAACAAGGGAATTTATAGCATCCATGTCAGGACTGATCCAATTTTCAAAATTATTTCTTGTGCTTCATTCTAATTCCATCAGGTTATCAATGTCATACTGGTTTTGGAATATATTAAAAAGGCGAGTGCCTGGATTAGTGACGACCTCTTTTTCATAACAATAGATGAAAAGTCCCAATTGTACCATAATTTATCAGGACATGAGCACTTCGGAAGTGGCAATGGCATGCATGTATCACCGACATCGAGTATCACCCCTCACTAATGTTTTACATCAGCTAAAAGAAAGGTTATGTATGTGTTAAATACTTAGCGCTTAAAGGATCATGGAAGCAAACGTGGAGAACAGCGCGAGATTGGTTTTGAAGTGTAACAAATATAGCAATAAAACACCCGCCATTTCTCGCAACATTTCTCGCTTTTGGTTAAAAGACCTCATCAGTGGAGGAGGATCAAAGGGCTTGAAAACAGAAGAAGCTAGAGTTGCTCGAGGCGTAGCCTCGAGCGACTCTTACGCATCTTTCGTGCTCTCCAAACTTCCCGCGTGCTTCTTATCTCGATGAACGCACACTGATGTATGAACCAATTGTTAAGTCAGACATAGTTTGAAGCTACACAGATTTGCAGATTTAATGAATGTAACCGAAGAAGTTACAATTCAAAGACCCAACGTTTCGACACTCCTGTCTAGTGCCTTCATCAGGGGTGATCTAAACGCTGCAACAAGAGGTCCTTTTATATGATCACTAATTAGCGGCCTTTTTTCTGACGAGGTGTAAATAGGCGTCAGGAAGCAGACCGCCATCGTCACGATTTAAAGGAGCGTGGGCGGAGTTAATGTGCCAAGCCTCCAAACAAAGGCGCTGGTGGTAACGCCGATTAGTGGTGATAATTTTAGAATTACACCTCGTCAGAAAAAAGGCCGCTAATTAGTGATCATATAAAAGGACCTCTTGTTGCAGCGTTTAGATCACCCCTGATGAAGGCACTAGACAGGAGTGTCGAAACGTTGGGTCTATGAATTGTAACTTCTTCGGTTACATTCATTAAATCTGCAAACCAGTGTAGCTTCAAACTATGTCTGATTGTCCACCTGGTTGCCGTGTGAACTTTAATATATTTCAATTGTTAAGTGTTGAAAGTCAAGGACAAGCAGTTAAGTCACAGAAACACATACAGTTAGGTAGAAATTTGTTTACAGCGCGATATATGCAGCATGAAATCGTTATTCTAAAATCTCGACAGGAACTTCATAGGAAGGTTTTCATCTTTTACGAGGACTGAGGAGGCCACAGGATAAACATGTTTGAGGAGAAGAAAAACATCATTCAATTTATCCTCGCCTTTTGAAAGTTTCCTTTCAATCTTTTTGCGATTTACATGTGAAATTAAACTTTACAGTGATGTCTGTAGGAACCAATGAATTGCAAGTCTTTATCCTACATGATTTATGTTGTGAAGTGTTCAGTTAGCTTGTTCTGATTTAAGGATTTGTTTATATTTATTATTAACCTATTATTTTGATTTACAATGCAAGGTTGATTGAGGTTTAACCTAAAAATGAGTTTCTTGTTTTTGACTGTCATTTCCCGAGTCCATTACTCGAACTGGGACGGAAATTATTCGTCTTTTCACAGGTGCTGGATGAAAGGGAAAACATCTTTGTCCATGAACAAAATCGGACTTTACACCTTTGAATTCACGCCCCAATGCTTTACAGGGACTCTACGATGAGCAAGCCATCACTGCTGACTTCAGTTTCGTAGCTCAATAAAAATTCGCATTTTATAAAAAGAACAAGTCTTGAACGAAAACTCGTCAAGATCTTATTTTAGGTGGGCTCAAGAGATTATAAACTGAATATAATCTCTTAACGGCCTAAAGTCAAGTCTGCTACAATTGAAATAACGAAGTTTCGATCAGCTTGTGGAATCATTGTCAAATCCATTAAAAACCATTAGTAACCTGTTACTTGAAAACAAAGGTTGCTGCTTTGAAAGCAATGAGATGCTATTGTTTGTAAAAATTGAGATGAGCAAAAGGAAATTCGTAGCATCCATGTCAGGACAAATCCAGTTTTTTAAAATCAGTTCTTGTGCTCCATACCAATTCCATCAGGCTGTCAACGTCATCTTGATTTTTGAATATATTAAAAATGCGAGTACCAGGGTTAGTGATGGCCTCTCCTTCATAAAATAGATGAAAAGTCCCGATGTTACCATAATTCATTAGGATATGAGCGTTAATGGCACGCGTGTAACACCTACATCGGGTATCACCCCTCCCTAATGTTTTACATCAGCTAAGAGTAAGGTTTTGCACTGTTAAATATTTAGTGCTTAAAGGATCATGAAAGTAAATTTCTCGCAACAGAACGATCAATTTCTGGACTCAAAGTTCAAAGTAATTTCTTTTCCATGCTTAAAAGACCTGATCTGTGGAGGAGGATCAAAGAGGTTGAGAACAGTTCTCATCCTATAGTGTTAAGAGTCGAGGACATGCAATGAAGTCACAGAAACACATACAGTTAGGTAGAAATTTGTTTACAGCGAGATAGACGCTGATTGAAAACGTTCTCCTTAAAATCTCGACGGGAACCTCATAGGAAGGTTATATTAGGCGATGAGAAGACCACAGGATAAATATGTGCGAGGAGTAGAAAATATCATTCGATTTTTCCTCGCCTTTAGAAATTATACTTTAAATCATTCTCAGATGTACATGTGATATTAAACTTCACAGTGATGTCTGTAAGAACCGAGAAATTAGAATTCTTTATCCTGCAGGATTTATGTTGTGAAGTGTTCAGGTAGTTTGTTAGTAATGATTTGTTTATATTTAGTATTTAATTATTATTTTGATTTAGAGTGCAAGGTTGCTTAACGTTTAGCCCCAGGAACGAGTTTCCTGATTTTGACTGTCATTTCTCGCTGTAGCGGGATTCTTTGAACTCGAATATCGTTTCTCGAAGTAGTCGTCTTACACACTTTTTTACTGAGTTTTTGTTGTTGTCTGGACTTGTCCCAATGTTTTGAAGCCCTTATGCGAATCTCTTGATTCAAGACCCTGTAAGGCTAGCGCTGTAAATGCGGTATTTACTCTCCAGTAGTTTGTCCTTGAATTGTATTGGCCGTTAATTAAGACTTGCTTATTGAAGTTTACGATGAATGGGTCTATCCACTGACCTTGCCTTGGATCTACATTGAAGTAATGGTTCTTGCTTTTCATCGCAAGCATTAAGAATGCTGGTTTTCATTCGTGAGATTCTCGTGGAAAGGTTTGGTTTGATTTTCTGATCCGAAATGTTTCTAAAATCATCTAAGATCAATCGGCCCGTGTGCCCATTCATGTCTACAAATAGTCTAAATAAAAGCATGTACCACAGAGTGGTTTTCAGGGCGGTTAACGAGAAGAAACGAGAAGAGAAGCGATAAGTGAGTGTAGGCCCTTATAGATTATGCTACTAAAATAAGCATATTTTGCAACCAGCATTACTCCATTTTTTTCCCGAGTTTTGCTTAAAATTATGCCTGTTTGTGAAAACTGTGCTACGTTTTCCTATAGGGTGCTTTTCAAAAAAGAAAACACAAAAAATCCAAATTTCATGTTAATTGTTGACAATCTTTATTTTGAGTTACATACTTACTCTAACCAAATACAATTAATTACTGCAGTTAATTCCAGACTTGAAGCGGTGACTTAACAAGTCAAAACGAACGATGGTAGCCGAGTATCAGCGTCAATCCGAGTACCTGTTAAAGCAGGTACCAGAACTGACGCAATCTATTCTTGCGGTGTGTTCGCAGTCCTCTAGACGCCGAGCGACGAACGATCGTTATTCAGGGCTTGACCCTTACTGACCAGATCGTCGGCCAGCTTTGTCAACAGTGGGTCTTTACCCTGATTGATGTTTCGGAAAACCCTCTCCACTCTTCAGGAATACATTTATCAATATACACATCCTGGTCTATTCTTTACGTATCGTAATCTATTTTATTACACTCAACTATGGCTGAGACACATGTTAGAAAAATAAAGAATTATCATTAGGGCTAAAGTATTTCGAAATTTTTTATCGTATCGCAATAAGAACACACATTTGAAAATAGTATGCAATTGTAGTTGGAGAAGATTACTGATCTTCGAATTAACTGCAGAGTTTGCAGCTCCGTGAAAAGTGCAGTCAAGTAACACCTAGCCATTACGCACAGGCTAATAATGATCAAGCTGGGAAAAGATACTAGAAACACCTATCTCTCGATGGTAAATTAGTTTAACTGTTAGTATGTCGTAACACTCATCCAATTTGTCTTAGGCAGTTAGGTTAGATAGCTTAGTTAGTTATCTCGGTCTTAGTTAGTAACCGGCCTATGACTAGTCAGGGCCATTTGCGGGTTAGTATTGTATAAAAGAGTGAAAATAAAATTGCAGGGATCGTGATAGAGGGGGGAGGGGAGAGGGGGAGGGCGTTGTCATAGTTTGTGGAACGGTTTTTTTGTAAAGAAGATTGCCACACAAAAGTGTTTTGTTGACGTTCATTACTTTACTATGTCATGCATTTGTATTCTTAAATTCTGTGTGAAGCAGAAAACCGTTGAGTTGTAGATTGGTGACGCAAATAAATGGCAATAAGACTCGGAGACGCACAACTTAAGGGTAACATCACGAGAATCAGTGTGATCGTAATTATTTGGTCACAATGCATTGATTCGACGCGTCATCGTCTAGCCAATGTGGAATAACTTTATTAGATGGCTTTTCTTGCATTGGCGAAGATGGGTTGAAGGGGAAAATATGCGTAATATATCCGAAAGGTGGCCGCATCTATGGGATATTCCATTAAAAAACCCCCAACAATTCACTCTTTCCTCCTATAATTTGCTTCCATTCTAAATCTCCCAACTCCTTTTTTCAACAAGGGCTACAACCTTTTAAGAATATACTAGTAGTTGATGTACATGTAATATGAATGGATGCTATGCTAGTAACACTGAAGACAGGTGGAAACTAATGCGACACGAGGTTTCTGTTATATCAAATTGGTAAAATCCCTTTTCAGTTAATAGTACGAGAACATTTCTTTACTTGAAAGTGACCATGACATCGCGTTTTATCATGTTGGTAGCGTAGGATATCAGGACCATAGATCAAAAGGGAACATCAACAGTTTTGTCAGTTTTGAGGCATAAGTTTTGGCTGGAAAAAGATCCACCATCATATGTATACAAGTTTTATCAATCCTCTAACCGTGACATTGATGAACAACTATCAACGCTGACAACGAGGATAAAATACCTTTTCGGCGATTAGTAACAACACAGGGCGGTAGAGTGGTTTAGATAACGTTCATTCTTCTTTAAGTTGAAGTGAAGAAAACGAGATTTAATCGTCATTTTTATAGAAGATACAGGCTCTTTCCTTCAGACTTTCCTAAGAAATGTTCTTTAATCTCGCATCATAATGGGTTCAAGTGTCTAACACAAATGAACAGTAACATCTACTTGATTAATTGCATTGAATGAAAGAGTTATTTTCACAAATTAGATTTATACTTATTGAAATCCATATTTGAGTAAAAGCAGGCCCCAAGATTATCAGTCTTGTCAACAGAGAAGAAATTACGCATTGCCGAATAAAAAGCTATCAATGTCAATCTTACTAATAAGCTTTTGCGAAGTTAGCATTCTTGCCCTATGCCCTCGCTGGCCCTATCTGCACAGTTTCATCACATGCTTTGGCTCAATTCCTCTTGGGGAGGTGACAGTCCAAATGGTAGTTAAAATTTCATTAGCATACCCCTGGGGGATGCATGGATCTTTATGACTTCAAATAGACTGACACCTACTGGGATCGATCACGGTAATCTCGGGACTCCGAACATAGCTTTGAGACAACAGGACAAGTAGAGTGATCCATACTTGCAGCCGCTGAGCTAAGAGTGACACGTAAGTACTGCCGTGTGGAGATCATTGTTGACAACTCACAATTCAATCATAGGCTCACAAATAGTGGACTTGCTTTAATCATCATAGAATAAGTTAAACCAGTAGCGGATCTGGGGGAGGGGCCCGTCCGCCCCCCCCCCCCCCCCCATTTCCCCTTCCCCCTATTTTGGGTGAAAATAAAATCGCAGAAGGATGAAACGCCGGCAGGGAAAGTGACAAAACACCGCCCCCCTTTCCCCCCCCCCCCCCCTTGACTCAAGGTCTAGATCCGCCCCTGTAAAAGGTTCTGTTTCTGCTAATTGTGATAGGTCATCCCGTTCGGTGACATTGATTTTTTTTAGAGAATATCACGTTTAGACGAGGACTAGCTATCAGCGAGCCCGGCTAGTGGTAAAAATGAAGACTAAGAACGAATGCAAAGATTATTGTTAATGCTATTGTTTAAGTTCTGTCGTCTACGTTGTTGGTGTTGCTACTAAGGATAATGGTGATGTTGTTTTCGTTGCTTTTACTGTTGTAGTCGAGGGTTACGATATTGGCATTGTAATTGTTATTGTGAAGGTTTTCGTCTTTATTGGTTTAGTTCTTCGTCTATCACATTTATTTGTTTTTGATAGTTTTGTTTGAGAAGATGTAGTGGTAAACCTTTCATATGGTGTTGACTGTTTTGTTTTTCTTGTAACTTTTTTCCAACATCAGACTGTTAATCTTTTACGCGCTGTAGTTCCAATTCTTTTACGCGAATGAGGATTAATTGGAAACTGTGCGTTTGTTGGAGTTTTTTCTTGCTCATTTTTTGAATGTTTTATTCCTTCTCGGGCTCTCTTTGTATTTTGGATGTGATGTGCTTTTTTTTTTCCAGCTCCATCTGCATTTCTCTTATGTATCGCTCTTTTGAGTGTATAAGGCCTTGGTTTTTTTCGTGTTGGTATTTAAGTTGTTGCTCTTCGATTTTTCGTTTCTGTAGTTCTATTTGTGTCTGAAGTAATGGTCCCAATTGTAAACCATTTTTCCCAGTACTAGATAGAGACCAGTCTATGGTACCGCGACCATTAATTTCCAAAAACTGATTGGCGATGTTAAAGTAGTTGCCACCGAAAAACGTGTTCCCTTCCCCAGTTGTACCCCTCATGTTTGAGGGGTGTCTTCCCTTGACGATAAGGTGCTCTGTAGAATTTATGAACTTGCTAAAATTTTTCGCCCCCTTTCCCCAGAGAAACCAGGCAGATGGTGGTGCATTGTCCCCAATGTAAGAGATAAGCTTTTCGGTAAAAAGTCGCCACATGTCACGATGATGTTCTTTTTTCGTTCCCCTGCTGCTTATCCTTATTTTTGTGTGGAACTGTGAATGCTGTGTTTAACAAAAGAACACCTTTCTTTAACCAGTCCTCCACGGTAGCATTATCTAAATCCACAGCAAAACCCTCAAAGGCCACTTCTAGTAGCATGTTCAAAACTGCTGGAACAGTTCGAGGATTGTCAACTAGGAATGCCACGCCTTTGGCTTTTCCTTCTTGAGGAGTTGGATCCTGATCGAGAATAACTTCCATGATATCTTCCATTTTTACCTTCTTTGAGGCGTTGAAAATGAGAGGCATTTTTGGTTCAATAGCATCTTGGTGATTGTTGATAAGTTTTTCACCTGCGGCTTTCAAGTTGTTATTTAATGTGATACACATGTCTCTGCTTTGTAGTGATAATTTAAAAAAAAGTTATGCCATGTTTGGCATTCCCCGTTGTTTGAAACGCATTTCTGGAAAAAATTCGTACAGGTACGTTTGATCATACTTTGCTTGTTCGCAGGTGAATTGTGTCGTATAAAGCCCTACAAAAAATAATGCTTTATTAATTGAACGTTGCCATCATAAAAGGTTCGGCGTACTGGGTCACGCTTCACATGAAAAAAAACCTTAAATACATCAACTGGGGCCTTTTTCCTAAAATGCATTTTTTTTTTAAAGAAAGCGTTGTCCATATCGTTGACCAAATTCGCAGGTAAATTGTGTCATGGAAAACCCCACAAAGAAGAATGGGTTATTAATTGTACGCTGCCATCATAAAAGGTTGGGTATACTGGGTCACTTTTCACAAAAAAAAACATCTTAAATACATCAACTGGGGTCTTTTTCCTAAAATCTATCTTATTTTGTATGAAAGCGTTGTCCATATTGCTTCGTACAACACTACCGTTGAAATCTTGCCATGAGAACAAGTTTTTGGCCACTAACTACAAAAAAAGAAATGCAATTCCAACGGTTAGACCTTAAATTCTGCTTATGCAGAAAGGATTATTCACTTGCAAATTGATCACTAAGTGCGTGAGACTCCAGTACAACTCATAGTCGCCTAGTAACAGACATAGCAATATCACACATAAAGTCTGATGGTAATGGAAATTGGTCATAGTAATTGTTATACATAATTATACACATTATATATATACACACTATATAGATACACATTATTGTACAATTGTATATATATATATGTACATTAAACATACCACATTCAATGCTCCAAGCCAAAAGAAACGAAAAAAAGAAATATTTCGCAGCCATGGATGCTAAATTGTTTCCTTTTCAAAATAAAATAAAAGTAGTGAAATAAATAATAAAAAATAGAAGAATAATGTGTGAATTCTTATTTTATATCTTGATAATGAGCAAAGTACATTGTAAGCGGGTAATAAATTTGGTTTTCAGTGTAGGTAATACAATATTCGCAAATGCTCCTGGGAAAAATCACTGGTTACAAGCCGAAAAGAAACTGAAACAACACTTAGAGATTCGATTTGGACGGCAAATGACAACAGAGAGAAAAAAATTCATAGTGGCCGTTTCATGCTCTTTGTAAAACATCAGAACTTCACCCAAGATGTAACTAAGTAAATATTAACCTAACAAATTGAATAAATATCTTTGCAGTTAAATATTAAGAAAATAAATCTTCATAGTCTAGCTTCTGTTGTTGATGTGGGGAAAATGATTAAGTGGTAGTAAGGAGTTAAAAAAATCTAAATTAATCTGCATTTGTATAGTAAATTGCATTTAGTATCGATATAACAATTGAGTTCAACAAATATTCAGTTGCTTAACTAAATAGTCTCTAATCACTTTGAAATTGACGATAAGTAGTTAACATTTCCACCGGATTATTTTCAATAGAGTTGGGGAATTTTCTTGATGAACACCGAACTTGATGCCTGGGGTGACTAATACTGTATTCTCGCGGCAGTTTTCTGCCCAACTGGACCGTACTTTCTTAATTTCTTGTATTTGCCGCTTAAGCGGAGAGACGAACTATGCGAATACCAGAAAGTTGGGGCGTCTGGATAAATTTAGGTAAAACAAGATGAATTCAAAACGTTACAGCATCGATATGAGGGACAGAGTTTATAGTAAAATTTATTTATAATAGCAAGTTCCATAACCAGCAACAAGAATATTAACGATAAATGAAGACCGTTTTTAAAAAAATCATTGAATGTTTAGCACATAGGGTTTGCTAAGAGAATAATAAACAGAAAAAATTATTATGACAAAATTTACTTTGAATATAGTACTTCCCTAGCATGTTTATATCCACTGACTTTGTAGACTACGTTATATACCTTCTTTCTTAAATTTCCCTTCAGAAATAAGTAGCAGTAATATACATCAAAAGCATTTTAACTTTGTAATAAGCAATAGCTCATAACAACAAGGAATCTTATATTCGAACTCAGCGCATTTCTAACTGGCCTAACTGGATCGGAGAGGAAGGAAAAATTATGCAAACTGCATTTTTTCTACACTAGGTTTTCGAAAGGCTTGATAAGAAATCGAAAGTTACCGAAATTCCTGAGGATTGCAGCAGGATAAGTAAAGGAATACTAAGGACAAAGAAATAGCGACGTCCTTCCCTACTACAATCTAAAGCTTCAATTTGTGGATGTTCAATCGTCAGTATTATGTTGTTTAGATGATCTCATTTAAAATGGAAGACGCATTGACTAACTCAGCTCATTTAAAGTTCGGCAATTAATCTGGGCTTCACTTTCAAATGATTTGATGGGATTTAACTTCATAGTTTTTGTTCTTCAGTGAACCTATGGAGTCTTTTTTAGAGGGGTTTCACATAGGCTATGATAAGATTAACGTTTAAAAAAGTAAGAAAGTTTTCTTGTATTTTCTTTCCATTAAATTCTATAAAGAAGTGGGGAGAAACACTCGACGTCTCGTACTCTAGCCGCTTACTGCGTGCTTTACAACAGAACAGAGCATACTCAAAGCTTCTCTATTTGTAAAGTACGTAGTGATTGAAGGACAATACCGCGTTCTCGGAATGCGCGCGCGCTTTTTCGCCTGATCACGCGATTTCTGTGTGCAGTATGGGATGTGCAGTGCAATACTGAGGAATCACCTAAAGTCATGATTTAAAATAAAATTTGCAATAACATGAACGTAAAAATAAACGAACATGTTTTTCTTTGAGTACAATGGAAGCACCCATAAAAGAAGAAAAGAAAAAGAAAATTCTTAGGCAAAAGTATGGCCATATGGCCAGTCGAAGACAAAAATTTCTTACTTGTGGATGCATTAAGTTCCGTTCCAAAATTTTAGGTATGTAATGGACTCTTGCTTGTACCCGCTGATGACGCAAGTAAGTTAATATCCGTGAATGAAAGATGAACGGAAAATGCATCAGAAATGTGGTAAAATTGAGTTCAGTACTCGAACCAAGATGGAAATTATTCGTCTTGTCGCGAGTGTTGGATGAAAGGAAAAACATCTTTGTCCCTGAACAAAAATTGGACTTTACACCCTCGAATTCACTTTCCAATGCTTTACAGACTCTACCATTAGTTAACTGACTAACCCTTTCTACATCACTACTGACTTAAGTTTCGTAGCCCAATAAGACTTCGCATTTTACACAAAGAACAAGTTTTGAACGAAAACTCGTTAGGATCTTATTTAAGCAGCCTCAAGAGATTATAAATTAAATTTAAATCCAAGGGTTGCTGCTTTTAAGGCAAAGAGATGCTGTTGTATATAAACATTGAGATTAACCAAAGGAACTTCGTAGCATCCATGAAAGACTAATCCAATTTTTTAAAATCAGTTCTTGTGTGCCATTCTGATTCCATCAGGTTGTGAAAGTCGTATTGGTTTTAGGATATATTAAAAAGGCGAGTGCCTGGGTTAGTGATGGCCTCTTCTTCATAAAAATAGATGAAAAGTCCCGATTATACCATAATTCATTAGGACATGAGTACTTAGAAGCGGCGATGGCACTCATGCACCACCTACATCGGGTATCACCCCTCACTAATGTTTCACAGCAGCTAAGAGCAAGGTTATGTATCTGTTAAATACTTAGCGTTTAAAGGATCATGAAAGTAAGGTGGAGAACAGCGCGAGATTGGTCTTGAAGTGTAACAAATATAGCATTCAAACACCTGCCATTTCTCGCAACAGAAAGATCAATTTCTGGACACAAAGTTCAAAGTTATTTTCCTTTCCATGGTTAAAAGACCTGCTCAGTGGAGGATGATCAAAGAGCTTGAGAACAGTTCTTATGCTCATGCAATGGTGAAGAAAGTCGAGGAAAACCAATCAAGTCACAGAAGCACATACAGTTAGGTAGAAATTTGTTTACAGCGAGATAGATTCTGAGTGAAATAGTTCCCCTAAAATCTCCACGGGAACTTCATAAATAGGTTTTTTTTATCATACGCGAGGAGAAGGCCGTAGGATAAACATGTTTGAGGAGAAGAAACATCATTCGATTATAAACTGTATATAATCACTTGACGGCCTTAAGTCAAGTCTGCTACACCTGAAATAACAAAGTTTTGATCAGCTTATGGAATTATTGTGAAATCCATTAAAAACCATTAGTAATTTGATACTTGAAACCAAGGGTTGCTGCTTTTAAAGCAAAGAGATGCTATTGTTTGTAAAAATTGAAATGAACAAAAGGAACTTCGTAGCATCCATGTCGGACTAATCCAGGTTTTAAAATTAGTTCTTGTGCTCCATTCTAATTCTATCAGGTTGTCAACGTCAAATTAGTTGTAGTAAAAGTCCCGATTGTAAAATAATTCTTCAGGACATGAGCACTTAGAAGCGACAATGGCACGCATGCACCACCTAAATTGGGTATCATCTCTTCCTAAAGTTTTACAATGGGTAAGAGCAAGGTTTTGCACTGTTAAATACTTAGCGCTTTACGGATCATTAAAGTAAGAGTGGAGAACACCACGAGATTGGTCTTGAAGTGCATGTAACAAATATAGCAATAAAACACCCGCTATTTCTCGCAACAGAAAGAACAGTTTCTGGACACAAAGTTCATGTTATTTTCCTTTCCATGGTTAAAGGACCTGACCAGTGGAGGATGATCAAAGAGCTTGAGAATAGTTCTCATCCTATGGTGTTAAAAATCGAGGACAAGAAATTAAGTCACAAAAGCACATACAGTTAGGTTAGAATTTGTAAGTAAGGCTGTACATTAATTTTTTACCCACAAGTAGTTTGTCCTTGTATTGGTCGTTAATTAAGACTTGCTTATCGAAGTTTACAATTAATGGGTCTATCCACTGACCTTTCCTTGGATCTACATTGTAGTGTTGGTTCTTGAATTTCAGCGCAAGCATTAAGAGCGTTGATTTTCGTTCGCTAGACTCTCGTGGAAAGGTTTGGATTGGTTTTCTGATACGAAATCATCCAAGATTAGTTGGCCTGTGTGCTCATAAAAGCTTATACCACAGAGTTGGTTTTCAGGGCGGTTAATGAGAAGAGATGAGACAAGTGAATGCAGGCCCTTATAGATTATGCTGTTAAAATAAGCCGCATATTTTGCAACCAGCATTACTGGATTTTTTCCTCGGGCTTTGCTAAAAATTATGCTCGCTTGTGAAAATTATGCTACGTTTTCTACATTATGTTTTTCAAAAAAGGGAACACAAAAAAATTCAAATTTCATATTAATTGTTAACAAAGCGCGATATATTCTTTTTTTTGAGTTACATACTTACTCTAACCAAACACAGTTAATTACTGCAGTTAATTCCAGACTTAAAGCGGTGACTTAATGTGTCAAAATGAACGATGGTAGCATCACGTTTTTCTTCGACGCCATTTTGTTGCCTGCAAAAGTAGGTACTCGGACAGACACAATATTTTCTTGCAGTGTGTTCGCAGTCCTCTAGACGTCAAACGACGAACGTTAGTTTTCAGGAATTGATCCTTGCTGACCAGCTCGTCGGCTTTTTTAACAGTGGGTCTTTACCCTGATTCATGTTTCGGAAAAACCCCTCCACTGTTCTGGAATACATTTGTGAATATACGCATCTTGGTCTATTCTTTGAGTATCGTACTCCACTTTATCACACTCAACTATGGCTGAGACACATCCTAGAAAAATAAAGAATTATCATTATGGTTAAAGTATTTTGAAATGCACCATCGTATCGCAATAAGAACACACATTTGCAAATAGTATGCAATTATAGTTGGAGAAGATAACTGATCTTCGAATTAACTGCAGAGTTTGGAGCTCCGTGAAAAGTGCAGTCAAGTAACACCTAGCCATTACGCACTGGCTAATAATGACCAACCTTGACAAAGATACTAGAGACACCTATCTCTCGATGGTAAAGTTAGTTTAACTGTTAGTATGTCGTAGCACTCATCCAATTTATCTTAGGCAGTTAGCTTAGAAAGTTTAGTTAGTTATCTCGGTCTTAGTAACCGGCTTAAGACTAGTTATGGCCATTTGTGGGTCAGCAACGTATTATTGATAATATGAAAGTGCAAATGAAAGAATGAAAAATTTTAAGAGAGAACACATTCTGGTGAGCCCCAAGGTCTCCTAAAATTGCAATGCTCTCAATAGAGGGTGGGGGAGAGGGGTGGTTACCATAGTTTATCGAACAGTTTTTTCTTTTATAATTATATTTTTTTCTTATTAAAAATGTCATCCTGCGTAAAGCCGAAATGCGTTGAGTTGTACATTGGTTACACAAATAAATGGGCAATAAGACTCGGTGTCGTGCAGTTTAGGGGTAACAACAGGGAAAATCGATGTGGTCCTTACTATTTGGTCACAACGCATTGATTCCACGCGTCGTTGTCTAAACAATGTGGAATAACTTTACTAGAGATTGTTTTCCTTACATTGGCGAGGAAAGGTTGAAGGGGAAAATATGCGTAAAATATCCTGCAGATGGCTGCATCTATGGGATGGATTTTTCTTTAAAAAACCCCGAACAATTCACTCTTTTCCCTTATCGTTTGCTTCCACTATAAATCTCCCACCTCCCTTTTTGACCAAGGGTTACAGCTTTTTAAGAATATACTAGTAGTGAATATACATGTAATATGAAGGATGCTATGCTAGTAGCACTGAAGACAGGAGGAAACTAATGCGACGCGAGGTTTCTGTTTTATCAAATTGATAAAATCCCTTTTCAATTTATGATACGAGAACAATTCTTTACTTGAAAGTGACTATGATATCGTGTTTTATCATGCCTGTAATTAAGTTGGTATTGTAGAATATCAGGACGGTATATCAAAAGAGAACATCAACAGTTTGGTCAGTTTTGAGGCTGAAATTTTGGCTGGAAAAAGATCTACTTTGCCACCATCAAATGTATATAGTTTTATCAATCCTCTAACTGTGACATAGGGTCTGACATTGATGAACAATTATCAACGTTGACTACGAGGATAAAATGCCTTTTCTGCGATTAGTTACAACACAGGGCGGTAGCGCGGTTTTGATAACGTTCATTCTTTTTCAACTTAAAGCGAAGAAAACGAGAATTAGTCGTCTTTTTTTTAGAAGATACAAGCTATTTCCTTCAGACGTTCTCAAGTAACGTTCTTTAATCGCATCATAATGGTTCAAATGTTTAACACAAGATAAACAGTAACATCGGCTTGATTAAATGCATCGATTAAAAGAGTAATTTTTACAAATTAGACTTACGCTTATTGAAATCCATATTTGATTAAAAGCTGTCCCCCAAGATTACCAGTTACACAGAAAAAACTACGCATTACCAAAGAAAAAGCTATCAACATCAATCTAACTAAGCTTTTGCGAAGTTCTCCTTGCCCTATTTGAACTGTTGCATCACATGTTTTGGCTCAGTTTCTCTTGGGGAAGTGACAGTCCGAATGATAGATGAAGTTTCATTAGCATACCCCTGGGGAATGCATGGGTCTGCATGGGGGATGCATGGGGTAGATAGGAACTACAGCAGAAGCCCTTAAAAGGACTCTTGAGGTCTATCTGAGTCCTCAATTGATTGAGACCCACCGGGATCGATCACGGTAATCTCGGGACTCCGAACATAGCTTTGAGACGACAGTTGTTGTTGGTGCTATTGTTTAAGTTCTCTCGTTTGCGATGTTGGTGTGGCTGGTAAGGATAATGGTGATGTTGTTTCTGTTGCTTTTGCTGTTATAGTCGCGGGTTATGATATTGGCATTGTAATTGTTATTGTTATGGTTTTCATCTTATTTGTTTTAGTTCTTCGTCTATCGCATTTATTTGTTTTTGATGGTTGTGTTTTAGAAGATGTCGTGGTAAACCTCTAAGATGGTGTTGATTTCTCCGATTTTGTATCAAGCTTTCTTCAATTTGACGCTCTTGGGATTCTAGAAGCTGTAATTCCTCATGAAATTTCTGAATCCTCCTCTCTTGAAAATTGTATTGGTTTTCGAGCGTCTGTTTCTCCTTCATAAAATTATTCCTTTCTCGCAAGTTCAGTAGCAATGCATTTGGACTGAGGGCGTTTACTATTCTTTGACGACGACGCAGTCTCTTTTGTTGCTGTTGCTTTATTTTTGTTATTTCTTGCTCAATCAAGTTTTTGTTGTGTTGGTTTTGTTGGTATTGGTTTCTTAGTTTTTGCTCTTTGTTTTCTCGTTGCTCTAGTTCTGTTCGTGTGTGAAGTACGAGTTGCAAATCTAAACCATTTCGCCCGGTAATAGATAGCGACCAGTCTATGGCACCGCGACGTTTAATTTCCAAAAACTGATTAGCGATGTTAAAGTAGTTGCCACCAAAAAACGTGTTCCCTTCCCCAGTTGTACTCCCCATAGGTGAGGGGTGTCTTCCCGTGACGATAAGGTGCTTATTAGAATTTATGACCTTGCCAAACTCTTTCGCCTTCTCTCCCCAGAGAAGCCAGGCAGATGGTGGTGCATTGTCCTTAATATAAGAGATAAGCGCGTTGGTAAAAGGTCGCCACATAGCAAGATGATCTTTTTCTTTCGCCTTCCCCTGATTTTTTCCCTTATTTTTTCCCTTATTTTTGTGTGGAACTGTGAATGCTGTGTTTAACAAAAGAACACCTTTCTTTAACCATTCCTCTACGTTAGCATGATCTAAATCCACAGAAAAACCCTCAAAGGCAACTTCTAGCAGCATGTTCAAAACTGCTGGAACAGTTCGAGGATTGTCAACTAGGAATGCCACGCCTTTGGCTTTTCCTTCTTGAGGAGTTGGATCCTGACCGAGAATAACTACCTTGATATCTTCTACTTTCACCCACTTTAAGGCGTTGAAAATGAGAGACATTTTTGGTTCAATAGCATTTCGGTGATTGTTGATACGTTTTTGGCCTGCGGCGTTCAATTCTTTATTTAAAGTACCCCATATGTGTTCTTTTTTAATAGTTTCCAAAAAAAAGTTATGCCATGTTTTGTATTCCTCCTTGGCTAAAACGCATTTCTTGACAAATTCGTGCAGGTAGTTCTGACTATACTTTGCTTGTTCGCAGTTGAATTGCATGATCCCTACAGAGAAGAATGGTTTATTAATTGTACGCTGCCATCATAAAAAGTTGGGTGAACTGGGTCACGTTTCACAAAAAAAAAACCAACTTCAATACATCAACTGGGGTCTTTTTCCTAAAATCTATCTTATTTTGTCTGAAAACCTTGTCCATATTGCTTTGTACAAGACTACTGTTGAAATCTTGCCATGAGAACAAGTTCTTGGCCACCAACTACAAAAAAATGCAATTCCAACGGTTAGACCTAAAATTTTCCTCAGGTAGAAAGGATTAGTCGCTTGATCACTAATTGCGTGAGACTCTAGTACAACTCATCGTCGCCTAGTAACAGACATAGCAATGAGTATCGCACATAAAGTCTGATGGTAATGGAAATTGGTCATAGTAATTGTTATACATACCACAGTCAATGCTCCAAGCCAGAAGAAACGAAAAAAAGAAATATTTCGTAGCCATGGATGCTAAGTTGTGTCCTTTTGAAAATAAAAGAAAAGTAGTGAAATGAATAATAAAAAATAATAGCATAATTAATGAATCATTATTTTAAATCTTTTTAATGAGCAAAGTACATTGTAAGCGGGTAATAAATTTGGTTTTCAATGCAAGTAATACAATATTCGCAAATGCTCCTGGGAAAAATCACTGGTTACGTCGAAAAGAAACTGAAACAACACTTAGAGATTCGATTTGGAAGGTAAATGACAACAGAGAGAAAAAAAATTCACAGTGGCCGTTTCATGCTCTTTGTAAATCATTAGCACTTCACCCAAGATGTAACTTAGTAAATATTAACGTTACAAATTAAACAAATATCTTTGCAGCGAAATATTAAGAGAGGATGTCAGCATCCATCGCACAAATTTGAAATATTGTGGCAAGTCGCCCAAAATTCGATTTCACTCCTACTTTCATATTTTGTAGCCCAATATGTCCTGATAATTGTGGTGTAGTTTTTTTTGTGAAAATATATTTTAGTTTTCAAGAAATGATTTTTTTCGTTCGACCGCTCAAATATGCAAATTTTCACATTGAATGTTAACCGAGTTGTGTGACCTCGTGTAACGAATGTACTTGGCCACCGGTATTTCTGTTAACATAACCCATCGTTTTATCATCTGAACTTGATCCCCTGTCATTATTGAAGCTGGCAAAGTCATATTTATTTTTTGGTGAATATTTTTGTCCGACATACTTTTCCTATGTCGAATAGTAGCATCAAAACAAAGACAGTTTTAACAATGACCGATATGACAGAATCTACTGAGCCTCCAGCCTTTAAAAGACAAAAGGATGGTTCAAAACGTACTGTAAAAATTTCCTTGTGTAATTGTGTTGTTCTATCTTGAGACGAACTCAAAGTCCGGCAAAATGTACTTGCTAACGACTATGAAATATACATGGTGTGCCTACTTGTCGCCACTGTTTACTGGCATAAATCACTACAGTTTGTAAAAAAATCTAACATAACACTCTTACCTTGTTTATTTATGATTTTATTAGCTGTTTCGATTATTATCTAACGCCCAGTTATTACTTTTTGACGGGAACCCAGGTTTTGCGTTGTGTTTTCCTTTCCTCATTTACATCATAAACTAGTCACGTAATAATTTATATTGACACAAATGAATATTTACCCTGTATAGAGATTTTTGTTTAGGTTGAATTGAAAATGTTCGAATATATGCCTTTTGTGGTCACTGATCGTTGTTTCAGTGGCAGCGAAGCAGTTAAAAGCGGGTTGTTGCTTTAATGGTATTGAAATTTATAGTATTTAGACAGGAGAGTAAAGCGTGATGCTATGGGAAACTTTTAGGGGCCTTTTACATGATATCTGAATGAGTTTTGTTCAAGAACGAGTTCATACAGGTTGCCACATGATACCAGAGTAAAGTTTATTCGAAACTAGTTATTTTTGAATGAGTTTATTGGGGTTTTCATTCCAGAACGAAACACTCATTCTTGTACCTGTATAATATAAACGCGGTACGACTATTTTATCTGTATGAATCCTCTTTAGGAGCGAGGGAAGCATAGAAAAAGACAGAAAAAGGACATAAATAATTGTTTTTACAGGCTAAATTATCTTGCATGTAAACGCGGTATGAAATTCATTTCGTTCCGGAACGAAACTCGTTTTGGAATTATGTAGGAGGTATCTTAGCGACGGAACATTAGATTTTTCAGGTGGAGGGCGAAATCACCTTTTTTTTTATTGGGGGGCAAATCTTTGTTTTTAGGTGCCGACCGGGGTGAAAAGGCGATCGGAAATGGGTAAGGATGCTTGTCGTACCTTTTACGGATCAAAAAAACAGAGACCTAGCTGATACGTTTTAGGGTGTTTTCTAGAGCACATTGATCGAGGAATTTTTATTTTTGAGGTTTTTCAATTGTTTGGTTTTGAATTGTTACTTTTTAGAGGTAGACATCAATTGTTGCCACTCCCATACAGATAAGCGGTACCTTTTATAATTTTGTAGACATCCTCGCCCTCTCATGTAAATGTGTCCTCCGGGGGTGATGATACGTGCAGCACACTTGAAATTTAACAAGGACAAATTTTGATGTGATTTTGGGTGAAGAGAAACAAGTTTTGTCAGCCTCTAGTAGCTTGTGCGGAAGGGCCCTTTACCACCGTGTGCATAATTACGCGTCCCGCCAAACGGCAGGAAGCCAATAAAGTGTTCAAACATTAATATAGAAAACTCCGCCTCTGTCTGGATTTTTGGTAGCCTATTGACCAATTCCCAATCGATACTTAGGTCTGACGGGACGCGTAATTTTTTCTCACGGTGGTAAGTAGCCTACTTACAGGAGCCAGGCTGTATGAATTTTCCAGACATCCTGAGTACTACCTGTGATACACGTTTGCCAATCCCCTATCGGCTTTTGGAATCGACTTAACCTTACCATTGCAATGGCTGGACACCTCTTTAGGCACTCTACATCTACTATTGGAACCACAACTCTACCTAACATCTATGTGTGGGGCAAATTGTAAAATAATCGATATTTGTTGGCGTCTCGAAGATGCCGGCAAGCGACAAAATAAGATCAACTTCATTTTCTGAATCTGAAAACTTGCAACTCCGCAAGTGATTTGAAATGTCTTTTTTACAACTATGCAAGGGAACGACTTGAGATATGCAACTTCGGTCTTCTCGATAACTAAACCCTCAAGTTCCATCAGGAAACGATTTACATGAACAACAAATTTCCATGTTAGCATGTAAGATGAGACGCTTACACAACAGATAATTACCTAAATCAGTAAGTGGCTTGTCAATCAAATTGACTCTTTTAACCATTCTTTGACTTCGGCCGGCAAAGGAATCTTTATGGATCTTTAGTTTTCTGCATGCGGTAGTTCCTGAAAGGTTTTTCTGGATATCATGCGAAGCGGAAAAAACCCCATCTCTTGGTATTTCGAAGATTGATACATCTTTGAATTTATGTGTCACGCTTGTCATGCAACTGATATAAAAAGATAGAGAAACTGGAACTCAAGGTAAGAGTGTTATGTTGGATTTTTTTACAAATTGTAGTGATTTATGCTGGTAAACGGTGCCGACAAGTAGGCACACCATGTATATTTCATAGTCGCTAACAAATAAATTTTGCCGGCCTTTGAGTTCGTCTCAAGATAGAACAACACAATTACACAAGGAAATTTTTACAGTAAGTTTTGAACCATCCTTTTGTCTTTTAAAAGCTTGAAGCTTAATAGATTCTGTCATATCGGTCATTGTTAAAACTGTGTTTGTTTTGATGCTACTATTCGACATAGGAAAAGTATGTGGGACAAAAATATTCACCAAAAAATAAATATGACTTTGCCAGCTTCAATAATGACAGGGGATCAAGTTTAGATGATAAAACGATGGATTATGTTGACAGAAATACCGGAGGTCAAGTACATTCGTGACTTGCTACTGTTTGTCTCATGCATGCTGGCATTAGCCGTCTTAAGTAAATAAATCTTCATAGTCTCGCTGCTGTTGTTGATGTGGGGAAAATGATTAAGTGTTAGTAAGGAGTTAAAAAAATCTAGGTTTAATCTGCTTTTTAATAGTAAATTGTATTTAATATTGATATAACAGCTGAGTTCAACAATTATTTAGTTGCTTAACTAAATTGTCTTTAATCACTTTGAAATTGACGATACGTAAGTAGTTAACATTTTCACCGGATTATTTTCAATAGAGTTAGGGAATCTCAACATTCACTTTCTTCATTCTTTTTTTTTCCTAATGAACATCGAACATGATGCCTGGGGTGACCAATACTGTACTCTCGCGGCAGTTTTCTGCCCACTTGGCCTGTACTTTATTAATTTCTTGTATTTGCCGCTTAAGCGGAGAGACGAACTATAAGGATACCAGAAAGTTGGGGCGTCTGGATAAATTTAGGTAGAACAAGATGAAATGAAAACGTTACAGCATCGATATGAGGGATAGAGTTTATAGTAAAATTTCTTTACGATAGCGAGCTTCATAACCAGCGACAAGAACATCAACGACAAATGAAGAACGTTTTCAAAAAAATCATTGAATGTTTAGCTAAGAGAAAAATGAACAAAAAAAATTCTTATGGCAAACATGCTCATATCCACTGACTTTGTAGACTACGTTATATACTTTCATTCTTAAATGTTCCTTCAGAAATAAGTAGCAGTAATATACATGAAAAGCATTTTAACTTTGTAATAAGCAATAGCTCATAACAACAAGAAATCTTATATTCGAACTCAGTGCATTTCTAACTGGTCTAACTGGATAGGAAAGGAAGGAAAAATTATGCAAACTGCATTTTTCTACACTAGGTTTCCCAAAGGCTTGATAAGAAATAGAAAGTTACCGAAACTCCTGAGGATTGCCGAAGGATAAGTAAAGGAATACTAAGGACAAAGAAATAGCGACGTCCTTACCTACTACAATCTAAAGCTTCAATCTGTGGATGTTCAATCGTCAGTATTATGGTGATTAGATTATCTCATTTCAAATGGAATACACATTGACTAACTCGGATTCCTTGCTTGTGGACCTATTTAACTCCAGTACGACATTTGAGAAGACGTTTTCATGGCACTTCTAGTACCCGTCGAATTAAAATAGCTCCATTAAAATCGAATTATCAAGTTTATGAATTCCATGAATTTCACAAATATGGTAAAACTTCTATTGAATTGCCCAGGTTTTACCTATTTTCAAGAGATTGAGAATACACGATGCTTGATTTTTTCCCCCGGAAAAGGAGATTCGCCAATCTAGTTAACGTGACAGATGCCGATCGTTCTGCACAAGATTTTTCAGAGAGGAAAAGTTTCAAGAAGAAATTTGAAATGATCCTAGTTTCACTAGCCTAGAGGGGCCTTTCGTCGACTAATTGTAACATGCAATAAAATTTTTAGTGCGTTTATCCTGCAGATATAAGGCTGTTTATTAAAGCCGAGGTTAAAAATACATACACTTTGAGTTTATTATCTTTTGCCGTAATAATACAATTCGTTGAATTTATATCAGTACCCCTCTAATTCTGAAAATCAGTTCAGTTACACCACTATGGCTTCATCTGGCCGTCAACGATAAAAATCTCCTTTATCTATTCAATGTTTCCGAAACGTTTTTAAAAACGATAGCTAGTGGTAAGAGAGGATTTCTTCATCTCTCAAAACAAAACAGCTCATTTAAAGTTCGGCTTCACTTTCAAATGACTTGATGGAATTTAACTTCATAGTTTTTGTTCTTCAGTGGACCTATGAAGTCTTTTTTAGAGGGGTTTCATTTAGGCTATGATAAGATTAACGTTAAAAAAAGTAAGAAAGTTTTCTTGTATTTTCTTTCCATTAAATTCTATAAAGAAGTGGGGAGAAACACTCGACTACGTCTCGTGTTTCTCCTAACACTTATTTCGTACTCTAGCCGCTTACTGCTTGCTTTACAACAGAACAGAGCATAGTCAAGGTTTCTCTATTTGTAAAGTAGTGATTGAAGGACAATACTGCGTTCTCGGAATGCGCGCGCGCTTTTTCGCCTGATCACGCGATTTCTGTTCGCAGTATGGGATGTGCAGTGCAATATTGAGGAATCACCTAAAGTCATGATTTAAAATAAAATTTTCAATAACATGAACTTAAAAATAAACGAACATGTTTTTCTTCGAGTACAATGGAAGCACCCATAAAAGAAGAAAAGAAAAAGAAAATATTTAGGCAAAAGTATGGCCATATGGCCAGTCGAAACTTATACAACTTAAAGATCATGGTTTCCTTTTTGTGCTTTAATCTGTTTAGCGGGATTTTCAACAAAAAGTAATATCCTTTGCACTATTTTGAAATTGGTGAGCGAAGCGATCAAACGGTGAGCGCAGAAGATTAATTGAAGAACGAGGAAAAGTAGTGTGAGCTTCTTCTTTTCGCTCAAGATATATCGAAAAACAAGAAAGACGGAAAGAAAGAAAGAAACATGTCGAGGTTCATGGGAAACAGAACATTACCTGAGTTTCTGGAGCCCACAGCAACAAAAGTCTCTCTAAGACACAGCCTGGTAAATCTGAGCACTGAAATAACCAAATCTGTGTTTGCTTCAAGCTTTATCCTTCCTTAAGTAATGTTTAATTGTGGTAGCATGATCACATTCCCTTATTAAAAATGGAAGACAAAAATTTCTTACTTGTGGATGCATTAAGTTCCGTTTCAAAATTTTAGATGTCTAATGGAATCTTGCTTGTACCCGCTGATGACGCAAGTAAGTTAATATCCGTGAATGAAAGATGAACAGAAAATGCACCAGAAATGTGGTAAAATTGAGTCCAGTACTCGAACCGAGATGAAAATTATTCGTCTTGTCGGGAGTGTTGGATGAAAGGAAAAACATCTTTGTCCCTAAAGAAAATCAGACTTTATACCCTCGAATTCACGCTCCAATGCCGTACAGACTCACTGCTGACTTAAGTTTCGTAGCTCAATAAGACATCGCATTTTTGTAAAAAGGAACAAGTTTTGAACGAAAACTCGTCAGGATCTTATTTTAAGCGGCCTCAAGAGATCATAAACTGTATTTAATCTCATGAAGACCTTAAGTCAAGTCTGCTACGACGGAAATAAAAAAGTTTCGATCAGTTTATGGAATCACTGTCAAACCATGAAAAACCATTAGTAATCTGATACTTGAAACCAAGGGTTGCTGCTTTGAAAGCAAAGAGATGCTATTGTTTGTAAAAATTGAGATGAACAAAAGGAAATTCGTCACATCCATGTCAAGACTAATCCAATTTTTTAAATCAGTTCTTGTGCGCCATCCTAATTCCATCAGGTTATCAACGTCACATTGGTTTATATATTATAAAGGCAAGTGCCTGGGTCAGTGATGGCCTCTTCATAAAATAGATGAAAAGTCCCGATTTTATCATAATTCATCAAGACATGAGCACTTCGGAAGAGGCAATGGCATGCATGTGTCACCTACATCGAGTATCACCCCTTCCTAACGTTTTACATCAGCTAAGAGCAAGGTTATGTATCTGTTAAATACTAAGCTTTAAAAAAAAATCATGAAAGCAAATGAGGAGAACAGCGCGAGATTGGTTTTTAAGTTTAAGAAATAAAGCAATAAAACACACGCCATTTCTCGCGACAGAAAGATCAATTATTGGACACAAAGTTCAAAGTTATTTTCCTCTCCATGGTTAATAGACCTGATCAGTGGAGCATGATCAAAGAGTTTGAGAACATTCCTATCCTATAGTGTGAAAAGTCGAGGACAAGCAATTAAGTCACAGAAGCATATACAGTTAGGTAGAAGTTTGTTTACCGCGAGATAGATAGAGATAGATCCTGCATGAAATCGTCATTCAAAAATCTCGACGGGAAATTCATAGGAAGGTTTCCATCATACGCGAGGAGGAGACCACAGGATAAACATGTTTGAGGAGAAGAAAAATATCATTCAATTTTTCCTCGCTTTTTGAAAGTTTCCTTCCAATCATTCTCAGATGTACTCGTGATATTAAATTTCACAGTGATGTCTGGAGGAACTTAGAAATTAGAAGTCTTTATCTTACACGATTTATGTTATAATGTGTTCAGTTAGGTTGTTCCGATTTAATGATTTGTTTGTATTTATTATTTACTTATTATTTTGATTTACAATGCAAGGTTGATTGAGGTTTAACCTAAAAATGAGTTTGCTGTTTTTGACTGTCATTTCTCGAGTCCAGTACTCGAACCGAGATGGAAATTATTCGTCTTCTCCCGAATGTTGGATGAAAGGAAAAACATCTTTGTTGAGAAAAAAAACCGGACTTAATACCCTTGAATTCACGCTTCACTGAAGCAGAGACTCTACAATGAGCCAGCGGGGTAGCCCTTTCTATATCACCACTGACTTAAGTTTCATAGCCCAATAGAACTTCGCATTTTATAAAAAAACAATTTTTGAACGAAAACCCGTCAGGATCTTATTTTAAGCGGCCTCAAGAGATTATTAACTTTATATAATCTCTTGACGGCCTTGAGTCAAGTCTGCTACAGCTGAAATAACGAAGTTTCCGGCGATCAGCTTGTGGAATCATTGTCAAACCATTAAAAGCCATCAGTAATTTGATACTTGAAACCAACGGTTGCTGCTTTGAAAGCAATGAGATGCTATTTTTAGTAAAAATTGAGATTAACAAAAGGAACTTCGTAGCATCCATGTCAAGACCAATCCAACTTTTAGAATCGGTTCTTGTGCGCCATTCTGATTCCATCAGGTTATTAACGTCATATTGGTTTCAGAATATATTAAAAATGCGAGTATCAGGGTTAGTGATGGCCTCTTCTTCATAAAATAGATGAAAAGTCCCGATTGAATCATAATTCATTGGGACATGAGCACTTAGAAGCGACAATGGCACGCATGTACCACCTACATCGGGTATCAACTCTTCTTAATGTTTTACATCAGCTAAGAGCAAGGTTATGTATCAGTTTCATACTTAGCGCTTAAAGGGTCATGAAAGTAAATGTGGAGAACAGCGCGAGATTGGTTTTTAAGGGTAACAAATATAGCAATAAAACAACCGCCGCGCATTTCTCGCGACAGAAAGATCAATTACTGGACACAAAATTCAAAGTTATTTCCCTTCCATGGTTAAAAGACCTGATCAGTGGAGGATGATCAAAGAGATTGAGAACATTCTTATCCTATGGTGTTAAAAGTCGAGGACAAGCATTTAAGTCACAGAAACACATACAATTAGGCAGAAATTTGTTTACAACAAGATAGTTACTAATTAAAATCGTTTCCCTAAAATCTCGATAGGAAGGTTTTTATCATACATGAGGAGAAGACCACAGGATAAATATGTGCGAGGAGAAGAAAATATCATTCGAGTTTTCTTCGCCTTTTGAAATTTTCCTTTCAATCATTCTCAGATGTACATGTGATATTAAACTTCACAGTGATGTCTGGAGGAACCAAGAAATTAGAAGTCTTTATCTTACATGATTTATGTTGTGAAGTGTTTAGTTAGTTTGTTAGTAATGATTTGTTTATATTTAGTATTTACTTATTTTTTTGATTTACAGTGCAAGGTTGCTTGAGGTTTAGCCCCAGGAACAAGTTTTCTGATTTTGACTGTCCTTTCTCGCTGTCGCGGGATTCTTTGAACTCGAATATCGTTTCTCGGAGTAGTCGTGCGCACTTTTTTACTGAGTTTTTGTTGTTGTCTGGACTTGTCCCAATATTTTGAAGCCCTTATACGAATCTCTTGATTCAAGACCCTGTAAGGCTAGCGCTGTACATGCGGTTTTTACTCTCCAGTAGTTTTTCCTTGAATTGTATTGGCCGTTCATTAAGACTTGCTTATTGAAGTTTACAATGAATGGGTCTATCTACCGACCTTGCCTTGGATCTACATTGAGGTGTTGGTTCTTGCATTTCATCGCAAACATTAAGAACGTTGGTTTTCATTCGTGAGATTCTCGTGGAAAGGTTTGGGTTGATTTTCTGACCAGAAATGTTTCTAAAATCATCCAAGATCAATCGGCCCGTGTGCCGATTCATGTCTGCCAGTAGTCTGAATAAAAGCGTGTACCATAGAGTTGGTTTTCAGAGCGGTTAACGAGAAGAAACGAGAAGAGAAGCGATAAGTGAATGCAGGCCCTTATAGATTATGCTAGTAAAATAAGCATATTTTGTAACCAGCATTACTCCATTTTTTCCCGAGTTTTGCTCAAAATTATGCCTGTTTGTGAATTCAAAACTGTGCTACGTTTTCCTACAGTGTGCTTTTCAAAAAAGAAAACACACAAAAAAAAACCAAATTTCATATTAATTGTCAGCAAAGCGCGAGATATTCTTTATTTTGAGTTACGTACTTGCTCTAACCAAACACAGTTAATTACTGCAGTTAATTCCAGACTTGAAGCGGTGACTTAACGTGTCAAAACGAACGATGGTAGCGGAGTACCGGCGTCAGTCCGGGTACCTGCTAAAGCAGGTACCCGGACTGACGCAATCTATTCTTGCGGTGCGTTCGCAGTCCTTTAGACGTCGAACGACGAACGATCGTTATTCAGGGCTTGACCCTTACTGACCAGATCGTCGGCTAGCTTTTTTAACAGTGGCTCGTGACCCTGATGCATATTTCGGAAAAACCCTCTCCACTGTTCTGGAATACATTTGTCAATATCCGCATCCTGGTCTATTCTTTGAGTATCGTACTCTACTTTATCACATTCAACCATGGCTGAGACACATGCTCTAAAGAAAATGAAGAATTATCATTATGGTAACAGTATTTCGAAATGCACCATCGTAGCGCAATACTGAACGCACATTTACAATTAGCATGCAATTGTAGTTGGAGAAGATAACTGATCTTCGAATTAACTGCAGAGTTTGCAGCTCCGTGAAAAGTGCAGTCAAGTAACACCTAGCCATTACACACAGGCTAATAATGACCAAGCTGGGCAAAGATACTAGAAACACCTGTCTCTCGATGGTAAAATTTGTTTAACTGTTAGTATGTCGTAATACTCATCCAATTTATCTCAGGCAGTTAGGTTAGAAAGTTTAGTTAGTTACCTAAGTCTTAGTAACTAAACGGCCAAAAACTAACTGTGGCCATTTGCAGGTCAGCAACGTACTATTGATAATCTGAGAGTGTAAATAAAAGAGTGAAGAATTTTAAGAGTTAACACATTCTGGCGAGCCCCAAGGTCTCCTAAAATAGTAGTGCTCTCAATAGAGGGGGCAGAGGGGGAGGGAGGTTACCATAGTTTATCGAACAGTTTTTTTTTTTTTTTTTAAAGAGGATTGCCACACAAAAGTAGTTTTGCGTACGTTCATTACTTTACTATGCCTTCTTGCATTTGTGTTCTTATTAAAAATGTCATCCTGCGTGAAGTACAAATGCGTTGAGTTGTACATTAGTGACCCAAATAAATGGGCAATAAGACTTGGTGTCGTACAATTTAGGGGTAACAACAGGGAAAATCGATGTGATCCTTACTATTTGGTCACAACGCATTGATTCGACGCGTCGTTGTCTAAACAATATGGAATAACTTTACTAGATAGCTTTCCTTACATTGGCGAAGGAAGGTTGAAGGAGAAAATATGCGTAAAATATCCGGCAGGTGGCGGCATCTATGGGATTTTTCTTTGGATAACCCCCTAACAATTCATTCTTTTCTCCTACAGTTTGCTTCCATTCTAAGTCTCCCTCCTCTCTTTTTCACCAAGGGCTACCGCCTTTTAATAATATACTAATAGTGGATATACATGTAATATGAAGGATGCTATGCTAGTAGCACCGAAGACAGGTGGAAACTAATGCAACACGAGGTTTCTGTTTTATCAAATTGGTTAAATCCCTTTTCAATTTATAGCACGAAAACATTTCTTTATTTGAAAGTGACCATGATATCGTGTTTTATCATGTCTGTAATTAAGTTGGTATCGTAGGATATCAAGACCGTAAATCAAAAAGGAACATCAACAGTTTGGTCTGGCTGGACCAATCCTCTAACTGTGACATAGGGTCTGACGTTAATGAACAACTATCAACGTTGACTACGAGGATAAAATGCCTTTTCTGCGATTAGTAACAACACAGCGCGGTAGAGCGGTTTAGATAACTTTCATTCTTTTTCAGCTTAAAGCGAAGAAAACGAGAATTAGTCGTCATTTTAATAGAAGATACAAGTTATTTTCTTCAGACTTTCTCAAGTAATGTTCTTTAATCGCATCATAATGGGTTCAAATGTTTAGCGCAAGATAAACAGTAACATCTGCTTGATTAAATGCGTTGAGTAAAAGAGTAATTGTCGCAAATTAGATTTATACTTATTGAAATCCATATTTGTGTAAAAGCAGTCCCCCAAGATTACCAGTCTTGTCAACGAAAAAAAAGTTCAACATCAATCTAACTAAGCTTTTGCGAAGTTCTCATTAGCATCCTTGCCCTATCTGCACAGTTTCATCACATGCTTTGGCTCAGTTTCTCTTGGGGAGGTGACAGTCCAAATGATAGATGAAGTTTCATTAGCATACCCCTGGAGGATGCATGGGTCTTTATGACTTCAAATAGATTTGTGGGGTAGATAGGAACTACAGCAGAAGCCCTTAAAAGGACTCTTGAGGTCTATCTGAGTCCTCCACTGATTGATGCCCAACGGGATCGATCAAAGTAATCTTGGGACTCCGAACAAAGTTTTGAGAAGACAGGACAAGTGGAGTGATCCATACTGGCAATCGCTGAGCTTAGAGTGACACGTACGTACTGCCGTAGGGAGATCATCTTTGAAAAACTCACACTTCAATCATAGGCTCATAGTGGACTTGCTCCAATCATCATAGAATTAGTTAAACCAGTGGCAGATCTAGGGGAGGGGCCCGGGGGACGCCCCCCCCTATTTTGGGTGAAAATAAAGAATCGCAGAAGGAAGAAAAGCCGGCAGGGCAAGCGACAAAACACCACCTTGGCTCAGTTCTTTTTCTGCTAATGTGATAGATCATCTTGTTCGGTGATATTTATTTTTGAGGAAATAAAGCGTTTAGACTAGGACTGGCCATCAGCGAGCCTGGCTAATGGTAAAAATGGAGACTAAGAACGAATATGAACATTAACTTTGTTGGTGCTATTGTTTTAGTTCTGTCGTCTGCGATGTTGGTGTCGCTGGTAAGAATTATGGTGATGTTGTTTCTGTTGCTTTTAAATTTACTGTTGTAGTCGAGGGTTATGATATTGGCATTGTAATTGTTATTGTTAAGGTTTTCGTCTTAGTTGATTTAGTTCTTCGTCTATTCCATTTATTTGTTTTTGATAGTTTTGTTTTAGAAGATGTAGCGGTAAACCTCCAAGAAGGTGTTGATTTATTAGATTTTGTTCCATCTCTTCTTCAATTTTAGGCTGTTGGATTTTTAATTGCTGTAATTGCCCTTGGTAGCTATGAATATTTTTATTTAGAGAATCGTAGTTTTGTCGGAGCGTCTGTATTTCCTTTTCGAATTGACTCCTTTGTGGCTGACTCAGAGTTGGCGCGTTTTGATTGAGGGCGTTTTCTATGGTTTGATGACGATCCACTACCTTTTGTTGCTCTTGCTGTATTTCTGTTATTTTTTGCTCAATTAAGTTTATATGGTGTTGATTTTGTTGTTGTTGATTTCTAAGTTGTTGCTCTTCGTTTTCTCGTTGCTGTAGTTCTATTCGTGTCTGAGGACATAGTCGCAAATCTAAACCATTTCGCCCTGTACTAGATAGCGACCAGTCTATGGCACCGCGACGTTTAATTTCCAAAAACTGATTAGCGATGTTAAAGTAGTTGCCACCAAAGAACGTGTTCCCTTCCCCAGTTGTACCCCCCATAGTTGAGGGGTGTCTTCCCGTGACGATAAGGTGCTCATTAGAATTTATGAACTTGCCAAACTCTTTCGCCTTCTCTCCCCAGAGAAACCAGGCAGATGGTGGTGCATAGTCCTTAATGTAAGTGATAAGCACTTCGGTAAAAGGTCGCCACATAGCAAGATGATCTTTTTCTTTTCCCTTCCCCTGCTGCTTATCCTTATCCTTGTGTGGAACTGTGAATGCTGTGTTTAACAAAAGGACACCTTTCTTTAACCATTCCTCCACGTTAGCACGATCTAAATCCACAGCGAAACCCTCAAAGGCCACTTCTAATAGCATGTTCAAAACTGCTGGAACAGTTCGAGGATTGTCAACTAGGAATGCTACGCCTTTGGCTTTTCCTTCTTGAGGGGTTGGATCCTGACCGAGAATAACTACCTTGATATCTTCCACTTTCACCTCCTTTAAGGCGTTGAAAATGAGAGGCATTTGTGGTTCAATAGCATCTTGGTGATTGTTGATAAGTTTTTCGCCTGCGGCTTTCAAGTTGTTATTTAATGTGATCCACAGGTCTCTGCTTTGTTCAATAATTTTAAAAAAATTATGCCACGTTTGGTATTCCTTGTTGTTTGAAACGCATTTCTGGACAAATTCGTGCAGGTAAGTTTGACTATACTTTGCTTGTGCGCAGGTGAATTGTGTCGCGGAAAACCCTACAAAAAAGAATGCTTTATTAATTAAACGCTGCCATCATTAAAGGTACGGTGTACTGGGTCACGTTTCACAAGAGAAAAAAGACCTTAAATACATAAACTGGGGCCTTTTTCCTAAAAGCTTGTTTTTTTTTAAGAAGCGTTGTCCATATTGCTTTGCACAACACTACCGTTGAAATCTTGCCATGAGAACAAGTTTTTGGTCACCAACTACAACAAAATGCAATTCTAACCGTTAGACCTTAAATTCTGCTCATGCAGAAAGAATTAGTCGCTTGATCGCTAAGTGCGTTGGACTCGAGGACAATTCATGATTGCCTAGTATCAGACATAAAAACCAGAATCAGACAAAATCATATGGCCTTTCCACTTATGTTTACTTGCATGCTTATGATAAAAGCAATTTGTTATACATACCACAGTCAATGATCCAAGCCAACAGAAACGAAAAAAGGAAATATCTCATAGCCATGGATGAAAAATTGCGTCCTTTTGAAAATAAAAGAAAAGTAGTGAAATGATTAATAAAAAATAATAATATAATGCATGAATCGGGATTTTAAACCTTGAGAATGAGCAAAGGTACATTGTAACGTAATAACTTTTGGTTTTCAATGCAGGTAATAAAATATTATCAAATGCCTCTGAGAAAAGTCACTGGTTGCAAGCCGAAAAGAAGCTGAAACCGAACACTTAGAGATTCGATTTGGATGGCAAATGATAACAGAGAAAAAAAAAATTAATTGTGACCGTTTCATGTTCTTTGTAAAACATCAGCACTTCACTCAAGATGTAACTCAGTAAATATTAACGTGACAAATTGAATAAATATCTTTGCAGTAAAACATGAAGAAAATAAATCTTCATAGTCTCGCTGCTGTTGTTGATGTAAAGGAAAATGATCAAGAAGTAGAAAGGAGATAAAATAATTTAAGTTTAATCTGCTTTTGTATAGTAAATCGCATTTGATTTTGATGTAACAACTGAGTTCAACAACTATTTAGTTGCTTAACTAAATTGTATCTTAAAAATCAAATTGACAATACGTAAGCAATTTAGTTAGGAAATCTTAACATTCATTTCTCGATTCTTTTTTTTCCTAATGAACATCGAACCAGAAGCCCGAGGTGACCGATACTGTATTCTCACGGCAATTTTCTGCCCATCTGGCCTGTACTTTATTAATTTTTTTTACCAGAAATTTGGGGCGTCAGGATAAATTTAAGTAGAACAGGGAGAATGCAAAACGTTACAGCATCGATATGAGGGATAGAGTTTATAGTAAAATTTCTTTACGATAGCAAGCTCCACAACTAGCGCAGATATCAGAACAATTAATAAATCAATAACATATGAACAACGTTTTTAAAAAATCTTTGAATGTTTAGCGCTTAGGACTTGCTAAGAGAACAATGACCGGAAAAAATTCTTATGGCACAATTTATTTTGAATATAGTAAATCCTAGCATCTTCATATCCATTGGCTTTGTAAACTACATTATATTCTTTCTTTCTTAAATATCCCTTCAGAAATAAGTAGCAGTGATATACATGAAAATAATTTTAAATTTGTAGTAAGCAATAGCTCATAACAACAAGGAATCTTATATTCGAACTCAGCCCATTTCTAACTGGCCTAACTGGATCGGAGGGGAAGGAAAAATTACGCAAACTGCATTTTACCACCCCAGATTTCTCAAAAGCTTAATAAGAATAGACAGTTACCGAAATTCTTGAGGATTGCAGCAGGATAAGCCGTGGACAGGATCGAGAAGGTAAAGAAATGCTGGGGACAAAGAAATAGCGAAGTCCTTCACAACTTCAGTCTAAAATTTCAATTGGCGGATGTTCAATTGTCAGTATTGTAGTGATTAGATTATCTCATTTAAAATGGAAAACACATTGGCTGACTCATGATCAGAGTCTTTGCTTGTGGACCCATTAACCTCCAGTCCGACATTTGAGGGGATGTTTTTATGGCACTTTTCTAGTACCCGCCGGATGACAATAGCTAGTTGTTATCCGTGGACCTAAATGTCAATTAAAATTGATGTATCAGGTTCTTGAATTCAGTGGATTTTACAAAAGTGGCAAAATTTTGTTCTAAAACTTCTATTGTGTTGCCGAGGTTTTACTCATTTCAAAGATACTGAGAATACACGATGCTTCATTTTCTTTTTCTAGAAAATGAGATTCGCCTAGTCAACCTGATAAATCTGATTCGCCTAGTCAACCTGATAAATGTACATGTACATGATTTTTAAAAGAGGAAAAGTTTCGAAAAGAAACTTGAAATGATCTCAGTTTCATTAGCCTTGAGGGGCCTTTTGTCGATTAATGTAACATCTATTAAAACTTTTAGAACGTTTTAATCTGCAGATATAAGGCTGCTTTTTAAAACCGAGGTTTAAGATACCTACACTTTTGAGTTTATCATCTTTGGCTGTGATAATACAATTCATTGTATTTATTTCAGGACCCTCTAACTCTGTAAATAAGTTCAGTTACATCACTATGGCTTTATCTGGTGTTCAACGATAAAAATCTTGTTTATCTATTCAATGTTTCTGTAAAGATTCTAAAAACGATGGCGGGGGGTTAGGAAGGATTTCTTCATCTCTCAAAACAAATAAAAAGTTGCCTCAATTTTGTGTCTGCCAGGCTTCTTAGCACTTTAAAAGCATCATTAATAACACCGATGCTGTCAGTGAAGGTATTTCACGCAAAATTTGAAATTTTCCAAATATTTCGAGATTTTGAGAAGTAATTTTGTGTGAACGTCACTTTTTTTTTTATTTTGTCACTAATCATCTACAACATGTGTTTCTCTGGCGCTCGAAACGTTAATTAGGTATGTGATAAGTTCGGCGTCCGAATCAACTGAAAGAGAGAGGTTGTTCTTCTAGCCTGATTTGGCCAGGAAATTTTGACGCAGGAACAGCTTTGGATCGGCTTTGATTTTCCTTGCAGATAAATGATAAATTATTACAAGATATTTTGAAGCAGTTTTCCTGGAAGTCTACTGTGAACAGCTATAACAAGCAATAGATATGGCATTCGACTCAACTGACGTACATTTTTAAATATTCTGGTAGAATTGTCAAATTGTTCAAAATGGTTGTTGGCAAAAGGTTTAAAACATGATCTGAAAGAAAAAAATTTGTCACCTGAAAATGTCAGGCTTGCAGCGAAATGACTTGTCTTCGACGAGCGCTGATGAAGTCAACACTGGTTAAGAAATAGCTAAATTTTCTTTTACCACTTCAAGCTAAGTGTCACCTGAGACCTTTGTGATAAGATTATCGGGATCAAATTTCCATTCAAAATGGATGAAATAGCTTCGTAACATATTAATTCATGTAGCTCTCTCCGGAGTTCGAAGGGATGCTTTTGATAAACATTTCTACTGTAGATCTAGTAGCAGCTGGACATGTGAAACTCAAAAAAATTATGAAAATGGGAATTCATTCACAAACCAACTGAACTTGCATTACAGGGAAAAACTACATACTAGTCACAAATTTATCATAAATTTGTGACCAGTTTTTGTGTCAGAAAGTGCCACCATCTTTCCCCTTGAAGAGAGCCTAGAAAAAATTTCACTTTTCCATGATTTCTTCGACTCAAAGTGGAATTCCCTAACCCAGGAGAAAAATTTTCCAATGACTTCCCTTGACCAATAGCAAATACGTATCTCGGTGAGGTAGAGAAGGAAAGTGGTACGTGAGAAACCATGGTGGCTTGTCACGTCACGCAATCATTCGTCCCCATCAATAAATGACTGCGGGACGTGACCAGCCTGACAACGTCTGCATAGGAGGCTGCAATGCCACCATGGGTATCACAACTACAGGATTTGTAGAACTACGAAGAAAAGAGTAGGGAGTAAATGTTGCAACACCAAAATAAATATTATCTGACACAAAAATCAGTTTTTATCAGAATACTTTATTAGCAGAAGGAACATACATTTAGAATTTCTCAAATTGTTTCTTGTCCTTGCTTGTTTTTCCTTTGCTGACCTTCAGTACATTGAAACGTACTGTCTTACTGAGTGGACGGCACTGACCAACAGTGACCACATCACCGAGGTTGACGTCCCTATCAGGAAAGAATATAAGTCACTTGAGACAGAAACCAGCAAAGAGCAAGTGCAGGTCACAGGGTTCTTATCAGTAAATGTGATAGTGCACGATCTGAGCTGAGTAGGCAGCTGAACTAGTTTATGTTTGCATTGTAAGCATGGCCTGTTACAAAAAGGGGAAATCTAAGGGCATGCTCTTCCAGAAAAATTTATCATTTAAAACTCGCTGAGGGCAATTTTTGACATTCAGGAACAATGTATTTGAGATATTTTAAAGCCAGACAATTCATAATTAAGCTTGTGAAAAATAGTCTGACAGCTAGTGGGTTTCTAACAACATCCCCCAAGCACAAGCAACCCTTAAATGACAATAAACAATAAAATCATTATATTCACAGAGTCTACAATTACAGCAATTAAATTGGTAAGATGTATCAAGGACTGGGTGTTGGTACACATAGCCACATGTACCGAACATGTGAGATGAGATTCTACTGTGTACGTTTTTAGAAACTGACAGTTCTACTGATCAGCACATTTCTAATGACATTGTCATGAGTTAACTAAATAAACCAGTGAAGTATAAAATTTACACATGATATGGTGTTGGGATCCAAATTATGATATGATATTGAGATCCAATGAAAAGTCTCTAAAATACCAAAACAGTAATTGGTAGCTTTGATAAGACACTGTAAATCAATGTGCAAATAAACTTTAAGAAAATATCACAGTATGGTTAATGGCTAATCATAGTTTTTATAAAAACAAGTGAAACAAACCTGAAGCAAGGTGATAAATGGGCTGAAAGATTCTTGTGACGTTTCTCAAATCGGTTGTACTTTTTGATGTGATGCAGATAATCACGTCTGATGACAATTGTGCGCTTCATTTTCTGGCTCGCAACAATACCCGTCAGAATACGACCTCGGATGCTTACATTTCCTGTAAAGGGGCACTTCTTGTCAATGTAAGTTCCCTCAATGGCCTGTCAAGAGAATTATAAAATCGTTGCAGTCATCACAGACAGTTTTGTTTTAAAAGGAACTTCACATTTGCTACACATCAAGGTTTTTTTGTCTTGAATGAAAGTGTATTTATAAATACTTCAAGTATGTTGTTTGCACTTCCCTGGTGATATTATTGTTTTCCCTTCATTAAAGACAATTTGAGAGAACACAAAAAATTACTCAGAATCACTCCACAGAAATATTTTGAATCTTAAGCATTTTGTAACCCCTGAGAAAACAATAAAAAAAAACAGAAAAAAAAAATCTTCCGTTACAGTAGCTTTTTCTGTTTATTGGCAGCAAGTCTGAGGAATAATGGTTTCCATGCACCCACAAGTAAACCGAACTTACGTCTTTGGGAGTTTTGAATCCCAGACCAACATTCCTCACATATCGAAGTTCCTTCTTCTTGCCAGGTTGACCCAAGACACGTTTCTTATTTTGAAAAATTGGTGCCTGCTTTTGATAGGCCCTCTCAGTCTGTAAAATATTATCAAAAGGTACAAACTTATTAAATGAAAAACATAAGGTCAACTAAAGGAGTTCATCCAGTACCAAAAGCATCAAACAACTAGGATATTTTTTCTCCATCCAGGGCTCCAAGTTCCCTTTTGGTCACCTTCAGCTGTAAAATGGTTGCCAAAAAAAATCATATCAATGGGAGCACACTTCATGTTGTGTCACCAGCCTTTGTATGTTTGATAATTTGACCAAATAGCCATATATTTATTGATTTTTATTTCCAAATCTGTTGATTGCCAATTGGTGACTTTTGCCAAAATTTTAGTCACCTAATGTATTTTTCACTTGCCATGGTGATCAAAGTGGTCGTAACTTGGAGCACTGACATCCTCAGCTGGTTGTTAGCACTCACCACACAATTGCCCATGTCACGCGTCAAATTTTGTATAATCAGGGTAAGTTTGTTCACTAAGCTAAGGATGTACTCCTGGCTCTATATAATATTTTCCTGCTTCTATAGTTCTTACAAAAACTCAAATTGGCTTACTTGTTTTATATAACTTTTTTTCGCATTAGTTAAGTCATATAGGACAACTTCACCTTGGTGCGGGCTTTAATAAACATGTTCTTGAAAACACAACCGAATTTGAAAATGGCAACTTTTGACTTCTTATAGAGAGAGAACAAATTCGAGCAAATTTATACTTGAATGTATGTGTTTTTCTCAAACCCTTCGAAATGTGTGTTGATATCGTAGGAAACTTCATTCCGGAAAGAACCCAAATCGACTTGAACGAAAAAACAGAACTAACCTAATAGTGCAAAAAACATAAGAACAATTGAGGGAAGCTAAACTTCGTTTTATGCGATCTTTATACAAAACATAGCCATAATTAATCAAACAGCACACATGCCGATGAAATATTCTACTTATTTAGACGAACAAAAAGTTAAAAACGATGTTTTAATTCATCATGAGGCTTTTAAACGTTAACCGACATACAAAATCGACGTTTCTGATATCAAGAATCGTTCAACTATAATCTAAAGGCGTGATTAAAGCAAAAGAAATCCAGATCGTTCGACACAAACCTGTTCCGCCATGATGCCACTAAAAAAAGAGGAAGAACCACGTGGTCTCAAGAATTTTCCCAGCTGTCCTTGCTGTTTGTGCACATGGAGGCGAGGCTACGAAATCCAAGATGGCGGCAAAAGTGAACGAAGAACTCTTTTGTGGGATTGACAACTAGTCCTTTCACTTTTGAGACTATCATCATGACAACAGCACGCAAAATGTGAGCAATCTAAGATTTTTAACATAATTAATCAATGCTACAACTTAATTTACATGGAAAATGTATTTTCCTCCGCAAATATTCGATTTTTTTTATTCAAGGAAGTGTCACGTTAAGGTCACGTAGAAGAAATTCATGGTATCTTTTTTTGAATATACAGCTTACTTTGCATGAATGAATGAGAAGAGTATAATTTTAGATTTGCTAGTAGTCGGCATTAAACAATAAAGGTCATAGGAATAAAGGAAATTATTGTCCAGTGAAAAAGCTCATGATTGTTTAACGCCACAGCGCCACAGAAAAATTTTGAAGAGGATTGTTGGGAGAATATGCATGCTAATGCCAACTAGAGGTGTAAAGAGTTGTTTGACATAATTATCAAAATATTGTGACATTGTTAGGAGTTGTCAACCTTGCTTTTGACAACTAGATCTCGGAGATGCTTGATTTTGGTAATGGTTGCAAAATTGAATAAAAATCAATCACTTATGGATCTGTTTCCCTTCATAGCCTTGTCAGTGGAGATGTTTGCGGAAAGTTTAACACTCTGTTTGAGAGGGTGAGAAATATTCTCAAGAAAAACAAGGATTTTGAGGTAAATGATTTTAAGGGGCAATATTCAGTGATTAGGTGACAAAATCTCTGTGACATTTGGCAGCTTTTTGTTTGATGGAGATTGGCCTCAATTGTAGGCTAACAAGCTGTGCTGAGGTTTTGATATGTGGATCCAATTGGTTGCTGGTTGTCATTTCTATTTTAATTGTTCTCTGGATTCTCTTGTTTCTCTTTGTGCCTCAAAAACAAATGGTTTGAACCCGAATAGGACTTGGAAGCAGTTAACCTTTCCACTTTCAAGAATTCTCATCAATAATTCTCTATACTGTCTACCAAATAATTCTTATGATGCTAGTTCAGATAATTTGGTATTGGATCAACTAATAATCCCTTTAAAGAAACATGTTTTTTTGTCTTGTCACGAGTGTGAGACAAAGAAAAAATTCTGAGTCCCCATGAGGAATTGAACCTCAGACCTTCAGATTCCATGCTCTGATGTTGTATTTTGCCACCAATATACCTGACTATGTACAAAAAGGGAAATGGTAAAAAAAGATTTTTCAATATACACTCCAAAGAATAACAAAAAATGTTTTATCTTGAACTCAATTATTTATGACTTGATTATTATGCAAATCCATTACGATTCTTTCCATTTTCATGTAGATGTTGCTTTGTGTTGGAAGTTTCTTTGGATCAAGTGAAGAATCTAAAAAAGAATGGGAAGGTTATCTAGCAGGAAACAATTCAGGTGGAATTTTTTTTAATAATTTGAATGACTGAATTCAGTTAAACATAGTTATAACCATGAAATGGATGGTAAAGAACAGAGTGCTCACAAAAATTCCATTCATTGCGATAAAAATTTTACTTTATAGTTGATCATGTCCTCTTTAATAGTTTCTTGGTTTGAAATTGTAATTTCAAACTGAATTTGAGAATTCAATGTAAACTAAAAGTTTAATGTAAAGAATAATCAAGCCATACCTCTGTAGTAATGATGACCACAACTCCTCCTTCCCTTCATTTCAGTTCCTATCCCTACTTTTCTTCTTGGACCTACTGAAATGCATGAAGTGAGCTACTACTCTTCTGTTTCCCTCAAGAATGGTGGAGAGTTGTGTGAGAATGTGACATATCTAGGTAAGAATTCATGTGAAGCACTGGCTACACATAAAGGAATTGTGTGTTGGAAAATGTTAAATTATTTATATATTCCAATTACAAAGTTGCATTGGTAACAGCATATTGAGAAGGTCAGTTCAAACGGTGATTGAAACGAACAAGTTTGCCTGTGGTTGGTAGTGGTGTAGTGTTTTATTGCTATTACATTGTAGTGTATTCTTTAAAATGATAAGCCGCCAACAATCAAAAAACAAAAGGACTAACTCATACATACCTAATGAGGCAGATGTCTCAAGCTTGTGCATGCACATGTAAGTTTTTTGACATAAAATTTTTTTATTTGCAATTGCATGCAATTTTTGTATGTTTTATTTGCATTTTTTTGGTTAACGTATACATGGGTAGTTAACTGTACACGCATAGTGTAAATTATTAGTAGTTTTTCACTGTGTTAACTTTTCATGATTACACTACATCTGTACTAAGATTGTGAAAGTTCTTCTCTTCTTTTAAGTCACAGCTGTATGTGTGCTGTGACTACTTAGTATAAAATTATGTTACATGTGTATGTTATTATTTTCTTTATGAAATCTTAGAGAAAGTTATGCAGTGATGTTAATAGCCTTTCTAGAACTGCTATTCATTGAGTCACAATTGGTTTTTAAAAAACTGATATAAATACCATCTTTCTTACAACAAATGTATCATGGCTTGTATTTCTTCAGGTAGGAAAGGGATCTTGAAAACAAAATCAGGTTTGCAAATTGCATATCTGAGTGGACTGGAAAAATCTGAAGCCCCTGAGGTACATTGCATTCTGTAGAAACCATTAAGTTGTAAAAATATTAGCCTTACACTATGCACTTCCAGGGAGTAGATGTGCACTGTAATTTATTCTTGCCCTTGGAAAAAAGCTGGTCAGGAAGCCTGAGAGTCTTTTGTGATATTCATTAGGGCCCATAGATTTCACAAATAATTACATTTACCTACATTATAAGATCCTCCCATTTATTATCCGATTCATACATTATTTACATGTACATTCTTTAAGCAGTGTTTTCCCTCATATTTATTACATTTGAAAGAAATTTTAATTGAATTAATTGTAATTTTGATATAGGAAGGATGTCATTTCATTGCGGATGATGTTATGTCACTGGAGTCTCTGTGCCAAGATGAAAGCTTCAAAGGGTTGGACATCCTCATATCATCATCTTGGCCAAAAGGAGTGTCAAACTTTGCTAATCAGCCTGTGAGTATACTCTTATCATCATCATCATTATTAAGACAATCTCTTCTGTCACAGTCACTATTATTATTATTATTGTTAATTATATAATAAGCTGCATAACGTATGCATTTTGATTGGTTCTTACTTATGATCTGTAGAAGTATAGAGGCATTCAGTGTAGATGATATTACCATCGACTCTTTTTTACTTCTTTATATATAAATAGACTCTATGTTACCATGGTTCTTAAAAGTAATGGATCACAGAATATGTCAAAATGCAGTTAGAACTTCTGTGACATACTCAGTTGTGCCTCATGTGCTACTTTTTTGTTTTCACCACATTTAGACATCATGTGTGATCTACATGAACATCTGCATGGAAAATAGATGTTATTAGTGAAGGGGTTAACATGTGGTTAACTTGCCATGAATTAGTTTTTGATCATGTTGTCATGATCTGTAGGAGAGAGTTGATCCTGAAAAAAATGGTTCAGCACTGGTGTCCAGACTAGCACAACAGTTAAGGCCCAGGTATCATTTCACTGGTCATGAGGGAGTCTATTACGAGAGACCTCCATACAGGTGAGAGAAGAGTATTTGACAAGCACATAAGTGATAACCCTGTGTGACATGTCAAATGAAAACCTTTTACCATCTACCTAAAATCAATAACGTGTAATACGCTTCTACCAGTACACTGCTGAAAATGGAACTGGCCAAAAAGGGGTTTGGCTTGAACCCCTCTAACTAGAAATTCCTGCTTTTTCCTCGAACCTTTCTTGGAAAAAAAAGTTAAAGTGTAAGCTTCATTTGTACTCCATGGTTGATTTTCTAATGATCCCTTTTGGGTTGGGCAGAGACACACTGTATTTTCTACGACTGGGCGTAATGCTTAGCGGTTTCAAGTCTCCTTCGCATTCGCGGTTTGCTCTCGTCAGGCGACGCGTACTCTTCCTCAAGAAAGAAGGAGTTGCAGTGGTGGATCTAGGGGAAAGGTCGGGGGTATCTTTATTTCCCCCCCCCCCCCCCACCAAACTTGTGGTTATTTTTACCACTTGTCTGAAACCAAAATATTCTAACAACAGTGTATGGTACATTTCTACTCAACTTTTTCGATCCTTTTACTTTCTTAACATTATTGCGAAGGACAAATAAGTTAGATCGATTTTCTGAAAGTATACCTTTGACAACTTTTTAAAATTAAAAACTGTGTAGATTTTTCGTGATTTACTGAAAACGTTATTTTTTTTTGTAGGAATCATCGGGTGTTGAGAGAATCCGCACAGCACGTGACACGTTTTATTGCCCTTGCCCAAGCTGGTAATCCACACAAGAAAAAGGTACATGAAAATACTTAATCATTTCTTTAATCACCTTTGATAGTTCGGGTGTTCATGTAGTTCAAGTAACAATTTAAAAAAACAAACAAGCAAACAAATAGACAAACAGACAGACTTCTATTCTGTGAGCACCTCCATATGACTCCCTCTATACAAAGCACCCCACCACCCCCTCCCCCCCCTCTTCTTCCCCCTCCCTGTTTAAAAAAAATTATAAAGTGATATATCGTTTTATTGTTATTCATTTGGGCAAGGTAGCATTGGGGTACGAAATGTACTTTCAGTCAAAGACTTGTACCAATTTTGAACAACGCAGATTTCCAGCCAAAGAAATGCATGCTGTTTACGGTATTCACTATATCTGGGTGTCAATTCTGTTCACTCTGCTCTCTTATTCCTTGCAGTACATGTACGCGTTCAATATCGTGCCCTTGGTATCCATGGATAAAAACGAACTTGTCAAACAGCCACCAGATGTCACAGAGTGTCCTTATAACAGGTTAAGTGGCAGCAATGTGAACACAGCTGACCAAAATACAAATCTACAGTCTCAGGTGACCTCTCAAACCTTCCTGGATAATTAAGTAAAAGTAAGACTGTAATGTGTAAAATCCTCAGGGACTTGTCACATTTAGTCGTTGCATATTCTAGTAATGAAGTACGGCAGTGTGCGTTAACACAATGTAATAAAAAAATTAATGTCAATATTTTTACCTGCGGATGAAAAACAGGTGAGGAGGCGAGCTGCAATAACAGTAATAATGATAAATTGAAACGAAGCCAGAAAAAATTCAGGGTCGGACAGGATTCGAATCCGTGCCTCCATGTAGAGCCTAATTAGAAACTTGGAGGCACAGGTTCCAGTCCTTAACGGGAACGAGGAATTCACCAAAATTTTCCTCGCGTTCATCGTGAATAACAGTTCAGAAACGTCTAGGTGTATTTTGGTAAATTTCACCGTAGATTATTGGCTCACAGACTCTTAAAAGATATCTTTTTGTATTTTTTTAATACAAAAAGACTTAAGTCTAAATGGTGTCTACTTGTTTTATTGCAGGCCAGTGCCACAGGTCAGAACTTCTTTTTTGATATGAGTAACACAGGGAAGTCAGAGGGACCTGGACAAAAACGACGAAGGGATCATGGTATCTGAAAATATATATAATCTGCTCTAAATCACAAGCTGGCCTTTTAGATTAACAGATATTTCTGCTAAGCACGAGGCACTTAGGAGTCTTCAACCCTTCTATCCCACCCCCTCCTCCCTCCCCCAGGTTTCGTTGACTGATCGTTGGAACTGACTTGTATCACCAGCACCATATCCCCGCAACCCGCAAGGGCTCGAAGCCGTACTGCTCAAATGCTGAGCATTGGACAACTCGCTTCCCCCGTACATTTTGTTTGTAACTCAGTAAATTCCCTTTTAGTCAATTGGAATGCAACTTCTTAACTAATAGGTAATTTAGTGTTAACAACTGGGTTGAAAACGTAAATTAGCCACCGTAAAGGGTAAAAAAGCTGACGTTTCGAGCGTTAGCCCTTCACATCACTCTGACAAAGGGCTAATGCTCGAAACGTAAGCTTTTTTACCCTTTACGGTGGCTAATTTACATTTTCAACCCAGTTGTTAACACTAAATTACCTGCTATACTCTCCCACCGACGCAGCACCACAGTTTCTTTAGAAACTTACCCCTTTATTCTTAACTAATACTCGAACCATTTTTCCGCAAACCTAGCTTGTACTTTGATCTTACATTAGGAATTCGGATAGCTTACAGTTTCGATTTGTTAAATTTTCCAGTCATTTACCCCAGTCTCGTAAATTTTTACAGGTGGCGAAGAAGGCGGTTCCAACAAACAGCCAAGACAACGTAAAGGACCACGTAAGTATGATCCCTTTGATTATTGCGATGTAGGAAAGAACATGCTGTATTGGAGCAATACAAGACTTAAACTTTTTCTAAACGCAAGGGGGCTGTTAGATTTCTAGACAGTTGCGCAGACCCAAGGCGCAGTCGGGGATTGATTTCGAGAATTCTCCCAAACTCCCCCATTCCCCTATTCCCCCATCTCCATATAGGAAACAATTTTTCATCTATTTGCACGAGATTTTTGGGACTAACGTCGCATGACTCATTTTGTAGTCTTGAGGTCAGGTTGATCTAAGTTCTTTGAACTTCTCCTGGCTTTGGATTTGAACGCTTGGCCATATTTACTTTTTTTTTCCTTTAGCTCCCTTAAAAGGTTCCTGTTGGTTCTGCCTGGGAAGTCCTGAGGTCGAGAAACATTTGGTTGTCAGTGTGGGAGACGCTGTAAGTATGTTTCCGCTCAAGTCTCACCAGAATTTCTGACGTGACAAATTTTGAATAACGTGCAAGAAAAGTCCGTTCAAAGGCGAAACTTGGAAAACTTACGAGACTTACGAGACAAAATGTTTGTCAAAGTGCTGTGGTTCTATAACGTAAAACAACGGGAAAGCACTTCAATAGACGTTAAATATCATTTTAGACCATGATCAACATAAGTACCTTCCCCAACAAAATGAATTCAACTTTTGATATGATTCTCCATTTGTCATCAGTCGTACGTGGCATTGGCTAAAGGAGGTCTGGTAGCTGATCATGTATTGATCTGTCCCATCGCGCATTTCGAATCAACAGTTAAATTGACAGAGGTAGGAAAGACCTTTTGACTTCTGTTTCCAAACCACGATTTAGATATAGCAACGCATGAAAGGCTTTTGAAATTTCAAGTATTATGAGCTAAAAGAAATTACTCAACGAAAAAGGTGGTGCAGCCTTTTTTGAACGTTTTCGATAACTTAGCTTTTGAAAAAAAGATTGAGCAATCAGATTTTAAGTTTCCATGAGGACTTGTCCCTAAGGTTACGCCGCCCAAAAAGCCTAGATATTTAGCTGAGAAGGCTGTAGCTAATCGTGAGTCGCAAATTTCGTCAACAAGGACAACCTATTCGTGATTGAATGTCCACGGAACACCGAAGCAGCAAGCGAGTTACTTACCACAAACTACGACGTTAACGTTCCATCATATACTCTTTCCTGAACTATGACTTAATTTTACAGCGCCGGTAAAGTAACGGTTCGACGCTGTACTGTAATATTGCAGTTCAACACTGAGTGTGATAAAACTGATAGTAGCCTTTTTTGTTTTATTACAGGACGTTCTCATGGAAATTGAAAAATATCCTTTATAGAGCGTGTTGGGAAAGAATCTATTGTAGTTGTGATCTTTGATTGTCCTGTGTGAAAGAGTGTTCGAATTCTTTAACACTAAAGCAGGTACAAGAGAGCGCTTCGAAAAATGTATCACAAAGAAGGCAAATCCTGTGTAATTTTTGAAAGGAATTATTACACACAGCACCTTCAACTTCAGGTAAAACTAGTAATCATCCTCGTAGTAACAGAAAGAAAAACACGAAAGGTAACCTGTAAATCGTAAAAAAAAAAAAGAAAACGAAAAAAAAAAAGCTCGTGTCAGAAGTGGGATTCGAACCCACGCCTCCATTTGGAGACCAGAAGACCCGGCCCAGTTAGCACTGGGAAGGAGATTATCCTTGAGTCTGGCGCCTTAGACCGCTCGGCCATCCTGACATTCGCTAAATCTTAAAGATTTAATTTGTTATCTATAGGTTATACCAGTGCCTCCCACAGATGTTGAGGAGTTAAAAGACATTTTTAGAGAACACGGAGATTCCAATTCTCTTGCAATGAGGGACGTGCCTGCCAATACAGAGCTTAGTCAGGTGATGTGTTTATTGTTTGATAATTTACAGGCTCTTTTACGAGGAGCTACAGGGCACAGGTCAGAACCCCAAAAATGACTTGGGAGCCAGCAAAGGAATAGGAAGAGCACCGGAAACAGGTGCAACATTAAAGTAACATGAGCAATAATAACAACAATAATGGTAATAATAACGATAATTATGATAATCTATGAAAATGATAACTTGAACGACATCAGCAACAACAAAAACAGCTGCAATGAAATTATGATGATGATAATGCCCCGATCAATTCGAACTTTCAAACCTCCCCTCCCTCTCTTCGGCAATCCACGGGCATTTGACTGTCGTCTGTGCCTTGGGTGTGGGGAATTAAACCTTGCCTGGGTGGGATGGAGAATTTTGTGAACTAGCGGAGTACACAGTGCACGACAACAAAAATACAAGTTACTGTAACAATAATTCGAAAACTTAACAGATAAAAAGTTAACCACAGTTTAATGAGACTTATGTGAAGCAAAGAAATCCTCGTAGAAAAGCTTCAGGATTAGGAACTGCTCAAAAGAAGCTCGAAATTGATGTTTTGACGGGATTCGAACTCATGCCTCCCAGTGACTGTTTGAGTACGAATATCAATTTAGCTTCGAAGCCACATCATAAGTGTGAGCGACAGATTGTGCTAGTGTTATCCACTTTTCCGGATTAAGAGCGAGAATTTGGCGCTATATCAATATAGCACCCGCCAAATCAGAAGCATAAAGGTCGGTTTTTAGTACACGATGTGTCGGCATTGTGAGGTAAAGTTACATATGAATCCTTATGGCGGTGCATGGGTGAACGGCAGCTACTTCAAAATCGAACGTAAGATGTTATCAACCCTTTGACCCCTGAGAGTGACCAGCATCTAATTTCTCCTCACAATATCACCCCTGAATCAAACTTTAAGGTTATGAGAATAAAGGAAATGATCACCAACTAATAAACCTCTTGATTGTTAAACAAATTCTCTTTGTCAGCACCTTAGACAATATATGAAGAGCAGTGTAGAGAAAATGTGTACGGATCTTTGGGTGCAAAGGGTTCACAACTGACGAGTCTTGTGGGCTCGTTTTATTTTTTAGTTGGCTTTGTCATCGATCAATTTGTTTGTATTGCTGTTTTTTGTAAATTCTTTAATTTTGTGTTTACTTATTTTGTTGCAGATCGTACCAGTTGGAGCGCCCTATTTTGTGGTAGAATTCGACAACGAAGAGAAATTGCTTCACAGAGTATCTTTGAAGATGCCTCTACAGTTTGGAAGGTAGCTTTATCATACAATATCTCAGTAATTAATTCCTACGTTCGATGTAAGCATCAGGGACATAATCTTTGAGAAGGTTACTAGAGATTTTCAGACCTGTGTAAAGTGTGATATACAATATTAATTAGCTGACATGCCTCATTCTCCATACTCTCTACAAAAACTGTTTTGTGCTGACCAAGAGAATTTGTTTAACAATCAAAGCTTGTTTGGTTGGCAATCATTTCCTTTCTTTTCATGATCTTCATAAATAATTCAAAAGTATTACTGTAAGAAGAAATTAAATACTGGTCTTTCTTAGGGTTCATTAATGGGTTTAATAAATGGAAAGCATAAAACCATCATAATCGTATCGACTGTGGCTTTTTAGAGGGAAATTTTTTATAAATTCTGACAGTGTTGTTTGGCTTTATCTCCGTCTCTTGTTTGTTAAATATAGGACAATTTTCTTTGGATTGTCGAAGACAAAATTAGCGTGCGTTTGTTTTCTTTACTACGCCCTTGGATTGGTGTAGAACCTATTGATCTGATGTGTCTTTCGTTCCTTGAACAGGGAAGTTGCCGCCAGTCCCGCTCTTCTCAACATGCCCGACAGAGTGGACTGGAAAGCTTGTAAAGTTTCAAAGGACGAGGAGACAAGGATGGCAGCCGTCTTTAGAAAGAAATTCCAACCTTACGATTTTAACTCGGAATAGGCAGAAGATAAAATCGAAAAAAGAATTGCTGATGAGGCGGGGCATGCTTCCATACAATCCAGACCCAAACAATCCAGACCCAAACAATCCAGACCCAAACATTAGGGTTTCCAGGAAATGCTTTACAAAGAAACGACGGATTTACGATGTTCGAGACTACAAGCTGTACGGCAGAGTAATCTAGTATTATTAACTGAGTTGATAACGTAAATTGGCCACCGTAAAGAAACGTCAGATTTAAAACTCTTTACGGTGGTCAATTTACGTTATCAACGCAGTTAATTATACTAAATTACCTTGTTATACCCTCCCACCGACGTTGCACCACAGTTTCTTTAGAAACCTATTCCCTTTATACAAACTGTATGGTCAGATAACTGTAGAGATGATGGTAAATTCCCGATAGTTAGATCGCGATAATTTATGTTTATATGAAATGGACGAAATATTTCAAGAGATAAGTCGTCATTATCTTTAAAACAGAAAAAAAAAAAAAACAATAACGCTTCGTGACCGGTCTTCTTTATAATTTGATAAAATAAATGATCAGATTCTTTTCATGAAACGAACTACCCGCTAAAATGTACCTCGCCTCTAACCTGTGGTAGTAAGGCCCTACAAGTGTTCAGGAGACAAGGCCGTGAATCCTGTCAAGCCTTGGATCTTTTCAGGTGTCTTTTCATTAATTTCGGTAAATACAGCTCACCCGTGAGGATATTTTCTTTCCTTACTGTTGTTCTTTCCATGCAGTTTGGAGCCAGTAGGTCTATAATGACAAATGACAGTGAGCGTATCAAGAGAGGCGGATTCGGCCCTGGTGACTTCATTCGGCGACTAAAGGATAAATATTATTTTCTAGTTTGTCTGTTTTTGTTGTCGTTGTTCGGTTGTTGATATTTTGTTTAATATTAGAATAGAAGAAGCGTTAAAAATGAGATAAAACAGATGAATTTGATTTTGGTGGTCATTTTGGGATTGGTATCTAGTAAAATTGACTTCCTATGCGGTCAGTTTTCTTTAAGAATTGCGCTAACACCGGGTCCACGCTACTAGCCGCTAACCAGTGATCTGGTAGATCCTCTGAAATTCACAACAGACGAAATGGCGGTTCGCGGAAAAGTGAATCTTTTTCTTTTCCAAAAACCCTTTTCACTCACGGCAGGATATGTTTTTTTTTTTTCTTTTTCAATCAGGAAATTAATAGTTCGTGCGCCTTTGGGGTCTAGCCTTGCTTTGCTTTCAAACCAAACGCTTTTTCTTCATTTTAGTGTGTCGTGATGAGAGATTGATGTTAAATCTGCGTACAAAAACCAAAGCAATCAAACGCGAGCGCAAACAAATAAGATTTTTTCGTTTAGGGTTACCGCGAAAAGGTCTCTAAGGAGATCATGATTGCGTCTTATAGGAAATTTGACCCCGATGATTTTTCGACTTTTTGAAGAGAGTATTTTTTTAAATAACTCGCGCACGTGTTGAGATTGACTCTAAATTTTGTGAAATTGTTGACCTGTTAGGGTTTGGAGTATCGCCGCACATGAAAAGAAATTTGTCAATATCAATAAAGAATAACTAACAACAGTCATGGCATTTAAAAATTATTGTCAGACAGGCAACAACGCGCGCGCACAATAACCGAATGTAAAAATGGCTGGGTAGGATAGCACCTAAGAGTATTTTCCTCATTAACCCGCGCACGTCTTGAGATTAACTTTAAATTTTCTGATAGTGTTGACGTGTTAGGGTTTCGATTATCACAGCACATGAAAAGAAGTTTGTCAATATTGATTAAGATTAACTAGCAACAGTCTTGGCACCATGGAATTATTGTCAGACAGGCAACAACGCACAGCAACCGAATGTAAAAATAGCACGGAAGAGCATAGAGGAAGAGCAGCACTGCAAAAGATTAGCGCTATACAGGTGAGAAAATCCAAGAAAAAATGATTGAAGGAATCATATTCCAAGTTTTTGTCGTGGTACCATTTTAAAATATGTCGCTGGATAGTGATGTTTCTTTGCCTTCGTGTGTTTCATTTTTGTAAGGGCTGTTCGCGATTGTTTCACTTTGAATACAGTTAGCTTCAGGCATCTGATATGCTGGGGGACTACGTATTGGAAGTGATTCAAATCTACACTCCCGGACTCATTTGTGTTGAAGACTTGCTGCCTCATGTGTCCCTCTCAATATTGGCCTTAAAGATGGCATAGACACATTTGAAATTGGCACATTGGCAGAGGGGAAGGGGCGAGAGAAGATCGTAGCCGTCGTTCCTCTGAAGAAGTGTCCCTACCGATATGTCTGGGAGTGTCGCTTATTTATCAATTTATATTCACTGCACAAGCGAGTGTTTAACCCATAAAAGTTCATCAGTCATTTGCTTCCATAAGTTAACCCATCTTAAGCGACTCTTAACAAAACCTCGACTTATTTAATTATCATCCGAGTTGAATTACGGCTAGGAGAATCCCCTCTGCTGTCAAATGTTTGTAAGCTTTTATATGAAGAAAAGAAGTTAAACCAGGCCAGTCCCTCTTTCAGGGTATACCTTGTAGAAATCTGGTTGGGTATAAAACTCATTCAATTTTTCGTATGGATAAGCTATTCAAGGTAGGTACGTTCTCTCCAATAACATTGTGTGAATCGCTTCTTCTTTTTAATTTAACCAGTTTGAACTAATCACGAACCACCATTTTGTTGTACTGGACTTGGCATATCTGCGATTTGTCCCCTTGATGTTTAGGTATTTGATCGGTTCTTTAACCCTTTACACCCTAACATCAGAATGCATATTCTGCATACCGTTCTCAATATTTTCTTAAGGTGATGACAAGGAGAATTTGTTTAGCAATCAAGAGCTTCTTTAGTCAGTGATCATTTTCTTTATTCTCATGACCTCGATATGTGATTCAAGGGTGATACAGCAAGGAGAAATCAGATGCTTATCACTCTTAGGATGTAATGGGTTAAAGACTGACGCGGGGCAGTCTCAAAGCAAACCTCGTGTTAGTACAGAAGGACAATCCGGGTTTCGGTCAATTTATAATTATCAGCCTTAAGCACTTATTTTGGACAGTTCTGCCGAAGTGTCAAATCGGCCCATGTTCACGAGAGGAGAATTGAAGTAAATAGCGACCGAATAGCGCTGCAAGACGCTTCCCTGCCCGTGGGAAGATTTAGAGCAAGTCGAGGAGAGTTGGCCGTGGGTTCTGGCATCCATTATCAGCACTGGACCCCTCACAGACCTCTCCCTAGCTCTCCTCGCTAAACGCTCTTTCCAGCGATCAAAGAAATGCCGCTTCCGATAAATTTGCCGATGCAATGCTCTTACTTTGTGTGCATCTAACGCGTGGAGAAGTGGGGAAGGAGGCTAATTCTCTGATTTGAGTCAAACATTGTGTCAAACGTTGTTCATATTTTCTTTTCCTTTTATTTTCACAGCCAGTAACCAGAGATGATGTTTCGTAAAGTACAGAAGCTGTTCTTACTGTCCCTGTTTGTTTTAATAGCAATTATTGTCCGTAAATTTTTTAAACTTGAATTCTTACGCCTCGTGAAACTAGCCGACTTTAGCCAAGATCCGTTAACACATGATCA